AATGTTGGGGAGTAGCCAGGATAGTTCCTCAGCTCATGCTGACCTGCCCCCAAAAATTAGTCCCATCAACCCCAGAAAGTCGTCTTACTGCGAAGTTCATGAGTTACATCTGCAAAACTTCAAGGAGAATTTATTTGTTTGTAGCACAGACTCATTGAGCTCAGAACTAAATTCCTACCAAAAAACAATTTTAAGAATCTAAAAGGAAGTATTCATATGATACAGCATCTGAAATATAAAATCAGGGCTCCTGTTTTTCAGCTTCTTTTATCTGATTCACTAAAAGGCAGCTGGCCACGGTGGACAGCTTATGGCATTCCTCTGCTTCACTGTGTGGAAGATGCAGTCGGTTTAGCTGGATTTCAGGAGCTGTGCCAGCTGCAGGAGACAGCATAATCAACCCTTGGCAAAACCTGCTTCATCATTCAGCTGAGTGCTGCCAGCCAGAACCCCACTGGTTGAAGGATGGTAATGCTAAGGAGAGACTTTCTGGAGGGGAAATTAAAAGTCAGAAAAGAAAATAAGACAGTGATTTTTTTCTGGGGTACATCAAGATTATCAAAGACTTCTCTCAATCCTCCAGGAAATGCAGAATTTTAAATAAAGTTGGGATTTGTTTCGTTTGGATGCTTTAAATGATTCCTTTGAGCTTGTAAGTCTGATGGTCCCTGAATAGGCTTCTGCAGCTGCTGCACCTAATTTCATTTTGGCATGGAAAGAGGCGAGGGCATGTCTGTGCAGCCAAGTCTGCACTTCCCCCTGAAGCAGGAGCAAGCATCATGATTCAATAAAATTTAAAAGTGCCTTTCACCACCTACATTTGTGCAGAGTGATTACAACTTCAAATGGATTGAATACAAGTAAAGAAAGCAGGGTATTGTTTACAGGGTGACAGTTGATTGGCAGGCAGAAATATAATTATGGATGATAGAAAAGGGCAAAATAGAAATACAAACGATCAATTTCTCGGGCTAATTTAGAGTTTTGTTCCTGATGTTGATCAACAAGGCATGTTCACTTAGGATAATCCAAGGGCAGTCTGCAGTATTCATATGTCACTGAGGACAGTGAAAGTTAAAGGGACTTATTTTTTCCCATCCTTGTTTTACTTGCGACTGTAATATATTTGGAAAGAATTGCTGCTTGAAGTAGATATAGGATTTCAGGCTCTAATGTAAATTGGTAAACATATTGTCATAATAAAAATCAAAGCAAAGCAATCGCCAGCAATTCAAAATCCCGAGTATTATCTCGGATATAGGGATAAAACCACAAACTCTGTCAAGCTGTTTTAGTCTAGTGCAGTGCAAAAAGCAATTTAATATGGATCAGAGAGAAGTCAGAAACCAAGACACTGCTGATCCACAGATCAGCAATCACTGTCAAAGGAGACCAAGCTGTTCTTGGCTCTTCTGCATTGAGACTGCCATCCCAGACCTCCTCCAAAGCTATCTGGGATTTGCTTCCCATTAGGTGACAGAAACCTGCAGTGTCATGCATGACACCTCAGTCAAGACAACACAGTAAAGGCTCTCCATTCATTTTGGTAAGACATAAATTGAGTGGGGGAAGGTTGAGGTTTAAAGTATACTAAAATGACAGATTCATGCTTTGCTAAGATCCCACTCCCCAGGAAAAAAAGAAAGGTGCTGACCAACCAAGAGCACCCTGAGCTCTTCCACAGACTCAAAGATTCTCTTCCATTAGAGACCAAACATTGAAATTGGGCCAAAATGAGGGTTTTTTTGTTTGTTTGTTTGTTAAGAAAGCATGTAAGAAACTTGCTCTGTGTTCATTATTCTTCATTTTTAAGCTGGTAAGAAGATTGAGAAATGAAGAACATACTTCCTGCAATAACAATTCACATCTTTCTGCTATCTGCTTACATATCAGTAGATATCTGCTTACAATCAGTAGATAATGCCACTTTTCAACTCACTTAGTACCTGTATCATAGTGCGAAAAACTTTCACTCAAGAGCTTTTGGTCTGGGCCTAAAAGTGTGGATTTCTGCAACTGGCTGCATTCAACAACTTCACAGTATTTAGTATCTAAGAACACAGAAGGCCAGACAAATTGCCAAATACAACCAGAAATGAAAATTTCTATCTGAAAAATCAGTAACTAACTCACAATTTAAATAACATTATTTTGTATGATTATCTGCACTGATTAAATAATATTCCACCAAACAACTAAAAGAGTACGACCCCCAAGGCTATAGGGAAGAGGCAAAATCTTCTTTGTTTATGGGACAGGATCACATCCAGCCTCTAATTCATCTTTCTGTCCTTCTCACAGGATTTAATGATGCTGTAAGAGTTTCACTCTACAAAGTGTCAAGACGAGCAGGTTCACAAAAAACACAGCAGAATTTAGCAGCAGTAATTTCAGGAACACCCAGCGAGCCTACTGGCTGGAGATGAAACAAACTTTCTGTCTGGACAAAGGCAATTTCAGAATGTCAAAAAGCAGTGTTTATTTAGTGCTGGACAGGAGAGATTTGGCCTACGAAGGCCAGAAGGAAAATAGTATGTGATGTTATATGACTTCACATTCTAAGGAAAGACCTCTTCATCCATCCAATTTGTATGCATAACAGTATCTTCAGGTGACTCTTACTTCTTGGAAGGAATAAAAAAGCTTCTTTAACTTCCGTCACTTTAAATAATAGCACGGGAATTCCTTCCAATTTCTAAATATATGAGTTTTTATCTGAACTTTCAGAAATTCAGGGCAAAAACTCTGAGTACCTATAAAATCTCAAGTAATGCGTTACTCTCTCCTGGAGGGTCTACCTTAAAATGTCTGTGAGAATGCCAAGAGTTGATTTTTTATTTTTTTTTCTCTGAACAGATGGTGGCCACAAAGGCAGTATTATCACACAACTGAAGTCATGCTATCTGATGGAAAAACTGAAATGGACTCTTCTGTAAAGCAGAACTAGTCATGCTTTACAGAAAAGTGTTTTGTGATTTTATATAAAAGGGCCATCTTGAATCCTTTAACATCTAGATGGAAACCCACATGGTAAGCAGTTATACTTGATTCCCATTACGTGTAATAATATTTTGAAATCCAATTTGTGCCGGCTTTCTAACATTTTGTTTTTTAAATATACTTAACCAGATATTTATTAGTTGTTGACCTTTGAATTAGTCTTAGTTTTGAGCAGGGATCTCATTTATAATTCATCTTCATTTAAGAGTAATCATTTATTTGGGCTTTTGAAGTTGCTCTGACTTTATTCTTAAATCTGCAAGTTCAGAACTTGAGCCATGAAATCATGAAGAAACTCAGAGAAGTTTTATATAAAACAGCAGAATCAAGCCCGAAGTCTCTTCTGATCATGTAGGAAGTGAAATTTGTCTTATTCAACACAGAAATGTCTTCAGAAGAGGACTCCGCAATAAAGAATTTGTTCATAAAAGCTCAGGGCTTTGAAGAAATAATAATAGCAGCTAATCAACATGAGGTCAATCTGAGTATTATTATTTTTTTCACTGTTCTTCAGTCAATATTGCTTCGTTCTGCAGGCCTTAATAAGGCTGATTTCCTACTCCCTATCCCCAATCTTGTTCGCTTTTTCTCAGAGCAATGTTTATAAGCAAAAACCATATTAAGAAACAAGAGTTTTGACACACAAAGAACATCTCTACAAGAAAAACTTCTTGTTAAAGTATTTTAAATGAAGGCAAGAGACAGCTTTTCTCTGGCTCATCTTCACAGTCTTCTGAAATGACAACTTCATGCCAATCCATGCTATATAGTATTCTCATCTTCTTATGTAGTGACTGATCTTAAATAGTAATGTTACTTAGCAATTGTCTAAAACCAAGTACTGTGTACAAAGTGACATTTTCTTGTACCAGCAATGAAAAGCAACACATTTGTTGCAAACTCTGCTAAGAGAAATGGCTAGCACTGTTTTTATATAACTTAACTGTGTTGGTTATATACAGATCTTTTTATATTTTGCATACCTAGTAACCTGCACTGCAGTTACCTTGCACTTTTTCCCCCTAAATCTCTTTTTAAGAAATGACAATACTTAAAATTAGGATGAAGTAATGCTCATTTTAGTACAATATACTGGTAATCAAGCCTGCTTAAAATAAGGATTTGAATAGGTCATAAAATCACAGAATATCCCACAGGGACCCACAAGGATCATCAAGTCCAAATCCTAATGAGAGTATTTTTAACATCACTACCTGTAAACCAGTTAGGAATTTTTAGAAAGGGAGTAGGTATTTAGCATCATGATCTTGGCTATATCTTTGACTTCTGTTGTTGTTCCCTTTCCCTCTCTTCCAATGGCAGTCTCAGCTTTTTTGGTATAATACAGACAAAATTGTAGTCTGCTAGTCTGGAATACAAACATATTGCTGCCTTTAACTAATGTCATTAAATACTAGAGAGAATAATGACACTATTGCATTTTTTAATATATATATATATAAATAAATGTGTGTGTATTAAATCTTCAGACTTGATGACAACAAAGTTCAGTTGGCTATGGTTCATTTTCTGGTATTGTATTAATACAGACAGAACTTCTAGTTATGATATGGTACATGTAAAGAAATGCATCTTGCTTATTTTTTTCCCTTGGAAAAAAAGCTTAACTATTATTTCACCAGCATATAAAGCAGATATGGATATCAGCATTTCCTGCCTGCATTAAGAGTTTAATACAGTGTGTTTTATTCACCTAGGAAACGTTTCTTCTTCTGCTTTAGCAATTAAGGTTACTGTCTTTTCCTGACTTGACTAAGGAACAATCCATAACAACTACACAGAACAAAATCATACTGCTCATTTCTGTCAATCACTGAAAGCACAGTTATACAATTACACCACAAAACTTTAAAGTATACGAGATACTTAGTCACATACGTGAAAAGACAGTGTAAGAATTCCATTTAAAAAGAAAATTCTCCAAACTTCAATATCTGAATGACTGACTGAAACAAAGGGAGGAAAATAAATTGCCATACCGGTGAACTCCACTGTTGCACATAATGATGTGACAAGCTCCAAGCCTGTTACAGAGCTCAGAAGAAACCGATAGCAATCCAACTCCAGAAGCACTGCAAGCAGTGTATGCGCAGGCAGCAGTGCGCTTAGATCGGATGAAGGACCCTACGAGTCGGTAAAGTTCATCCAAGCAATTAAGTGGCCTCATCAGCTGAAAGAGAGAAAAATAAATTTTAGTATTTGCTACCAAGAGAATGTGAAACGCTGTTTTTGAGTAAGTCTTCCCAGATGTGTGTTGGAATAACGGGGTAAGCTGGAACAGCCAAAGTGAGATTCTGTAACTTACATAAAGAACGTGTAGTCCTTTGCTATGTGACTTAGAACAACATTTTTTTCATTCCCATAGCAGCTTAGTGAGCTGATCTTCAGTTCAATAAACTGAACAGATCCAAAAGTGCCATTTCTATCATTGGTATTTTCAGAAAAGGGAAACCACAAAGAAACAACCATAATGCATGCAGAGGAGGGATGCCAAGGCTGGTTAATTGACTCACTGATAAAATTAGATTATAATTAAGAAACACTATCCCCCCATTTATGCAAACAGCTGTTTTCTAATCTCAACTAACAGTATGGAAAGAGAAAAATGATCAAGAGTAACAAAATATACTGCAAAACTCAACACTAGTGTATAGAAAATGAATGATTCACCTTTCTTTACTAGGTGAATCATTCAAGTGGAAGGTTGCCCTCAGAAGAGGAACCCTCAAAAGAAGTTTAGCAATAAAAAGCAGCATCCATGGTTCTTTGTGTAAAGAAAAGATTCACAGCACAGTTTTGTAGATTCCATAATTCAAATTCCGTTTCTCTTCCTACCAGAAATACTTAAAGATTCTAACAAAATCCTACTACCCAAAGGAAGGATATTTTGAAGGACTGATTAATACCCCAAAGACATCCTTAACTAATCAGAGAAATGTCAGCCTCACTTGCTCATTTTGGAGGTAACCTCACTAAAAAGCATACAGTTCAGGTAAATAAATTAGAAAAAGAAGTATATTTAAATCTGGGCACAAACAGATTTAACTTGGTTTAACTCCTATTGATCTAACTTGCATCCATTTAAATTGATTTTAACTGTGCCATTTACGAATGCAGAGCTATGGAGAAGAGAACAAAAGTCACAGCTACAGCTACAAACTGAGATCATGCATTCACTCTTAGCTTGCTCCAATTGCAAAATAAATGCATTAGCTTAACTTAGCATCCCTTGGTTAGATCTGTATTATAAGCTGCTTTTATCTTGCCCTTGACCTTTTTACTGAAATAGCAGGTTTGGGGGTAACAAGCACTCCACATGTAGTTAAATTTGTCCTGCTGCGGCTGTGACATTTAAAAAATATATGTTCTTGACACCATAGAAGGAGAAGCACAGGCTCACCTCCTCCTCCCCTTCCATGTAGTCCAGTACAGAGACAAGAAATGGGAACAAGAAACAGAGCAGGGTTGGTCTCTTCTCAGAGGTGACAGGTGGCAGGACAAGGGGAAATGGCCTCAAGTTGCACCAGGGCAATTTTAGGTTGGATATCAGGAAACACTTCTTTACAGAAAGGGTGGTTAAGCACTGGAATAGGCTCCCGGAGAGGTGGTTGAGTCACCATCCCTGGATGTGTTTAAAAACCATTTGGATGTGGTGCTCAGGAACATGATTTAGCAGAGGGTTGTTAGGGCAGTATGGTTAAGTTATGGTTGGACTTAATGATCTTTAAGGTCTTTTCCAACCATAGCAATTCTGTGATTCTATCTGTTTTCTAATGGTCATACTGTGTGATACAGTCATAAATTTCAGTCTGTCACAGAGCTCAGTGACAATCATTGCATTTCTCAAGACAAAGTAACTCAATCACTTTCGCTTTTAATTCAGTACAGACAAGATCCTAGAATTCTATTGAGCTGCAATATGGCTATTAACTCTCTGACAATAGGGGAGCATTAAATGAATTTTCCTAGCCTCTGGGATCTCTCAGTCACAAAGGTTTGAAGACAGATTAAAGTATTTGAAGAAAGCCTAAAAGCAGGTTTATGAGGAAGTATAAGATTCTGAAACAGTACTTAATTTTCAACAGCAATTCCAATTTTCAGAACTAAAAATATCTGCCTGCATCTACTCCCTCATTGCCTAAGCCTATCAATGCTCCTGGTGTGACTGTATTACTCTGACAGTACAGTGAAAAAGAAAAGTTGTAGTTCTCTTTCTCAGATACATTGATGCCCTCCAGCCTCATCAATCAATCAGAATCAATTGCAACAGAGAGCCCTTAGAAGAGGGGTACAACAAAAAGTTGCAAGAGTTTCTCCTTTCCTTGCCCATGCAGCTTTGAATACTTCCATTTCTCAATGGAAAGGACACGGTGTGTAACACAAAAAGTTTAATTAGGTACTTATCATTTTTATTTACCTTATCTATGTAAGCTGCTTTAGATGTTGAATTTGGAGGCAGGTTTGACTTGTCCAGGTAGAATGCCCTGAGAAAACAAACATAATACAGCAAAGACTGTTAATTATTTGAACTCCTGAACAAAATGGATGAAGGAGACTATTCTGAGAAATTGTCCTAAGGTTGGATTATTATCTTACTATTACTACTACTATCATAACAAGAGCGGGTCAAGAATTTACAAAGGTAAACAGGTACTAACGCTCTTTTTTTTAAATAATGAGAAATGCTTTTCTTGTTTTGGAGATTTCCCCTCTGCCCTTCGACAATTCACTGCAAAATTTTAACCTCTACTCAGAAGAAAAACATGTTTTGAAAATGATTTTCACCGAAACATACATTTGCATCAGTGAAAGGTTTGTGGCAGCTGTCAGATTTTAACAGTAACTTTAGGAAACCTGGCATCACGGTATGTAAACAGCACCTGCATCTTACGTACTGCAAGTTTTGTTTGCATGTTTGTTTAAATATCAGTTGCAAATAACTGCAACGATATCAGAACCAAATCTGAAAGCTAGTAGATTTTTCTGCCCATAGTTTTGTAGTTTTGAGAAGCATCTTCTCCCAGATTTATGGTCTGAACCTTACACAAAGCACAGCAGTGAAATCTGATCTCATTCTGTTATTCCATTAAGCCCTCGTGCAATCCAGAATTTACTCCTTGTTAAAGGAAGCTGGAGACTATTGAAAGGAAAAGAGGTTTGCAGAGAAAATTACTCATAAATCACTGTGAGTGGCCACAGCACATAAAAGCTACCTCAGTAGCAACAGGCCAGCCTTTCTCTTTGTTAGCAAAGCTAAAGACCAAAGCACCACCCTGCCACCCACCAAATATTATTAGACTAAAAGCCTTCACTGTTTTTTCCTGCTATGCCACAGGAAAATCTGCTCCATTTTCAGTATGTTCAGCACTTCCATTTTCTTTGTGCTATTATTTCAGTAAATTCAACTGCATTAAATGAGACCAGAAACCAAATATAGAACAGTACACACATTAATGGAGTACATGGAAAATAATCAATTCAGGGTACAAAATGAAGCAACACAAGTGCTAGAATAGGATATACAATTATAAGAATTACTATATTAATTCAGTCTGTTATTCACTAAGTTAAAGAACAAAAGAAATCAACTATACACAACATTAATTTTGAATATCAAAATATCCTGCTACCACTGAAACAATTCCCCCTCCACTACAATCAGATAACACTCCCAGATGTTTCTCCAATGCTTTATTTTTATTGCTTTTCATAAAAACATGCTTCAGTATTTTACAGAACATGACAAACTGTGGACAGCAAATAAATTTCCAAAGCACTTCGCTTAATTACTAAATGCTTGTTAAGGTCCTTCATCATATTTTATGGGAAAAGTTAATGGCAATCTTGGCGCAGCGCCCAGTTCAGACAGTATTTTCTAATCAATTTGAAATGAACAAGAATGAAATCATAGTTCTTTGTCTGCAATTGTGATGCTGTTTTGTGCTACTAAAAGCCTTACAATTTCTATAAATTCTTGTAGAAAAGCCTTCCTTTAAAGAGGAAAAAAAGGTAGAAAAAACAATAGATATTAAAACTACAGGAGATGATTGCTATGTTCCACCTTTTAAAGACACTCCCTGTGTCAAAATGTCAAATAACAGGACAGATACCTCAAGGAAAACTTACTATGGATTAAAGTAACAAATAGGTTAGGGCTCAAAAAGAAAAACCTATCATAAAATAAATTTTCCCATAACTTGTGCATTAGATGCAGAAAAACTGATAGGATTTTGTAGGTTACCCTAAAAAAATGATTTAGACATGTAAAAACCTGAAAAAATGTAACACTGAAAACTAAAGCTTAAAGGAGACAGGCATTTGTCTGTCTGAGACACTCTGTACATGCATGTACATGCACAATCAAGTTCCTAGGCTTTCAAATTGCTGTTCTAGGAAGTCTGTATGCTTATACTATATGTTGACCATCCATTCTCTGACTGGACACGATGGAAAGCTAATTGGATTAAATCGCATTAAATAAAGGTTAACTGGGGGTTCTGCTGTAGAAAGGTCCAACACTGGACACGATTTGAATTGACAGTTATTGCAACACAGAACAACTCCTGTACATTTTACTAGCAGTATTTCTATATTGCTATTCATGCTCCAAGTCTAGAAGAAAGAAACTGTAACATTCTATTTCTAATTAAGTGCACAAGAAAGGAATAGTCTTTATATAGACAGAATACATTAAGATAACTACCCACTGAAGCCTCAGCATACTGAGTAGTTGAAAGAAGTCTGCACATACGAGCAATCAGATGTCAGAACACACAAGGACTTCCTACCTTCCATCATTTACATGCCTCAAAAAAATACGTATTTCAGCAATAATGACAATGTGCAGAAGCTCTGTAATTTCATCATAAAACAAGATTATGGACATCAAGGAGATTTCAACCCTAACATCCATGACAGTGATACAGTCCTGTGTACAGTATTATTATTAGAGAAAAGTTTAATTATAACAAGAAATCACCTTCATGACAATTTCACAGTTTTAAATTCTTAAACAGTTTAGATTGTAATATTCTGATCATTTACAAGCACCACTGTGCAACTCAAAGCACAGAAAAGAAAATTTGAACACTCTGTGGCACTGAACTTACCTTGGGTAATTTATATTTCATGTGTAAGTCCCTCCTGGCTAACTCCAGGGACAGTGACACACCAGCTTTGCCAGTGTTTATTCTAACTGTAACCAAACAGAACTGTGGAAGTGTGAGCACAAAAAGTTCTGGATGGCAGAAAATAGAAAAAATAAAATAAGAAAAGGCTTTTTCTCTATGTAACTCTGATTGTTTTTCAGATGTTGCATTTTACCCTCTATTTTTCTAGTGATCCAGAAGAGATCTTAGTTCCCAGTATGCTAAGCCTCCAGTCATCTCTGTTTATTTCCCAGATCACTTGAAATCATCCTGTTCTATTAATTGAAAGGAAAGATCTTGAGCCAACACCACTTCTAGTTGCCTTACTGCTTCTCCTTTTATACCAACGGCCAAATCCACACTGAACCCACTGGTACTAACAGCTTCCGCACTTCTTTATCACAAAGTATATTTCGCTTCTTGATTTATGATATTCTAGACATGGAATATTGTGTTAAGGTGATAACATGCCAAACAGTCATAGGGTAGCAAGCATTTCTACTACACCTACAAGCTGTACAAGCTACAGGCTTGAACTGAATTCATACCAAGTGACCAAAAATGAAAGAAAAAGCTTCATCTCTAATGACTGCAGACACACTTTCTCTGCATTTGCCAAGCACTAAGAAAACAGAATGATCCAGGTGTCATTTCGAGGTGTTTTTATTCTTTAGTATCAAGAAGAATAATCTTCAATTTCTGAACATTCTCTGTAATAAATTTTGATCACACTTTGCCAAAAGTCTAAAGAGTTTAAGAAATTTATACTCACACACAGGGTATGTAACTGGAAGAGAGAAGAAGAAAAAAACAAAAACAAAAAAACATCTAAATCTGAGCCAGCTGGAGATATCTTTTAGACCAGGTAGACAATTTAATTTACTTTATCCAGTATCTCTCTATTCACTCTGGTCCTGCTTCACTTTAGATGCAATGAATCCCAATTTCTGTTCTACCTAAAATGTTTCTCATTAAGTTTGTCAGGAGACAAATCTGGCAATTATTTCCTTGTTATGTCCTTCAGAGTGAATGCTTAATTCTCAATCTCTCCTTCATAACAATTTTGCATTATATAGAGTTCAGCTAGAAGTATCTACTTCATTTGGAATCACATCTTAAAATTCCAAAAGGCATCAGATTTCCATTTTTTATAGGCATATAAACTACTTGATAAATTGGTATGTATAGCATTGCAGTTGAGTTTTGTTGCTGTATTTTTAAACACAATGCAATATATCAAATACCTGGCATTAAAAATAGGAAAATAGCTTTTGCCTAGTTCATAAATATTCCACTTCAGTGGAAAGAAAATGTTTTCATAGAATTACAACCTAAAACCTGTAAGTCTCCCCAGATTATTATGTTCTGAATTTGATGGCAATAACAAAGACTAGTTAGACATGAAGGAAAGGAAAATAAGACTAAATTCACAGGACAAGAGGGGGACAAGAACAAACAGCACAAGCTTCTTAATCTCATGAGTAATTTCATTTGGAAAGGCTTTTTTCCCACTGGAAACCGTGGGGAAAGAAGTCTGTCAGTTTTAAGATGGCTTTTAATGCATTAATTATGGGACTTGATATATGATTTTGTCTGTGTGATAATGCAGGCATGGTCTTGAGGACTCATACTCTTGTTCCAGTGACAAATTCTTTCTTTCATAGTAATTAACTCTCTCTAAATAGATAGATCTTTTATGTTGTGTCATTTCTACCAAAGTAACCATTAGAGAATTTTAGCTCAACCTGAGGTCATAAATGCTATCACATCTACTTTATGCCTTGAGTAAGTTACACATAGTATGGAAAATCTCAGCCTGCCAAGGAGCCTGCAGCTTGAGAAGCTGCTGAGTATGTATGCATGTTTGTGTAAATAAAAAGATGTTACATTACATAGACATATTTTTGTTCCACGCTCATATAAATTCTAGGGGCAGAAATTCTCTCTTCATAATTCTTTTTTAAAATAAAAAATAATTATATTAAATTCTCACGAATTACAGCAAGATTAAATTAAATTTGCCAATATTCCGATAAAGGCTTCTTATGTCATCAGATAGATGCAGGAGGCTTTAGAAAGAGACACAGTTTGAAGTTACATTGCAAATTAAACACTTTAAAATGACAAATATTGCATTCAACGTAATCAGATGTTCAGTGTAATGAGGATAGTTAGCTAAATCATTTGTCATTAGATTCAGTGATTATAATTGCTTCCTTAGCCTAGCAGACTTGAATTTACCTCATAAAATGATATCAAAGAAAGCAGCAACATAGGAGAAATGAAAAGAAAAAAATAATTTTAAAAAGGCCTTTTCCCTTTAGTGCCAGCTCACTTCAAAGAATAGTTCCAAATCACACAGAACGGCAGGCACAAAGAACATTTTCATCAGGCCTTCTATGTTGATGCATAGGCAAGTTAATTACTACACAGTAATAATTAGCACTCACACCACTGGTGAGAATGGACAGCAATCCTCATCTACCTTTCCCACAGCGTGATCTTTGGCCTAAATAACTAGGTCATCATGTTGTCAGGGATGTCAGCAGAAAGAGACATATCAGGAATAAATATAAGAAGTAGCGCTCTTGGAAGTAGAGCTCTCCTAAGTTCACCTTCATCTATTCCTTTCCTTGTTCCCCTCTTAATCTTCCCAGCTCAAACCACCATGTTATTGGGAACCAAATTTTAAAGGTGTTTAGATATCTAAATGCAAGGACAGGTGCTAAAGAGGCATTAAAGATGTTCATTAATCTAACTGCCTATGATTGCACTAATTTCTCATCAGCTAAGAATTAGCTGTGTAGACAATTTCAGAATTCAAGTATAGGCACCAAAATTCCATGAGAGTTTATTCTTGTGTCAAGAGAACGCAGTGGAACAAATGCAGACATCTCACATAGTTGTAGCCCCGCACCCCACTGAATGCTCTGTATCCCAACATCTTTTCCACTTTTGAGACATATTATTCATGTGCTCCAGAGAAAAGCTCTTAAAAACAGATGTTCCTGGACTTTTTTGATTAAGATGATAACCAAGAGCACCTGTGAAAAAGTAGATTTTAACAGAATGTTGAAGGAGGTACCCATTTCCTTCCCAAAAATATAATTCATAGATGGAAAAAGTATGATCAGAATTGCCTGATATATGTCAAAATGTCAAATATTCATGGAGAAATAAAGACTGGAAAAGCAAGCTTCCTTATTATCATAGATTGGAAGGGACTGGAAGGCCCATTCTACGCCATCAAGCCTAAACCTCTGACAAATCAACACAAGCATTCCTATAGTCATCGAGGTCATTCTAAAACAATCTCACTTACTGCAGGAAGCTAATCCAAAACTTAATTCTTTTGAGGGAAAATGTGTTTATATTCAGCTAAAGGTTTTATCTTAAAAGTCACCATTCAGTCTAAGGATTGCTTGAGTTATGGCCATTCAGCTGACATGTAGATCAGGGTTTCTCCCAGCTTCTAAGTGGCCTGCAAACATAACCAAGCTTTTGTAATGACCGTATGATATATTTCTATGCAGTATACTAATAAATACTATAATGAATCACATCATGCAGGAAACAAACCTTTAGCAAATATAAAAATCATATTCATAAGACAGAGTGTGTTTTAACTAAGTAACTCTTAAAACATTAACATTTCAAAAACGATAAATCAAGTTTTCCCTCATTCTTTTACAATCACGTATGATTCAAGATGTGCCAGAAAAGATTTAACTCAATCCAACAGTTTAAGTAATTATATTGCATTCATGAATTATCACTATTTGTATCACTGTTCCTTGCAGACATGAATTCAAATACCACCATGCCTTGCTGAAGAAAAACTGACTCATATCTATAAAAGCAAAACAACTGATTCAAGATGGAACAAGGCTATTTGAACAACAAGAAGTAGTGAAGGAGAAAGATGAAGAAAACTGAAAGGAGGTAAGAGAATGTAGAATATTATTATTTAACATTAGTATCTGTAAAGGTAAGATGCACTGGTCCTCCTGTATGACAACAATAGGGATATCAAAGACATAGTAATAAATATATTAAAAAATCTTTACTGACCTAATTGCTTTCACTTGGTTACATTACATGTTTCCTACTAGCAAACCATTTGATTAAAATTACAGTGCACCAGCACAACTTGCAAATATAATTTCAGTACAGCTTTTTCCCCTCATGCATGTCAGAGAAGCATTGAACTACAGAAATAAAAGCACGATGGCTGACGGTGAAAAAAAAATCCAGCATCATTAAGAACAATTGTGGGCCAGATGCGGAAGATTTTCCAGCAGCTCCAGAAATCTCATAAACTAGTCTATTTTTAAAATAACATTTACTCAGATAAAGGACTTCCTACACATCACAGAGGCAAAGGATTTTGGCTCAGGAATTACAGAAAAGGTAGAAATGCTTAGCTAGTCTTAGAATGAAAGTTCTCTTGTATAACCAATCAGATTCTGATAGGTAGGGTTAAAGTCAATTACGGAAGATGGAGGGACGTTCCCTCCATTCCACATAAGTATCAAATTAAGTAACTGGTTTTCAACTGTCTTTCATACGATATCCTACCAATGATGACCTTATGATTAGTGCTCTGCAGTTGAGGTTGCATTTCCAAAGGCTGCAAAGCAAGGACCATGAAAGAGACAAGTTTTCATGACTGCTCAAATCGGTGTTGAGGAGGATCTGGATGGATTATATCACTTCTGATACTGTGATGAAGTTGATCATTGTTCATTAGCAATGAATGAATGAATTCTGCAATATAAGTAAGGATTCCATTTTTTATTTTACTTGATTGACAAACCACTACAAATTTACTAATATATCTCTTGATTCAGTCATATAAATAAATTGCAAGTGAATTCGGTATGGCACATGCCAGTATCTGTCTTTTCACCCAAAAGACACTGCATTCCTCAAAAGTATTCTGTATGTTCATTCTCTAACAGAACTTTACTACAGAAAATTAAGTAGTAGCTGAGGTACCAAACATTTTTTAATTTTATTTTCCTGCTCAATTTCATCACAGTTCCTTTGTAAGTGGGATTATCTACAATTTAAATGGCTCCATTGGGTTCAGATTAGAACACTATTAGTCAAATGTGTCAGGAATAAGAGAAGCTGAATTTGCTTCAAAAGTTCTGCTGCTCTGCTCTGCTTTCTGCTGCTGTAGCAATGGAAAGACTGCAAAGTGATCATCAGATAGTAATTCCAGGAGTAGCACTGTATTCCTTTTTGTACAGAAAAATGATGGTTTACTGGTTGTGTCTTGAATGACATTTTATTACTGATTAGGTGGTGCTACACAGAGGATTTCTTCCACATGAAGAGTTTAAGACAATGTAATTGCTTTTGTGTATGTTTCCAGGGACTATTCAATTTCACTTTTATGTTTTCCTTTGGAGCAATTATCCAAATGTTAATAGCTTTTGCTGCTGTACTTAGTTTATTAGATTCTCCTGTCCAAACACCTACATTGCCTAGCAAAGAGCAGAACAAGAACAAAGCATCTGCTTTTCTCTTTTTCCTCTTCTCTTCACATTATGTTAGTGAATTCCTGAAGCTCTTTGTGCCTCATTTAAGAAATGGCTTAAGTTCAACAGAAAATAAATGCAGAGATCAATTACTGAATGTCCTCATCAGACATGAAATGGCTGGGAGAAAAAAAAAAAGAAAAATGTAATTTTCCTATTCTTCAAATTGGACAGAGCTACCATTGGTAATTTTTGTTGAATGTTAACCTTTTCACAGTAGCTTCTTGCAAAACCTGGCATTAATCATTAGCAACTGATCAGATCCATGAATCAAAACACTGTAAGAGTGCTATGTCTTACTTATTAGAGCCAAAGCATGAATGAAGATCCTAACTAGAATGCATGAAATAAGCAAGGCCAAGCAACATTAGAATGTAAAGTTGGTAAGAACTTATTTTAAGGATTATTATGGGGCTAAATCAGATGTATTCATAGAAAAGAACATGACAAAAAAATTGCCTTGACCAACTCATAGAAAATACTTTAATGCAGAATTTGCATTAAATATCACTATGACCAAAGCTTCCTATAAAACTGAATGGTCACATACAACTTCTTAAATAAATACAAAGGATTAAATTTTTTTTTCTCCCTCCAAATAGTGACTTTGGAAAAATAAAAAACAACGTGGAAAACAGAATAAGTAAATAAATACTACACTTGCCATTAGGACACATTTGTACTGACACAGATGGAACAAAGAAATGAGATCTACAGTATTCATAGAGTACAAGGGGATTTATAATTGCTTTTGCTGTAATACCACTTAAATTAAAGCAAATTTAGAAAATGCACTGCTTTGATAAAATATTTCAGAAATACATTTTCATTTCAAGATACAAGAAAAAAATGTCCCAACCACAGGAGTGGGTCAACAGGTGAAATAGCTGGAAAAATATTGAGACCTTCACTTATCTGCTTCTCCCCATATAGATACCCATGGGATGATTGAACAACCTTCCTCTTTGCTTTTCTCAGCTGTCCTCAGCTCTCTCTTCTACCTCCTGTTTTCTATTGTTTGAAAGCTACCTAACATGGTAGTTTCCATCCAAGTAAAGGATTTAAAAAGTGAAAAGATGTGATTTTTCAGCAGTCGTTTGCACTTTTTCCTCTTCAACTCATGTAAACGATATACTTAAAAGGTGTTTTCCACAGATACACTGTGCTGCAAGAGTGGTCTTGGTACATACCTTCATTATTCTATTCAGCACTAATAGATTAGTACACCAAAAATTCTGTCTTAACATGCAGCTTCCTATTTACCAAAATACATAATCTGTATCATATTACAATGCATATGTGCTCTGTTATCCATATCTGAAGCTGATGCAAATACCCAGAAATGTTTTTATTCCCATTAGTAATGGACAAAAACACAAATACATTCTGCTTTGATGAAAACAGCATTATTTTTAACTCATACTCTACAGAAATATGATCTGCAAAATCAGACCACAAAGTTCAACAACTGATACAGCAGATCAGCATTTGTGATCAAGCAGACATTTCCTTTTGTATATACATTAGTAAATCAATCCTGAGGCAACTACAGCTGTAATTTTCATGGAAAAACAATTTAGGAAAAAATTATTCTACTTCTATTTCAATGTAATCTTAACAGTGCAGAAGTAAGAAAAGTCAGAATCATGAGACTTAGATCTTCTTCAATCAAGCAACAAAAACAACTATCACACAATGCACTTTAATTTAAAGATATGTCATAGAAACTGGTCAAAAAGTAAAAACTTGCATGGTATCATTACCCACCGTAGTTTCTGGTTATACTGCTTGACTTTCTCTAGCGATGCTGCATTAATCTGAGCTTGAAATTCTTCTACTGAAACACTGTCTCTGTAATAATATCCTTCCATGCTCTCCAATGCTATAAAAAGAGAAAGTAGAATGAATGAGAGAAAAATCAGTATTAAATATTTAATATTCACCTTTGTAGCTTTGTTCACAGACTAGTGAATTAGTTTCTAACCTTGAAGTTGTGACTCCTGTGGATTGCTGAGCTGTTTCTTATGTCATCAAATTCTCCTTAAGATTTCATTTACAAGAAAAATTATATTGCTGTCCCTGTAGAAAATACACTTTTGTTGCTCTAATTGAAGTCTGAATGCCTAAGCCTGAATGCAAAACCATATTTTTAATTTCTGATATATACTGGAAAAGCAGTAAAATGAACTGGGGTAGAAGAAACGGATAAAAGTACCAGCTACTTTCACAGAGGGAGACCTAACTTTGTGTGAAGCCTCATATGGGGAGATGTGGAATTCTTGAACCTGTAGATATTTACACTGATAATCTGAAAGCCTTCTACTGCAACAAGTAAAACAAATTTCTTTGGATCTCTGAAAATGTCATATAAGTTATACAAGCTCCTTTTTAGGTATTGGGTATGTCTCAACGTTCAAACGCTTCACTCATCTCTGCTGTATTCACTTTACAAAAGCAAGGTGAAATATTGCTACAAGAATTCAGGACCTAAATAAAGGTTTCCAGTAAAAGACACTATCCTCATATGATCATTAACACAAACAAAAAAAAAAAAATCAGAAGAAAGAAAAAATAAGTACAACCTTCCCATTTTGGCACATTCTTCTAAAAGCAATAACTTCCAAAAGCAACCCCCCCCCCAAAAAAAAGGAAATGAATGAAAAAAAAAAACCACAACCTACCAATCCTTAAATTTAAATACTCAAGAATGCTCACCCTTTTCTTTGACTAAGCTACATTAAATGTTCAAGTGTTTGAAACATCTCAAGCAAATATGGTCCAGAAAAATCAAGGTCATTACTTAATGAAAACTTGTTAAGAGATTAACCTATTTATAACATAAAACATAGGCTCTTGGCAAAACAGGCTTTTTAGGGAGGAGCATTAAAGATTTCACAATTAAGAACATTGCTACTTTAGTAATCCATACACAGTAATGGAATTCATCACCCTATCAGAAAATGCATGCAAAGCAGAGTTCTGATGGAAACATGCTGCAGTCTTTACAGCTTCAGCTGTACACAGAATATTAAATCTGTATTAAGCAGTAACTGTACTGCTTAATATGACCAGTTAATGAATAATTCATTCAGTGTGAAAGAACATGCAAATTGCACTCCCCTTCGGTGCTTTCAAAGTTTGCAGTTCTGTTTCTGTGCAAAAAAAAAAAATATTAAATTTCAACATTTAGGTTTGCCTCTTATTTGGTGTTAGGTCACACCAGAAAGCCCATACAGAAATATCCACAGAACTCCATTTCTAACATGAGGTTACTACAAACATAGAGCTGATTATCTGTACTTCTTGTTTCACTGGCATAAAGTTGGTTTTATCCTGGTTATATCACTCACCAGGAAACTCAGTCACCTGTGAGGACTGACTGAGGCACACACAGTTCTGTTTCTACAGGCACTGTGTGGGTCATTCTCATGGTTGCTAGCAGGGAATCCAATACTGTGTGCTTTGGCTCCCTCCTTCATTTGTAGAATTTAATATATTTTTACCTAGTATATTGAAAAGCTCTTTTGTAAGGCCAGATTTCCTTACAAACTGAAACATATCTTCCATGGTACTCTTCTGTTGATATTAGGATATTATGACCTGGACATATAGACAACTTAATGGGAAATAAATGGAGTGGGAGGATGAGGGGGAGCTTAAAGAGTATTATTGGAACATGGTCTACATCTAGAGGCTCATTACAAGATTACTACAGAGATCTACATTGTTCAAAATCCGACCCAGAGGAGGTGACGCTTCCTGCCAATTTTGCAGCTGCAACCAAACAGCAGAAATCAACGTATACATTTATGCACAGGGCCACCAAGTGGGGGACCTAGACAGGCTGGAGGAATTGGGCAGCAGGAACAATGTGAAGCTGAAAAGTCAAATGTCAAGTCCTGCACCTGGGAAGATGGAGCCTGGGGAACAACTCTGCTGAAAAGAATCTGTGTGTCACGTTAGTTTGCAAACTCCACATAAGCCCTGGCAAAAAAAAAGAAAGCCAACTACATCCTTGGTGCTAACAGAAGCATAACTGCTAGACTGACAGAAATGTTTATCCTTACTTTCTTTAGCATTCATTAGATTGCATCTTGAAGCTGTGTTCATTTTTTGTCCCCGTGGTACAAGAAAGCTGTTGATCAACTCAATAAAGAGGACAACAAGAGGAAGGATACATAATCAAGACTCAATAAATGTTCTAAAACTATTAAAAAAAGTTGACAATCCTAATCCTGCAAATAGAGAGATGTCTAAATTTAGAAATGGAGCTATGCAACACAGATAAAACAATACTGATATGTTCTGACTTGTTCCTTTGAAAAGCTACTGCATAAGCATGATTTTCCGAATGTTCAGTTTTTCAGCGTTATAAACCACTCTATTTTCAGACAGGAAATAGCTTAGCTGTTTTAAGGTTGGAAAGCAAGAAGTAACTTCACAAGGGAACTCACAGAAGATTCCTACATTCCTATCTAATAAATTTCAATTAAAGACAGGGATCTACTGAGTTAGTTTGATGGCAGTTCATTCAAATCTCACAGGAGAAAGGTAAAAAACAGAATCTCAGTATACTCATTAATGAGAGGAAAAAAAGAGTTATTTAAAAACTGTTATGTAACTTCTTATCCAGGACTTCTTATTCTTGGAGTGTAATAGACTATTTTGAAGGAGAACTCTTGGAAATTAAAGAAATTAGGTATTATAAAGATAGGAGAAAACTTTTACTGAAAATTAATAAAGAGATGCAATATTTCAATGAATCTTTGCCCTTTCATTTCAGCTCATTACAAAGACACTATTATAAAGATTAAAAATATTTGGGGCCTCTGAAATGGAAAGGGAAAATTTTCTGCAAAATAACTTCTGCAGCACTGAATCTTTGCCCCCCTTCGCTGAATCTAAATGAATAGGTATTTCCAAGATTGCATCTGAACGAAGACAATTTCCATTCTCTTTCATGTGGTTTTTTGTCTGCTCTACTGAAATGTGTCTGAAGCTCATTGTTCTCCTTTCCCCATATGACTGAACTCAATCTATTCAAAGAAATCCACTGAAGTCTATCCTTTTTAGTTTATTTAAAAATCAGACTTCAGGGATCTTATTTAAGAAAAATCATGTTTTATATGTACAGTAAATTCTGCTATCTCTTTACGTATATTATTGTTCACTATTTCCTTTTACATTCTTCTCATCAGAAACCAAGCCCTCCATGAAATCCTCATTTGTGTATCTGACTTCTGCCTGTTCACACAGACCCTGGAAGCCTTTCTCAAGGTACAGTGCACTGTCAGCTCAAAGCAATCAGCACCTTGCATTTACCATTTCACTGAATCAAATTCCGTGCTCCTGATGACTGTAATGACACTGCAGCTAATGCAGGCTGCCTGCAATTTATGAACAGCATGAACATCAGTGCCTCCATTCATCATTTCAGTAATGTCTGCAGTGTCATAAATACAAAAGCCTGAAAAGGTTATTTAAGTCTTCATAACATTTTAAAGAGAGAGAATTCTCAGAGGATAACAATTTAGTCTTCATATATGAAGTAATATGAAAAGCCTACCATAACATTTGGAATGCAAAACACTTAAGAGCAAGTTACACAAAGAACAAAACAACATTGATGAAAGAGCATTCATTTTTGGTGTTGGAATAATATTACAGTTATAAAATTAGAAATGCATATCCATGCATTTATTTTTTATCACAAATCTCAGCAGTTCTTAAATTCACATTTTAATTCTAAGCTTTCAATAAATGCACAAATTAAACAACACATTTAAACATTAAAAGAACTATGCCCTTACAGTTACAGATTTAAGTAACAGTAAGTAGGGTTTAAAGAGACTTAAGTATTATTTGTAAGAATCAGAAAAAAATAAAACAAGTTACCTTGTGAAAAAAGTACGGGGTGGATTTTAAATCCCCCTCCATTCTTCAGTCTTTGAGGAAGCTGTTCGAAATGGTAAGTATCAAGGTAGAAGTAAACCTTCAGAGTTTGCCGGCTTCCTTCCGCTTGGTATGTGATTGGGACATCTGAAAATACAGCCAGTGTTAGTGCTTCGTTAAAACAATCACACGTCCTTTTCCAGAAACTTCTGCACCCCAAGTTCACATGGTTAGATCAAAATCACTACAAACAAAATGAGTACGTGCAGTATTTTACATCGTATTTAATGCTGCTCCGGTCACTTTTGGCCCATCCATTTTCAAAAGTAGAAAAACAGCATAAATCCACCTTTGCCCTGCTGCCAATGGCAGCAAAAATACTAAGCAAATACAGATGGCATGAGTCTACGTTGAATTCTCTGAAAATCTGAAGAAATGTGTACATACAGTGCACGGTTTGAAACCACTAGAAGGATGCTTTGAGTAGCTTGAGCCATATTTCATACACAGTGAATATTTTTCACTATTTTTGGTAATAAAATGCACTTCTATTGATCACACAGAATCATAGTTGAAAAAAAAAAAATTGTCATTGAAAGTTCCTTTTTTTCTGAAACCACAGTAAAGATGATTGTAGTGGCAACACTAAAGCTAAAAGGAAATAGAGTTTGTTACACTCCTACAGCACATGTACTTTGTGTTCCTCTCTATTTTAGCACAGACACTTCAGTCAAAAGACATAGAAAAAGAAGGTTATCAGGAGTACTCAGCATCAATTCACCAAGGGGAAAATCATGCTTGATCAATCTAGAAGCCCTCTATGATGTTATGACTGGCTGGGTAGATAAAGGGAGAGCAGTGGATGTTATCTCCCTTGACTTCAGCAAAGTTTTTAAACTGTCTCCAATAATATCCTCATAGGTAAGCTTATGAAGTGTAGGATAGATGAGCAGTCAGTGAAGTGAATTGAGAATTGGCTGACTGAAAGAGCTCAGAGGGTTGCAATCAGCAGCTTAGAGTCTAACTGGGGGCCTGTAGGTCTTGTCCTGTTTAACATATACATCAAAGACCTGGATGAAGGGATAGAGTGCGCCTCAGCAAGTTTGCTGATGATACAAAACTGTAAGCAATGGGTGGAAAGGAAGCTTATGAGGTTCAGCAGTGCCAAGTGTAGAGTCCTACACCCAGGAAGGAATAGCTGCATGCATCAGTACATGTCAGAGGCTGATCTGCTGGTAAGGAACTCTGTAGAGAAGGACCTGGGCGTCCTGCTGGACAACAGCTTGGCTATAAGCCAGCAGCATGCTCTTGTGGCCAAGAAGGCCAATAGAATCCTGGGGTACATTAAAAAGAGCACAGCCAGCAGGTTGAGGGAGGTGATCCCACCCTTCTACTTTGCCCTGGTGAGGCCACATTTGGAGTACCGTGTCCAGTTCTTTGCTCCTCAATTTGCAAAGGACAGGGAACTTCTACCAAAATTGATGAGGGGACTGGAACATGTCCCTTCTGAGGAAAGACTGAGAGATCTGACTGTTTTGCCTGGAGAAGAGACAACTGGGATAGCATCTTATCAACACTTATTACTATCTAATGGGTGGGTGTCAGGTGGATGGGGTCATGTTATCTTCAGTGGAATGCAGCAACAAGGAGCAATGGGCACAAACTGGAACACAGGAAATTCCATCTGAACAAGAAGAAGAACTTCTTTACTTTCAGGGTGACAGAGACACTGCAGTAGGATGCCCACAGTGGTTGCAGAGTCTTCTCTGGAGATATGGAAAACCCACCTGGATACTTTCCTGCGTGATCTATTGTGGGGAACCTGCTTCAGCAGAGGGTTGGACTAGATCTTTTGAGGTACCTTCCAACCCCTACAATTCAGTAGGACTCTGTGAACAGTTTATGGTTAACTCTCCATCAGAAAGCCCTCTTAAAACTCGTCATCCAGCTTGGCAAGGCTTTGTTTAAAAAAAAAAAAAAAAACACCACCAGAAAATCTCTGAGCAGGATCCTGACTTGACTTAGAGAAGTAAAAATGGTCTTATATTAGCCATTTCCTACCTAGATACCAGAGTTGCAACTTGTGGGAATGGGTGTGTTTCAGAAATTTTCAGAGCACAGAAACCTCTCATTAGCTTTGTGGAGGACTTTTTTTCTTCTGGTTTTGTTTACTGCAGAAGTTCTCTTATGTGTGGTCTCAATCCAGCAACAGAATTGTTTCAGAAAAGTTTGAAGTTAGGCAGACATGCTTTCCTCCCTTCCCAGGGGAGTTTGTTGTTTTGTTGTGTTCTTTTTTTTTTTTTTTTTTTAACTCACTACAGAAAAATTTCAGCTTAGTGAAAAGAATGAAGGAGTGGCTGAAAATGAGTGACGGGTATAATAAAACGAGCAGTCTGTGAAGCAGTCTGCAGTTCCTTCTTACTAGTTGGGGGAGTACTGGAAGGAAGAGTTCATGTCTCTGACTGTCTCCATCACCAAGTCTCAGAGGAAGTTTCTTATAAGATTTAAAGCTACTCTGACAGCATTTGCTGTCTCTTAAGGAACTCTTTCTTTTGAGATCTACTTTGTCTATCAGAGAAGCTGAATAATATTAAAATGAAATGCTTTTAATGCTTCTCCATCTTATCTTAGTTGCATTTGTTTACTAAGGCCGTCAAGCTTCTTTTAAACACAACTCCTGGAAAACATTTTTTTTTATTTTCCAGGGACTTTCCTTATGTAGTCACATACTCCCAATGGAAACTTCAATTAAACAGATACTTCCTCCCTCCAGGTTACTACTGATATCACCATTTAATGATTCTCCATCAGGACTGATGTTAGCTGCATTCCAGGAATTCTTGGACTATTAGGAGAGCTAATTGTCTATAACCCCAAGGAAGAAATGTTCTAGCAGATAAAAATATTAGAAATACAGATAATATTTCTGAACAGCAATACCCAGATATTAATTACAATCACTCACTTGCAACTAGTGGTTCTGCCTCTGATTGTCTGAAGTAAAATGTAACTTTTTCCAAGTCAAACAGTGCAACCAGTGTATCCTCCAGCATAGCTTGTTCATCAGCCTAAAAAGGCAAAATAAAGAATGAAATGGTCATTTTGGACAGATGCTTTCTCTACTAGAAATAGCATGAGAGCAACAGATAAGAATGTAAGAAAAGCTACAGAATGTTGCACAACATTTTACTAATGCAGTGCATAAAGTAATTAACTCCTAGATAACGTAAACATAGCTGCTTATATAGGCACTTTCCCTTTCATTACTTGTCCATAATTAATAAAATAACATTATCATTTCACAATTGTAAATTAATAGGCAATTTACAGCTACCATTATTCCTTAGGGCATTTAATCAAGCAATATAATAAACATTCTTCATGTAAGACTTCAACATCTTGTCCTTGATACAAAGCCCATCTTGTAAACCAACGTAGAGCAAATCTGAAAAGCAAATTCCACTTTTCTAGCAATCTGCTTTTAAAAATGCCATTACTTCAGTATTTCATTTATGAAAACTAGACAACAGTTCGTTGTCTCCACTCTAGCCACCAGTAATTGAACCAATAGCTGAGAATAAGTACAGCTCAGTGATTTGCCTACAAACACCTAGATGCAGATCAAGTAACCAGGTACATCAACGTTGTGATTTGCACAACACTGAAATATCCAGCCTCATTTACCAAAAAGTTTTAGGAAATAAATTACTAAGTTCTCACAGCAGCTTACTGCATCTTTAAAAATAGAAATAGTCACCTGCAAGGATGGCTATCTTGAGCTAAATATGCAGAACAATTATAGCAGAAATCAATAATCACTTAAAGTAACCCTCTCCTAGCACATTAAACTACCTAGAGCTAAATATAAATCAGAGGAGTTAAATTAGATGCCTAAAAGAACAGAAACAGTAGGAAGACAAAGAATAATCAACTAGCTGCCTGAAAAAGCAACAAACTATAGCTTGCTGAATTGTAGAAAGGAAAAAAAATTATTTCCCCTTGTATTTATAAAAAAGCATCACTGCTTGAAATATTTTGTTTCTTGGTTCAATTTATAAAGTCTCTGTGGAGAAAACAACGTTTTATCAGCATAATAGTCCAAAAACCACTCAGTGACTTGGGAAATCTCTGCACAACTGTTCATGCCTTCCTGAACTCTGGCCATAATGAGTGTAATTTCCTTCAAATACCATTGTTTAAAACAACATGGATCATTTGTAAGCAAAACAGTCCTGAGAAAGTATTGAAAATGTTGCCTGTTGTTTTTCCTTAGTTAAGAACAGTCATAACTGAAATTCAGAATTTCTGTGCAAACACATATACACAAGAGATTAAATGTAGGTTTGGGTTTTGTTCTTAAATCAACAATGGATATTGCTGGTATCAGACTACATTTAAATAGCTAAGTAGCATGACTTCATTACAAAATAAGTCTCTACTATCTTGAAAGGAAAAATGGAAGTATTCAGGGATACAAAGAAAAAGCTATTTACTGATGGCACAACTAAGCACGTATTAAGTCGTAAGTATCAGATGAATTTACTCTTCTACACTGAGGACACAAGCATCAGGACAGTCTGGTGCTGAATGGTGCTAAAAAGCACCCAAGAGAATACAGAAGCAGGAGATCCCCAGATCATGCTTTCTTCACATACTTCTCATGTAGAGAACAGCCCTTCTGTTTCTAATAGGCAGTTATCTAGCTGTTTTTAAGCCAGAACAACTCATCCTAACACCCTGTCCCATATAAGAACATGCATGCTGCTTGACTGCCTGTGAGACTGGCACTTACACTAGCTAAGATCAGTGCTCTTCAACAATACCACAGACTTCATGATTGTAATTTAGAAATATCTTTATTTTTATACAAGGGCTGTTCTGACTGTATTTTATTACTTTGTCCTACAGCATCAGAGGTGGATGTCGTTGGTGGTATGGCAGTAGAGGCTGAACCTTCCCACTAATATTCCATTACATGTTGTTGCCATGTGAGGGGCAGTCTGATAAAATGGCATCTGACATGAAAGTGCGTAGGAAGCAAAGAGGTGGAACTGAATTCCTCCATACAGAGAAAAAGGCATCCACTGATATCCTTTTACTTTATCTGAACACTTATGTTACACTCTGGTAATGGGGTATGTGAGCACAGCGAGGGGGGGTGGTGCGTTTCATACTGGCAACAGCTGATCACCTCTGCTGTGGCCTCTGGAAGTGTGGCATGCAGGCTCTTCTTCATTGCTAGTAAAAATGCATAGCTAATGGAGAATGGGATGAAAAAGAGTGCTTTGTAGCTGACAATTTGCTCTATTAAATAGTGTTATTGTGCTTTTGTATCTGTTACAATGTTCACTGAAATAGATAGGAGGCACTACTTTTGGAGCAACCTAAATAAAACTCCTCTGTTTTGAAAGGACATCTCATTAGCAATTTGATGATGAGACGGAGAAGGAAAAATAACTTTTGATATTAGGAACATTGTCATTTTTGTGGACTTTCCATGCAGTAAGATGTACAAATCTGACATTGGTTTGTGAAGTTTGATCCCACATCCAATGTTGGGCAATTAAATGAAATACTGATAGTCACATTGTTAACAGATCTTAAAGCTTATCAGTAAGACTAAACACTAGCACAAGAAAACCACATGACAACTATAAAAAAAGCAGTTGATTTTATGGAGCTAAACAAGAGTTTGAGAAGACTGACAGAGACCAGATTCTGCAAACTACTTTGAGTTCTTCAGGTTAGCAGAAACAAGTCTAGTGTGAGAGGTAGCTTAAACAGCTGAAGAAGCACTTTGTTTATCTGAGGATTACAGGACTGTAAAGCTATGTCCTTTTTAAAATTGTGTTGTCAGCCATGGCTCTTTGCCAAGCCTGTGAAGAAATAGCAGACTTTCTGTTATCCCAAGAGGCTATGAGAATCTGCCCTGTGCCAGGGGCAACACAGACTAGCATACCTAGTCATTCAAAGATATCCAAAACAGGTATTTCATTTCTGTTGCATTGCTACTTATTGCAGACTCAAATTCTGGTTATCACCTAATATTGCATTCAGTGCTAAGGAACATGATGACAGTGGTGGGGAATCGTGGGTGCATTCAATATCTTCTAAACTAAAACCAACATAATACTATCTTTATGAATAACATATTTCCCATATCACAAACATTTCCCACATCTGCAATTATCCAAATCACAAGCTTCCCAAATAGCACCTAATTAACTGACAAGCTAAGCACAAAGGACAAGGAAAACACATTTATAACAAAGAGTGTTTAATCATGCTTCTGGCTTGGGGAACAAACATCAGCTGTTTACAAGTACTTTCTGTGAGAGTTCTTACCAGGTTAGGTGACAGCAGTGACTGGAAATGAAGGAGAACACCCGCACTGGCTATCTGTTCCAACCACCTTCTGCTGGCCTCCAGTGTCTCCATTTCATATTCTTTGTTGTTGTCAAACATCTGATTTAAGGCCACCATCAGTTGCTCGGAAAAAGCACAGACAGTGGCCACTAGACTCTGACAGAAGACCATGTCTCGCCTCAGTTGTATCTCGCTGTCTGTGATGGATAAAAGCCAAAATAGGAAAAGCAAAGCAGAGATGGAGCAGAAGATTAACAGTAAAGTAACTGGAACTGATCTTTTTACTTAAAATAATTTGGTTTTTAGCCCAAGATAATGACAACTTTACAGCCTAATGTTATTCAAGTAAGTAGTACTTCATGACCAGAGCTGTCATTTTCCACTTCAAATTTCCATGTATTTCCATCAATTTCATGCACTTTAAATGTTAGGTGATGGATGTGAGTCACATCTCTTTGCTGCTGTGGGAAAACCAGGAGGACACAAAAACATTTAGGAAAGTAAAAACAGATAGAAGTTCTTAACATGACTCTGTCATCTCATCAACTTTACTGTGTCCAGCTATGTAGGGCAGATGAAGACTGCTATAATTTGCAGACAAGGGGTATAGAAGTGTTGCTAGCAGGACACAATCATATGAATATGAAATCTATAAAGGAAGCACAGAGCAGCATCACATATCCAGGAAGCAGTAGAGATTTATGCAGTGAGGAAAGTCCAAGGCAGGTCCCCAGGTAGCATTCTATGGAATCCTTAGCAGCAGATTTAAAATCGGGTCTAGCTAATCTATCAATTTATTCTGGAGGGCACAGACATCAAGTTAGCTAGGGCTGAAAGCAGCTAGAAAAGGAAACATTCTCAAATAAAGCACAAAATCCTGTTGTTAAATATTCAGTACTTCCTCCTTATTCCAATTCCTTAAAATCTTTAAATATTGTTATCATTATAAACTGTTAGGCAAACGTCAATCACAGAAGGTACAGGTAGATTTACTGTTTCTCATAGTAAGAGAGGAAGACTGGATGACAGAGGTCTTTCCAAAGCCTAAAATCTTTCTCCACAATTTAGGTTGCTCTGCCTCTGAGAGATTTATCTCTTCTTTGGGGCTGGCAATTTAATTGCGTATGTCACAAAATTAATTTTGACCTTGTAAGTACACTTTTCTTGGACTCCATGTACTTCTGAAGGTTATTCTGTTCCTTTTCCTACCTTTCAATTTTGATTATTAAAATATAACTCCATTATCAGTCTCTCAAGTTGTGCAGAAGCCAGTGCAAACAGACTTTTCACCTTTAAAAACACCACTCTCCTCCAGCTTCAGAAATCCCAGTGGCTTCTACATGATCTAAAACTTTCCAATGTCATTGCAGTGCTTAGGGATTTGGGGCCAAAAAACCTTCTCTAACCTTGCCTTGCTCAGTGTTATCACTATTTGTCTAACAGCAGCTGATTTTCAGGGCCTTCCTCCACACGATCAACTTCTGAAGCAGCTCTCTTGTTTCTCTGACACCTCATTTTGAAATCTTATCTAATACTACTTGAATATCAGATTCTGCATACAAGAGGACTTCAAGATTTTTTTCACAAAAAAAAAGATACAAAATAAATTACAGAATTTGTAACCTTAAGTAATCATGTAAATAGAACACACAGCTTATAGGGGGGAAAAAAATCAAGTCTGGGTTATTTTTTAGGTCACTTCTTATTTTAAATGCTCTAAAAAATTATTTTAAATTCTTATAAAATGTGGAATAAATATGAAAAAGAAATATTATACTCTCCTTTATAAAATCTAATGTCATGAAATCATGCAATAACAACACATTCACATGATATTGATGTTACAACAATCAGCTTCTACAGTGAGCTATGACTGCTTCTTACTAGCTTATGCACCTACAAATCACACACAGAACCTTCTATCAGAAGTATTATTTTCTAAACACTAATTAGTGTTCATGTATTTTTGTATTTTTATTTTTATTCATGTATTATTTTTGTTCATGTATTATTTTTATTCATGTATTATTTTTATTCATGTATTTTTGCAGACAAATAAACACAGTGTGCATTTAAAGCTGTATGAGCTGAAAGTAAACCACAGAACTCTGAGATCCCTTTGAGAAAGCAAGGATATTAAAAAAACCACAACTGAACAACAATTCTGCACTCCATTATGTTGTCTCAGGTACACAGTATGAGAACAATAAAAGGAAAGGCACAAGTTATAATAGCAAGGCAAGTCTGGAAAGAGTTGGGAATGAAGTGGAGAAAAAAAAAAAAAAAGATGGTCAAAAGGGAAGAGCACAAAAGAAGAAAGACAGCAGAAGTACTTTGCACAAGCTTAGTAATTTGGCAGCTATTTCACCTGCCAATATTCAAACTGTATAGCCAGAGAATGCATTCTGCTTAAACACTGAATGTGCAGTGTTTGATAGAATGATCTTTAGAATTATATCCTTCAGGAATCTTCGCTGTAAACATGGGAGTAACGCTGGTTACTATCAGGTTATATTTGGTATTCTACCCCTTTCTCTATTCTGACAAAAAAAAAAACAAATAAAAATTGTCAATGTCACCTCCCAAAATAAGTAAAATTACCTGTATACTCCAGAAGTGCCAAGAGTATCCGTGCCTTCACCTCTTAAAGAAAAAAGAAAAAAGGAATTATATTGAAGTCACAGTTAAAAGGATTTTCACCGATAATTATGCACTTATATTATAAACATGGCAGTTCTTCCATATATAAGTAGCTTCCAAGTTCTTGTGTATGCCATCCTACCCTATACCTACAAAACAGTTTTAAGTTTCAATTTCACTCAGTTTTATATTTGACTTGATAAAACCAATACGCATCAAAAGCACCAACGTTGAGAAAAAAAAACACATAAAGAAGCAACTCCTATCTCAGAGTACACATGTACCAGCTGGTCAAAGCAAATGCAAATACGAAGAATTTCTGTCTTAATACTTTGAAAGACAAGAGCTGTTTTCATCAATTCCCAGACTACTCCAATTTTCCCCTTTCTCTCTAGTTACATACTTCAACATGAGGATAATGTGACATTTTCGTCTATATCGAAGTATCCAGTAAAAATTAGAAATCACATCTTCACTTAATTCTCAGTCTTCAGGATATTGTTTTCCTTGTAATATTTGGTTTTGCTTAACAATTTATATAAGAAAAGGTACAAATTTAACAAATATCATGCTGACAAAAACTTTTTATACATCTACTTATACTGTTTAATAAAAGGAAAAAATCCAGTTTATAAAAAACAAAATAACCCTTTTCTTTCACATTTTATTTTTGATTTGTCAAAGTTTTCATGTTGAAGGAAGTGATTCCTCCCATCTATCTGATACCAGAGTTACTACAACCTTAGATTGTGAAATTTCCAGCACATCAGTTTTTCTACAGTAAGTGCCTGAGGAACATGTCACTATTTCACATGCTTTCGCATCTTGCCAGTCTTTTTTTCCACACACCCAATTTTCTATGCAGTTCTATTTCAAGAATAGGAATACAAACAGTTGTTATATGGTATGCATTCATCTCAGGTGATGAAATTGACAGTATCAACAGCACAGTCTGGACTCTGTGTCTGACCATACCTACTCAAAGCTGGAATCTTTCCTAAAGGTGGTACTTAATATTTGGTGACTATGCTTAAAAAACATTTCAAGCCTGATCTTCAGCCATACTGTACACACACTAAGAAAGGAACTAACAGTGCCTGTGCTTCCAAAATGCCTGCCCACAGAATCTCAAATACAAGAATCAACATTAATGATTACTCTTGAAAATTGCCTGGTGAAAAATCTTTGCATTTGCTTTCTGTTACTTGAGAAATAGAGAGACTAATAACTTCTGATCTCAGGCAGTGAGGTGGACTCCACTTAACATTTAGCTTAGTAACTGAAAATATAATAAAGGAGAAAGTATTTTCTATCTGAAGAATTTAGACACAGTGAGACTATTATTTGCACCTTGTTTTATATGAGATTTGTTGGATCTCCAAATTCAAAAGCACTTGAGATATCTGCAAATAATGATTTCTTGCTTACGGGAAAAATACAGGACGCATCAACTTGCCTTTATCATTGCTAGAAGTCTCAAAATATACCCTCACACAAGAGAATATTTTTAGATTATTTAAGTGGAGATTTACCTGGGGTTACAAGAGAACCTTGGATGTCTCTCAATCTCCTGTTTTTCAATAAAATCCAAATGCTACAGAAGTTTTCAGCCCTACTTGCTACATGGCACATGCAAAGGAATAACTTTCCAGCAATTTCTCTTTAGATCATGTGTTACACAGTACAAGAACCTTTCAACATTTTTCCCCCCTCTAACACTATTTTGGTCTTTGCTAGGAAAACTTTTATCTTGAAGGCTAGATTTTAGTTTTGTTTCTCACATATGAAGATATTTTTGTAGTAACACAAAGATTTGTACTTCATGTTTTATTATTTCATTTGAAATATATTTTTATGCCTTCATTGACTAAAAAGCTCCTACACTCCATACTAAAATAAATGTGACCCTTCTCAAAAGAACAATGTTCCCTGATTAAACTTAAAATTAATTTGTTAACAAAAAACTTGCACTTCCTCATCCGTTTGTGTGACTAGCTTTGACGTCCTCTGGAACATCATTTTTAAATATGCTACTTTTATCTAGCAGGGTGGAGAGAGGGAGAGTGAAGGGAAGCATTTACAGAAGCTTAACTTTGCCGTCCTTACGCCTTTCTGTTGTTACGTATCCAAATGTTCCCTTTCTTCCCATCCATCAAACTGATTTTCCTGCTTCCTACTCAAGTCATCCCTCATATTGTTTTTCCTGCACTCTGATTTCCATGTCACATAACTCATATACTTTCAAAATCTTGTACCTACATTATTTTCTCTCTGTTCAACCACTGAATTCCTGCTGTGACCACTGCTCACTCCTGCACAAAAAAAAAAAAAAAAAATAAAAAAAAAAAAAAAAAAAAAAAAAAAAAAAAAATACTCCATCTTCCAAGATCTGCCTCAGCCAAGAATTTGTCTTCACCTTCTTTGGTATAACAATTTAGTAGGCCCAGTCACTCTAAATGAGAACTTTCATTTTTCCTTAACTTACTTACCTCCAGATAAATCCTCCTAGAATATGTATGCCATTTAATCACAGGACTCTTCAAGTCCATCACCTTGATTAGCCTTCCCAGGCTCACTTCTACTGCAACCATAGTAAACTCTCCTTCTCTAATTACATGATATTACAACTGACAGGAGAAAAGGCAATCCCCATGTGTTTTAAAGTTATTCTGAAGGAAGATTTACTTTTGTTGTTGTTGTTGTTGTTGTTGTTGTAGATCCAGTATTAATAAAAAGAAAACTAACTGGTCAAAACAATCACTCTCTCATCCTCAAGGCATTCTTATGTTTCCCCATTTCTTCACACATACTAAACAAATTAAATAAAAAGAGTAACAAGATCTAGGTATTAAACAATTCATTTTCATGAGGATCTCATATTTCCTTCTGCATTAATTTACTAATTAGTCTAATATAACACAACATGTTCCACAAGGCAACAGAAGAGTAAGTAAATATATATATATATATATATATATATATATATATATCACAATAGTCTGTGACATATTTCTGAAAATAAAAATGATTCCAGTACAGAGAATGTATTTACTGAAAGCATCCATCTCTGCTTTACTTTAGCACTCATCAGTAGTGGTTAAGCATGTTATTTACAACTATTTTTCCCCATGGCTTTCTGTCTGTGATTTCCTCTGCTTACTTTCTCTAGAACCTGATATAAGAGACAAATACATCTTTCTGATTATTGAAATATCACTTTACTTAGGAACAAACATGAAGATATTTTGGACAGCTTTGAATATCCCAAGACTTTGTTCAACTTGCTCAAAAGAGGCTGAAGCCCAATCACGCAGTCAAATATAGCACATACTTTGTTTCTTCTGAAAGAGGGAAAAGGGAAAAAAAATGCAAATAAGAGAGGGAAAAAGAAAGTTAATTGTTGTACCATGTGTTAAGCTTCCAGCCAGAAACAGCTCAGAACAAAACTCTTCTGTGTATCCTGACCATATGTGAGCAGAACACATAATGGCAAAAGTAGAAAGAAGAAAAATGCAGATATGAGGGGAAAATTTAGCTGCTATAGCATTTTTAACCTTGCTTTCTGCTCATCTGATTTTAGTTAGATGCAGCCGCTGGTTTTGTCTCACATTTAATTTATACAAGCCTAAGCCTGACTGAATGACAGCAGCCTCCAAAACTGCCTGAGGGACACGTTTCTGCTCTGAATCTTTTCAGCACTGAATTAAATATACCTGTCCACTCATGCCTTGTAAACTAAGCAATTATTCACTTCCACTCTCCTATTTCTCCTTCACACCATTTGTGCCAGGGAAGCCACAAGAATCTTTTGCTTTCAGGTATCCTTCCCATCACTTGAAGGCCTTGGTCCCACAGACAGATCAAAATGATGATGAAGATTTGGGTAACATTCCTCTAGATTCTCAGGACCAAGTATGAGTGGTATAAGCAGGAGGCAGAATAAGAATTAACTAAGAAAAAAAAAAACACAATACAGCAGAAACCTTTAAAGACTATTAACGTTGAATAAACAGCTTCAGATGATAACTCAACCGTAAAACAAATTATTTGGTTAAAAAGATGGCACAGAACCAGTGTTACAAATCTCTGACAAATGCTTAGGTGACATGGATGGAACAAGAGAGCCAAGAATATTTAAAATTGGCAGATAACTTCCAAGACACAGTGATGAGTAAAGATGAGGCAGATTGCACGCTGTCCTTGAACACAAGAATAATGCCTTTTCATGTTCTGATCTCTGAGCCATGCAGCATTTACAAGCACAACAATTGCAATAAAGTTAGCTACTATAAATTATTAACAGAGAAAATCTATTTTTCATCCTAGTTTCTGATACACAAAGAAAATGTTCAGTAAATTTCTAGACTCTTTCTGATAAATATCTCTATTACATTATAATAGCATTTGAAAAAGTGAAATCTTGTATAATGGAAAGGTGGTGATTCATTTGGACCTTGCTGAAGTCCTCCATGAAATTCTGTACTAGGCTTAAAAACAAATTCATTTGAATAATCTCAGTCCAGTATTAAGGGCATAAGATCAATGTTGAAACTGGTCATTACTGCTATTTACAGGCAAATAATGTATACAAAAGATTGTCTGTCAGGCTTCAGAAAAATCTTTAGAAGAGGGGCAGTGAAAGACTGTTAAAGATATTTCCATTCCTCCCAAACTCTGAAACAAATTAATATTTGAATATTCTTTGATAGAAACTAGAAACAGCTCTTCAGAAAAAAAGTACCAAAAACACTTATTCATTTTTCACTCCGTGGCAACCATAATTAAATTAAAATAAGTATTCTTAGTATTAAACAATTAGCCAGCTGTGATTGACACTATAAGCAGGAGCTATTCCTGTGGTTGTTCTTATAATTTTCTATCACAGTCTGAAAATATGATTGTTTCTGATCTGAGAATAAAAATTCAGATGAGGAGGAGTTTGTTTTGATGGATTGATTTCTGGAGGTTTATCTTAGTAAAACTTAGAAAGTTTTTTTTTTAGTGATCCACCTTTTTGTTGTTTCTTAATGGAGCACCATGAAAATTAGCCAAGAAAATGAAACACAAACCATTCAAAGTTAGATCTGACACAATTCTTTGTTCCCACATAGACTTCTAGTGCAAATAGTTCTATAAAGATCATTTGGCTCATTATTTCTGTTTCACTGTCAAACAGTACATAAAATAAAGCAGAAGCTACAGGTAACATTTTTTGGTGAGGAAATCCGTGTTTCTTATGAAGCCAGGAGACTAGGAAACCACAGATCACACTGTCAATTAGTGGCAAGGAAGAGCAAAGCACCAAGCAACTATTAGACAATGGTGGGAGGGAGGTAGAGAAAGAACAATAATGGCACCAGGTGTGACAGACTGAGCAAGTGATAATGATTCCAAAACAATGACAGATAAGAGGAAGAAACAGGCCAAAGGTTATTTTGCAGAGTCTTCATCTTTCCAATTAAGATGGTACAAAAAAAGGATTTTAATTTCAAGGAAAGCCCTATGTGTCCCATGAAGATGACAAAGCAGTCAAACTCCCTGTACTTCTCTGAAAACTCTCTTCCCTTCAGTATCTAATATCAGTAGGGTAAGCATCAGGCAGCTGAGACGTGTTCTACTAATGTTGTTACTACAAGCGTAAAAAAAATCCTCACATTCAGGTGTTTAAACAAGCAACTGTATCTTTCCCCTTCCCTTTTCCAGGATCTACACCATAAACTGAGTGTTTGTTTATGGCCATGCTCTTCCTACTGACCTTCAACAAATTTTCTGATACTCTGGGCAAGACTCCGGACACTGCTGGGAAGGTTCCAAGGGTCTTGCTTGATGTGAAGTCGTAACCTCTTTGGACAGCTAAGCTTCGGTTCCATTTCCTGCTGAAACTCTATGCAAAAATAAAAACAATATTTCTTCTGTATAAATCTCTTGAGAAAAATCACAGGAAAGCATTATTTCTTTCTAAATGCTTTCACACCATATGAAGAGATGATCTTATTTAACTCTTGTTACAGTCAGAGTGACAAGCCGAACAAAAGCTCTCCACTTAGTCAAAGAAGAAAACAGCAATACAAAAAATAGCTCCTTCTGAACCAGGTATTTAAGACAGAAGGTGGCCTCATGGAGCAAGAGAGCCCAGAACTTTTAGAGGCAAGTGTATGCAAAACTAATCCAATTAGAAAATCAAATTTTAATTACGACAAAATTACTTATTCTTTGACCTGGTCTCTGAAATCATTCAAGTGCTCCTTGTACTTTTTCAGAAGTTCATGAATACCAAGAATAAAACATCCAGCTTGTCCATACCTTGTGACTAATTGGACATTTATTATATCACTGAAAGGTCAACACTTTGTTAGTCTGTCACATGCTTGGCCTGAAACGCTGAGAAACTTAAGTAAGCACAAATGCTCTAGGTTCATTCTCATAGTCTTGGTCCCAGAATTGGAAATGGAAAAAGAGAAAGTAAGTAAGAGGAAGAGTTTATGCTGACTTCCAAACAAACTCACTGAGTACTTAAGGCTTCAAAAGACCAGGTAACTGGTGTACAATTACATTCTGTTGACTTCAGTGGGATTCTGGTGATCTGTAGAAGACAGATCTGCTCTCTGCCACTTACAATTAGCTTTCTTTGCAAAAAGACATTTGACAGGGTCAAATAATCCATAAGCAAACCTACTGCACAGCTATACACAATACAACATTCTGCCTCCCACTGACCTTTCTTTTTAATTATTTTTAACTCTTTGCTAAAAGAAGTCCATAGCGTTTTTCATCATAATCTTATAAATAGGCAAGTGGTGATAGCCATATGTTCAGAATTAGCAACTACCTAAGTAATAGCAAAGTATCTCAAATTACACTTTTTTTTTTTAAATCAGTAATATTTATGTAAGTACATAAATGGTATATATATTATTGTGACTATAAATTTACATTTGCAAATTGTAAACCAAATTCATAAAAAAATATGTACAAAATGACTACAAAATAGATTAAAACAGATCAGAAATTGAGACAAATAGGTAATAAAGACACCTGCAACACACAAAATCAGCTTCTTACTTCAAAAAACTCAGTAATTCTATAGCCAGTTAAGAATCTAAAATTTAAAGTTGATTTTCTAAGAAATATGAAATACGTTGTGCAATAGAAGTGTCAGAAACAGCTTCTCCACTAATCTAAAATCTACTTAAAATTTTCCAAGATCAATTATCACATAGTATGGCAAAAATAAGCAAAAATCAGTTTTTTAACACTCAGCTCAAGGAGCACATGGCCACATCCATATACTTTTCAAGCTGCCTTTTGATTCAGATAGATAGAATTGTTACCTTGTAGGCCTCGGCCCGGTGTGAAGTGTTTTGTCTGTTCAAAGGCCCTCATCACAGCTGGTCCTTTCAGAAGACTGACAATTGAGTCAACCTGTTAGGATCAAAATTCTGTCAGACAGGTGTTTTCCACAGCAGAGATCTGAAATTCTTTCTTTGAGAAACACAGACTAGAAGAAAACACCTTTGAATGCTTTCTTACCTAATTGCTGTAGTTAAAGCTCAGGACTAGAGAATGTTACTAAATACAAGGGCCTTTTTAATCGGTGGTTTTGAACTATTTACAGAAAAACAGAAGGAGAAGGAGTAAATACATACCATCCCAATAAACAGTGGAAAGCAAAAGTAAAAAGAAAAGAAAAGAAAAGAAAAGAAAAGAAAAGAAAAGAAAAGAAAAGAAAAGAAAAGAAAAGAAAAGAAAAGAAAAGAAAAGAAAAGAAAAGAAATTGCTAAAGACATTTTAGCTCAAATATCTATGTTATTATTAAAGGGAAAAAAAAAAAAAAAAAATCTCATACTTGACCAAAAAGATGTTCCAAACAGCTATGGAGCTTGTCTTGTTTATCATGAGAGATTCGAACACTTATGGGAAGCTCATCGCCTGAAAAATATTTTAAAATTAAAAATTGTTTAGAAGGTTCAGCACATTTTCCAAAATATTTATAGCCTGGGTAATCTAGTAATCTTTGCACATATACTGATACTTAGGCCTTCAGGATTATACTCGCTATAGTTCTGGTAAACATAGTACATTATTCAGAATCACAGAATGGGATTATTGAATCACAAAGGTTGGAAAAGACCTCCAAGATCATCCAGTCCAACCATCCACCCATCACTAACATTTCCCCACTGAACCATTTCCTCAGTACAACATCTAAATGTTTCTTCAACACAATCCCACAGTATGCAATTGCTTGCCCCATGTAATTTGCATTAGGCACACAGAATAATGCAGAAATAGCACTTAGAGAAGGGATCGTATTTAAAATCCAAGTGGACATAGATTTAGGCAATGTGGTCTAGCTTGAACAGGGGATTAGACTGGATGATCTTAAGAGGTCCCTTCCAACCCCAGTGATCCTATGATCAGAACACAAGAATCTTCTGTGCTGGACAACACAGCCCCAGACTAAACAGCAAATTAGCAGGAATAGTGCAGACCACAAAGCCACCAAAAATCAAGACATTTTTATAGGGACTGACTCGTCACAATCTTAACGGTCTTACTATTGAAATGGTTCTGATATTTTGGTACTTAAACAACAATACAGTAACCAAACCCTGCATTTGATACAAAGGTTTTAGAAAACAATTTTCTGTGTACCACTAAGACAATGCAAAAGAGGATTCTCCTAGGTCACGACCGTCAGTCACTTGCACTCTCAGACAACAGGTGACACAAGCTGAACTCTTTCAAAAACTGAAAAATTGAGCTTACAACTGGCTTTCCCCTTGCTGTTACAATGACAGATAACAAGTAGCCACTTGATAATTTATAACCCAAATTTATTCATGGTCAATCTAGACTCATTTTTCTTATGTCAGTGAAAAACTTAAATAGCAATTTTGTCTCCTTGATTTTCTTTTCAGCTCTTTTAGATGTCCTTATAGGCAGCAGTTATAACCTTTCACAAGATTTTACTAGTAACAAATGGAGCACAGTGCCAAAGAACTCCAATCTTACGTCAGCCACGCTAGCTTTGGAAGTAGAAGAAAATTAAGTCATTCAGAGAGTGGGAGTTCACTGAGTGGGAATACCCATCAACATTAACGCTGTATATCTGCACTTGACACCTATACTTTCAGGTACCTAAAAGCAGTACCTCAGAGTGTTGCTTCACTAGGTCTTATCTGTTTGTCAATACACTAGGTTGAAGATAAAGACCCTGTGTTTTCTTCATCCCTTTTCTCTGTATCTGCTCCCCACTCTTCAAATTTCTTGAAAGTAGCTGACAGGAATTACGTTATTCATAAAGTAGCTCAGATACCTTGTATAATGTCATAATACTTTCCTAAAAAAAACTCCTGATATGAACAGCACTAAAGTTTTCTTTCTTTATGACTAAGTCTCAGCATTGGATCATATTCAACTAATATGCCCAGTTCTTTCTGTTTCTAAATCATTCCCAAATGATAAACTAACAGCTTAGAGCAAATATTTTTATTATTAGTCCCTGAGTGTATGACCTTCTACTCCATGCAGTTAAATCCCATCTCATTCCTATTAGCAGCTGCATTTATTTAAATTCAATTTGTCATGGCATAAACAAATATGTGCTCCTATGTGGTCTCACAAACATACACAGCCATATCCTGCATTCTGGATGCTGACGCAGGCTGGGCAAGCATTCTGTGCTCACCTAAAATGATCCTTACTGTGTACAACATCTCAACATAACTCTGACAAGGTCAGGGCATGAAAGTGGTTAAAAGTAGTCATGCTAAGAGCTCTAACTAATTCAGTCTATCTACAGAGGTGCTGGAATGCTGTCTCTTTCACAGAAGAACTCTAAGTGCAGCTCTAGCTAGGTAGAAACAAAACAACACAATTCTATTACCAAGGAAGAAGAAATTTTTATAATGAAAACAGCAACAAAAGTGCCAGGTAAATGAAAAGAATGAACCTGGGTAAAAGGAACCAATGACAGATTCATAGCTGACTTCTCTAAACATACCTGAATCCATTTCATCACTGTGAAAGTAAGAACTGCACTGACTGCTGCAAATGCTGGTGAACGACGCAATGGAGTTCCTGTTGCTGTTGCAATCGCTTGGAAAACAAAACAAAGCAGAATGAAATAAAGCCATGTCCTTTTACACAGGCATTATATCAAAATTATATATATTTTTTCCCTTTTCTGCTTTTGACTTTAGTGATGAGACAGTCCTTAAATTTTTTTTATTAACATTAAAGATCTCTGTTCTCAGGCTGTCGTAATTCACAGTCATGGTAAGGCTCAGACAGCTAGATTCTCTAACTTGATACCCTTTTCATTGTTAAGTTTGCACTGCAAGCAAGTATTTGCAGACTGAAAATATATACTTTCAACGTGAAACAACTGAATTTTCTTACACGAGTGACAGTTTTTGAATCTATCGCCTCAAACAATTTTGTAACTCTACATTTAAATTCTGTATTCAGTCCATAACTAATACAGTATTACAAAGTACTCTGGTTTTATGACTTGAAAACTAGAACTCATATTGGGCTGAGAACAGATTTTATCAATTTCACTAGCAGAGAAACTCAAATTATGAACTACTTATCTCTACCAGGATTAGTTTCAAGCTGCAACAGAACTGCTTTCTTCAGAGCGTCTGGTATGATGCTACATTTTGGTTCTAAAAGAACAGTGTTGATAACACACCACTGTTTATAGTTGCTGCTAAGCAGTGCTGTACGGAGCTGAGGCCATTTATAGGGAAGGGCCAGCGAGCTGGGAGGGGACAGAATCAAGAAAGCTGACTTAAACTGCTCAAAGGGATATTATGCAGAAGGAGTTTTTGAAGGAGATAGAAGTTCATCTCATCTATTCCACTCGCTAAGAAAGGAGCTAGCTCGGCATTGCTCAGGGGTGGTGAGCAATTGCTTGCTTATCACTTTTTATATTCATTCACATATATATTAACCTTTTCTTTTTCTTTTAGTAGATAGTTTTGTCTCAGCCCACAAGATCCACTTCTTTTATTTTCTCCGCACCCCACTGTGAAGTGTGGGAGTAAGCTAAGGGCTGCCTGGTGTTGAGCCAGCTGCTGGGTTAAACCACAACACAGCCAAAACATATTTTATTAGTCCAGCTTTTCCAATTGTTCGTTCTGTGAGAGATGTAGATGTTTACACACATAACTTCAGTGCAAATTTTTATGCATAAAAAAATTGACCCTTATTAGTCTAGTAAGGAGATTTGAGGATTAAAATTTGAGGTTTTTTCCTGATGTTTTCTCTGCCGTAGATACTGCACTCATTTACCTCGTCCTCTCTCTCAATAAGAAATTGTTCCATACTGAAAATAGACAGAGAACATATCTACTTCTGCAGCACAGAGTAAAACTTAACCTTTTGTACTGAAAAACTGTGAAGAAAAAATTGAATTCTAAGTCTTCAACAGTGAATGATTTATTCACTTCAAGAAGACTGTCTAGATTCAGGAAATGATCAAGTAATTATCCAGTAGAGGGAGTCTTAAAAACCCCAGTGAATATAAGATCATGTACAAATGTACCTAAAGCACATTTAAATGTAAGGAATTGGCTCTGGTTCCATGAATTGGGTGTACCATAAATCAAGTATATTTTTTACATATTGCTACAATTATTCATTCATTCATAAGCTCCCTATTTGCTTTGTTTATTTTTGTAAAAATAGAAGCTATCTCTACTATTTTTGGCTTAGTAACTTATCTAGTTAGCTACAAGTGAGTGGGGAAAACGTTACATCGAACCATTGTAGCGTAATTACAATCAAATCCATTACATAGATGAAAAGACATCAGTAACATGTTCCTACAGTGGATGAACAGTCCAAGGATTATTAAGAATTTCTGGCTGGATATTAAGAAATGTTTTCTAACTAATTCTGTTCACATACAAAATTCCCCAGAGGGAAGATGAAGGTTATTTAAAACAGGATTGTGCTAAGTATGAGAAAATGAAACACGGGAAAATGAAAAACAGATTAGACATTACAACTATATGCCATATCATTCTGCTTTTATGTGTGTGTGTGTGTGTGTGTGTGTTGTAAGGTTTACAGTGAGGCCCTAGAACATAAAATTAGGGTACTCTAACAGTTGAAATTAGCATACTAATTATAATATTGTCACAACGATATCTGAAAATTTCAAGTTTTGTCTAATGTAATTATTTAAAGAAACTAAAAAAAAAAAGGCAAAAAAAAAGTGATTCTACCTTCTAGTCATAATAATGAACCATGATAATGAACATACATAGCCATTGACATAAACATGAGGCATTAGTTTTAGATCAATCTATGTGTGTTCATTATCATGGTTCATTGCTCCGGAAGTAATGCCTCCTGTTTATATCCATGGAAACTACAACTGATACGAAGAATACAATAACACTAGTTGATAAAGTAAATTCTCAGCTACAAAACACTATTTTTCAACATGGTCACCACCATTAGCCATGCATAATCACCAGAAATGAAGAAAAGCCTGCATGCTGCACTCTCAAAAGTCTGCACCAGCAGAGGTGACCCAACGTTGCTGTTACCACTGCTGACGTGCACCACCCGCTACCTCACTGAGTTCACATTCACACTGATTGAATGTGACTGAAAATGGTCAACACCATTTTTTCCCATAAGGAGGAATTCAGTGACAGACTTTTGCTCCATATGCACTTCCATGTCAGGTGCCATTTTGTCAGACTGGCCCTCTGCGGCCATCTGTCACATGGCAACAAAATGCAATGGAATGTTGGTGAAAGGGTGCCATACCACCAACATCCACCTTGTCGTGGGTAAACATAATAAATTAGGAAGCATTACTTTTGGGGAAGCCATTGTATAAGAGAGCCCTATTTTACTTGCAGTTAAAATTTAATTTAGATTTTACATCAAGTGTAATTAACCAATTCTCTCTAAGCATCAGGACGTTGTCTTTATAAAGACCTGTGCTTGATATAATTATTTCTTCCTTTTCAAATTTCTTTGCATTTTAACTCACAGTAAGGGTGATGCACTATGAGTTCTAGATGTGGGATGCTGCTACAATATTGACCAGAAGAAGAAAAAGAGTATGTGTTGAGAATCAGATTTTTTTTTCTTCCTTGAGATCAGCAAGAATGGTGGCCCTGGCCTCTTGCTTTCCATGGCAGACATTCAGATTTTGCTGGGGAGCATCATAACAAACATTCTATTTCTTACAAGTAATCTAAAGAAAACAGCTCTGGCTGTAATATCCTATTAAGTTTAAGGACACTTAAGATATAATAGCTAATCTATAAGCAAACAAGTTTATTTTACATGTCTTGTAACATATCTTGATACCAGTTATTCTAGAAATGTCAGAACCTCTTGTTTTTATATTCTTCTTGATTTTATACAAACACACAGGCTTGATTTGTTAGACAGACAAATAAAAATATTAGTAGTAAAAGTACCTGTAAGAATCTCTATTGCTGATAGTATCATGACCAGAATCTTCTTGTTCATCACCTGTCACACTGAAGCAGACTTTCTTTCCATTCCTTTCCCCCTTTTCATTGTCACTGTCTGCTGGTACTAAAGGCTCAGGTGTTTTACGTTCTGATTTTGGAGAGTACGTTATTGAAGAAAGAAGGCTGAGAGACAAAGAAAAAAACACCCACAAGATTTTTAATGTTTTTCAAAAGCGAACCACCAACAAACTATTTCTCATCAACATCTTGGAGAAGAGAAGGCTGCGGGGTGACCTCATTGCAGCCTATCAATACCTGAAGGGAACCTACACCCACGAGGGGAGTAAACTCTTCAAAAGGGCTGACAACAGCAGGACTAGGGGAAATGGATCCAAGTTGAAGGAGGGAAGATTTAGGTTGGATGTTAGGGGGAAGTTCTTTACAAGGAGAGTGGTTAGGCCCTGGAACGGGCTGCCCAGGGAGGTTGTGGATGCCCCGTCCTTGGATGTGTTTAAGGCCAGGTTGGACAGGGTCCTGGGCAACCTGATCTGAATGTGTGTGTTTGGTGGCCCTGCTAGGCAGGGGGGTTGGAACTACATGATCCTTGAGGTCCCTTCCAACCCGGGTGATTCTGTGATCTTCCAAATATTATCCTATGGCATGAGATTAATTCAGTCCATATCTTTTTGAAACACTATTTGAAACAAGGGACAAAGGTGGTATATTCTCCTATTAAAAAGTGTTACAGTTGACTTGATCGTGCTTTAATCAATGAAACTAACTGACTATTCGATCTTCTATGAAAGCAAGGTTCCATTTGAGGATGAAATACAGTCTATTCTTCGAGACATTTTCTATTAATGGAACTACTTTTAGGAATTAATCAGGTGCTTCTCAGCACAAAGCAAGACAACAAATAAAGAAACTATTTCTCTGTGAAAAATATATTTTTTCTTAATTATTACTGTAGTAGATACAGCAGCTTGCATCACAAACTCTTTTAAAACATTTTAAGAATTGTTATTAATACGCCTGTGTTCCTCACATTCCAAGTGTCTAAGTCACTATCACTAGTAAAACTGATGATTGATCTACAAGCTTCTGTGAAGAGCACAAAATGACATCCAGTCAAGAGCAGAGAACAGTACAAACTGCTGTATTTGGAAAATGCAGATATTGGAAGCAGAAAGACTCATGTTCCTGAGTGATTAATTCATATTGAGAATGAGATGTTCTCATTTACTTTCAAAATCAGAACAGATAATACAGAGTATTCTGTTTTAACAGAACACTCCACTGCAATGATATTTTCAAACTAGTGTTTGGATTTGGAAGACAGCATTTTTCTTGCAAAAACTTCTCTCTAAATTTTTTCACTAAATCAGATGACATTGAGTTCTTAAGAAATTAAGGAAACGTACACTTCAGAAATGAGATAGGGTAAACTATCCCCATAATGCTGTTTGTTTACTGTAAAGCAATGAACACATAGCTCAAACAACGGCTCTGGCTCATTGAAATTAGGATCTGATTGATGTTAACATAGAGCTTGACATTAACTTGAAGAAAACAAGGATGGTAAACAAAGCTTTTTAGCAATTTCTTTCACCATTTCTGCATAGTTTTTTCCTACTAAAAACTAATGAGACAGACTGACAAATATATGTGTCAGGTACATGTATCCTGCATGAAGGGAAACATACTGATCCTAACTGTAACTGAAATGTAGATAAATTACGTATAAAATAAAAATAATTCTACTGAGCCTTAAACTCATCCATCCACTAGAAAGACATATTTGGGCTACATGATGCCTTAATGCTTCAGTGTGAATTCACCACTCAGTTCTTCCCTATCACTTTAAACAATCTCTTAGCAGGATTTCACAAAGATGGGAAGGAAGATGGAGTGTGCACTTTACAGCGGTGTTCAGTTTGATCTATCTTCTCATTATGTGTTATGAAAACATAAATCTTAAGAAATCAGTTCTTCATCTCTGTAAGACCAATTAGTAAGAATTGGTCTGAATACCAAAATACAAAAAAGGAACTAGACAAACACGTGGCAGGTGATTCTAACTTTTCCAGAAAGGTCAATTTCAAGAAGACCCAATAGCACTGTCTACTGGAAGATGAGGTAAAGAATAACTAATACATACTTCTCTTATTTTCTCGTGTTCCCATTTTGACCTCCTTTTAGGATAAAAAAAGAAAAGACCACTGGACAGATACATTCTAGTAACTTCTTGTGGATTTTGTAGTTGCAAGAAAGTAATTGAAAGTAAGAAACAAACAGGCATAATGAATTGCTATTTCAGCTCCTGAAAATATCTTCCCCTAAGTAATTATTTGTCAAGAAACAGACAGTCTATTATATCCTGTTCTTTTATGCGGCTGTTTAGTCACTGCTGCCAAGATCTTGGAAAAAGACTGATGAAGGTAGCTGGAGCTTTTCCTAAGGGAGCTTTTCACTTTCTCCCAGCATGCAGGCTCTTTTTCTAAGGAAATTTTTTTGCTGAACTACTGTGAACGAAAGCTGGAACTCTGCATAACAGAGCTCTGGAGTTGGAGTTCCTGAGGTCACTGAAGTGCTTTCAGAAACCCAATTCAGGGAGTCTAAAACACATAAAACCAGACCTGGTCTCAGAAAAACACATCAACCATCTTTAAAGAGACTTATTTTCTTGTGTTTCTTCTTTTTAAATATAGTACATACACACTGTATTTTCTTTGGAGATGGGCTATCACAAACAAAATTGTCTTAGACATCCATCTGTCAGAAGAAAAATATGTGTATGAGTAGTAACTAATAGCCAGAAAGTCCCTGTAACTACAGAAAAGGAAAAAAATAAAATTCCAATAAACACAGAAATTTAAAACTCGACCAAAAAAACCCTCATGGATGGAATTAATCTGATATGGGAACCAAAGAAACACAATTCTATAGTAATGTCAGAAACAAAAGATGTTATGGTCAGTCTGAGCATTAAGAATGGATAGCCAGCCCCTTTTCCCTAGCACCCAAGAAAGAAGAAAAAAAAGACCAAAAAAAATACACCAATGCAACTTTTAAGTTGCTCTGACTTTTCCTCATGCAAAAAACTGGAAAGTGTTCAAGCTTCCAACAAGTATCTTTCAAAAAACACCTGGGATCATGGGAGAATGCTGACTGCATGTGAAACAAGAATATAAAGTCACCCTGTAAGAAGCTCTTACAGAACTGGAGGCACTTATTTTCTCGTGTTAATGCTGGGCAACTGGCAACAGTACTAAAGAAATACTGTGATACTGCTAAACTACTTGAACAAGGAGTCAATGGAGCTTTGAGAGGCTGTGAGAAGGGAATAAATGCCTTTTTGTTTGTACCTTTCTTTTCCCATTCATACTTCTTATTTAGGAGCCACAATGGCAATTATTATAGAGATAATGCTAGGAATACACCATCTTCTCTTACTTATCCCCTACCCATAATTCACAACCTCTTCGAGGTGAAACATTCATCTTTTTCAGTTCTCTTTCATTCACTAACAGATAGAAGGGGTTGGGCAGATTCACCGCCCCTGGATTTTGAGGGTAGGGACAAAGATCTTAGCACAAAGCAGAGACATCTGTAACATGACAAGCAACAGTTTCTCAAATGCTACTATTATGAAGGGTACCGACAGTCATTTAGTAGCCCAATCTGTACTACTCAGATTTAAAACCATGCAACTGTGGCTCTATTTTCTTTTCTGATAGAATCATGGTAATGAGGGTAATGTTCTTCTTATATAGAAAAAGGTAATTTAGTAAAGACATGAATCTTATTGTTGCTGAAGTCAAAATGAAAAAGCATGCTGTACAGCCACTGTAAAGTTCAAGGATCAACATGTTTAAGTAGACACTCTTAGCTGTTGGACTATGAATATTTCCAATTACAACATAGCTGATTATTCTATCTTGTTATTCTCTTTCTTAGTAATCCTAACACTTCTCTCATGAGGTAGCTGTAACTGTGTTCTGATACAATACGCTATGTACTCCTCAACTGCTCTTGCTCAGCTGTCTTCCCATTTTCCTATTCAGCAGTTTTAAGTAGGTCTCTTGCATATTTCATTTCCTGCATGGAACTCCTTTGCTCTATAATAATTAATATACACTGACAATCCACTCAAAGTCTGTTAGGAATAAAGAAGGAAAAAGCTGAGTTTTACAAATAGTAAAAGGTAATATTTGCTAAGTAACTTTGTGCACCTTATGCAAGGTTTATTACAATGTCAGTGTATAGGAACTTCATGAAAGAGGAAAGAGTGAACCCTTGCGCTTACTTCCACAACTGGACTCAAAATCAATATAGGCAGACGTATGATATACACATACAAACAATGTGTGTCTGTAAATACACCTGTGTCTGTAAATATGCGCTTGGATGAGCAAAAGGCTGAGAAGTTGCTGCGCTCTTACGTCACAGAATCAAAGAGCCATCAAGAGGGTGGAAAGCAAAGTGTGATAGTCTAGTAAATGGAGCTTCCTGAAATATTTATTGACTGAACTTCCATATATGATCTCCTGATCATCAGTTACAATACAAGCACCACAGATAGTCATTTTTTAGCACATCCGAGCACTGAAATCATATTAACTACCTTCAAAATGATAATTAGTAGAACTACTTAAAGACAAAAAAAAAAAACAATTCTTTCTTTAAAAAAATGATAAATCAGTCTATACTTACTTTCATTCCTATGCATTGCGATACATTACAATTACTTTTTTGCTGTGTAACTATTACTTTACCATCTCAATTGTACAAAAAGATTCCTACTCAGATACAACTAGGAGAGGATAAACCCTCTTATGGTCTACAAAATAACAGGATAGACCATCTTTCTCAACCGAAGGACATGACAAAAGATCTTTTAAATTAAAAAAAATATATAATTTGTATTTTCAAAAGGAATAATTTATATCACATATGCAATCTTTCAAAACAGAAACATCTATCATTCTTCATCCTCAATCCAAGCAGTCACCTCACTTATCTCACGACTGGAAAAGTACATTTTAAATCTCTGTCCTCAGCTAGGACAAACTGATGCAACTCTGAACCTCCCACATTCAAATCAAGTGTCCTAATCACTCAAGTGCAGCTCTAGACCTAGAGTCCTTCATTATGGCTGATTTGTTTTTTAAAAATGTCTAATAAGCTAATAATCTTCCTATCAGTAAAAAATACCTTGCCAACAAATTCATCTTCAGGACTATTCGGCAATCACTGATGAGTTATAAATAAGATAATTTTGTAGCTCTGCCTCTTGCTTCCATTCCTAGTGAAAGCCTTGATGACATATGCATTTCATATTTCTCTCACCTCAAAATTATTATTCCATTCCTCACAAAAGCTACAAACAAATGGGTAAAAAAATAGGTACATGGGAAAAAAAGAAAAGGAAAATTCTGCAATTCTTACAATTCTTCTGCAGTCAATACTGATCTATTGATTCCATTACACATAGAAGGGACACCTATATTCATTAATACCGTCAATGGAAAAATTAAAAGAAAGCCTAGATAGTAACATTCACTTACTCATCTATCTGACAGACACAGGTTTCCATCTCTTTCAGTGCAGTTTGTAATTTGAACAGCAATTTCTGGTAGACATCTTGTGTTTCTAAATCTTCTTCTTTTAAGAGATACCTCAGACCATGACCTTCTTGCTGGCTGAGAGACTGTCCTGAAGGGGCAGCCATAGTAGTAATGCTATGCTGAACATAAATCATAGGATTCAGTTTACCTAGGAAAAATACAAAGCAGTTAGATTTATATGTGCTAATATAAATTTTTAAGTAAGTAAAATAAGTAATAAATTTGAAATATTTACCCACTTGAATTTTCATGTAATTATTTGATTTTGCATGTTATTTTCCACATGTAAGTTTAACTACTTAAGTAAAAAGTTGGCAATGAAATTACAATTAGCTTTTATTATGTTTTAAAGCAAACAAATATTGAAAAAGGAGGATCTCATAAATGTTTATCTTAATGTTAATATTTTATGATTCTGTAACAAAACTACTGGACATAGTTCCTTCACATTCTACTGGCCTACCTTGGTCATTGTTTTTATTTCCTTTTTCATGTGAAGAATGTTTTCTGCTGTCTAACTGTACACCAAAAGCACTTCCAACAGAAGTTGAGGTTTTAGGGTAAGAAACTTCCATTACATTGATATGGCAATTGGTTGGACAGAAATCACTGCTGTGAAGTGGTGAAATCTTTGATTTAGCTTGCTTGAAGGTAGGCCAAGCTCTGTTTTTTAATACTCTTGAAAACTATAAGTGGGGAAGAAAATAAAATTTTGATTAGTAGCTTTTGGTATGTCAGCACTCATCTGACAAACCTTAACTACATGACTAGAAAACAAAAGTTATAATACTGGCTATACTTCAATTCTTAAATCCCATTTTTCTCAAAAAAAATAAAGATAATTTTAATGGCTTTTTTTGTTTTAATATATTTATTTTTTCAAGTAAATGACACGTTTTATGAATGTAAAATTTATTTTCCTTGGAATACATAAAATACTAAAGTGTTCCAGAAGAGGAAGCCTAGAAGTACTTAACAATTCAGTGCTGTATTTCACATGACATATATGAACACTTCCTGATACAGACAAAATTTAAAAAAAAATTTAAAAAAATAAAATTTTAGCTTGGTAAAGAATATAAAAAAGAAAATTTGCAACTGTATGCTATGAATTCCATACAGAGAAATGGCTCTCTCTAATGGTAACCATGGCTGCACTAGCAGTACTGACAGCAGGCTGCTGAATGTGATTGTTCCCTTCTGCTCAGAACAGGTGAGGCTGCTGTGCCCAGTTCCTGTATCCAGTATGAGACCTGAACATACTGGAAAGAGTCTAGCAAAGGTAGAACCTGTGAGGACAGGCTGAGTCAGTTGAGACAGCCTACGGAAGGATGAGGGAATCTTATCAACATATGCAAATACTCAAAGGGAAGATGCAAGGACTGTGGATCCAGGCTCTTTTCGATTGTATCCAGTGAAGAGCAAGGTGCAAAGAAACAAAATACTGCAAAGACCTTTGATACTAACTCAGTTATGGAGCATAACTCACACAAAAGAATATTTTGAAGTTAACTTGTACAGCTTATTTCATACAATATGTCAGTACCAATTCAATCAACTAGGCTTTGACTAACATTTTAGCTGCACCAAGATACATGCCCTCTGAGAAGTAACAGCTTTTTGTGCTGGTATTTAAATTTCTGTTTATTTTGGTGTCACATTACTTCAGCTTGGTAAACTCCTGATTGATAAATCACATTTAAATCTTCATATTAGAACATGATCTAGAAGGTTAGAAGAAATCCAATTATGGAATTGTTCAAAGGCTGAAGAATGTACGAATAGTTAAGAAGGGCACTAAGGACATTCAATGATGAAAATGTTTCTGCAAGCAGTACATATTTCTCATCTCAATCTCCCACACATCATTCTCCAGAGAGACCAAATGCCTGGCTAAGATTTAATCAGGTCATAAGTCAGGCCCAAAATTATTTTCATGTATGTGTTGAGAAACATCTGGGACTCGGGGTACTAGATTCCAAGTTTATAATGAGCAAAATGTTCTGATAAAAATAATAATAGTAGGAACTGCAGAAATCTATGGGGTTTCTATTTATAGAATTCGAACTTTCACAGTGAAACCAGGAGCCAAGCCAAGCTCAGACATTCTGAAAGTCTTCTGTAACTATGGTTACCTTTACCTTGCCAAGAAAATGACCTATCTGTTCCTGCAATTCACTGCATTATTAATTGTTATTAAAAGCTCTAACCATGAAACTATTGATTTTTGAATGTATGAGCTTAAAAGTGCAGTTAGTATCAAATATATTTTTCTAGACAGCACAAGCATGATGAAAACCTCCCCACGGCTTATTCATAGGCAGCATAATACAATAAAATTTCACTTATTGTCTTGGCCTCCTGTAAAGAAACTGTACATCATTGTCAACTTTTTTTTTGCCAGAGGAAAGGTATAAAATACCTCACGCTACTCAAGCTCTAAAATTTGGGGGGGGGGGGGGGGGGGGGGGGAAATTAACAATTTAAAGAGCTATTGCTCTTAATAGGCAGGCTAGTAAAAGTCATACTAATTTGAAGGGCATATGAGATGAATAAAAGAATAACAATTCAGTATTTAAAATTAAGACGTACTAGAAGGAAAAACAATTCTGCTGTTATCACTTCATATTTGGTTAAAATCTGCAAGTTCACAATATTGATCAAGTATGACAGCCCTCTTGTAGGAAATATGTAGTTGATTCTATCTGCAGCTGAACACAGAGAACAAGAAAGAATATGAACTACCCAGTGTCTAAAAAAGGAATGATAAAGAGTACTGTTCAAAAACTATTTATGTAATAACTCAGTTAAGGCATTCAATGCCCAATATAACTAATCTTTCAGCCATATTTTTTTCACAGTAACAAACATTCAGAAGAATTATTCAAATCGTACAATTTTGCTTGTTTATTTTCCCTTAAAAGACAATTATCACAAAGCTTAAGACATGCAGGCCATACCTTTTTATAACTAGAAATTCTTCGGTAGATATGTTCAATTTTCTCACTGCAAATAACACTGAATTTACTTTGAAGCTCAGTAGAAATTACTTCACTTAAGGAACTGAGGCTGTTGCAGTTCTGCACAAACTGCTCATCACTTTTTGCCAGTGCTTCCAGAATCTAAGAGAATAAAAACAAGATCATCATATTATGAAATAAGATGACTAAAAGAACCCTTTACTTATTATCCCCTATAATCTAGGCTGAAAAAGCCAGATAATCGGTTGCCTTTTAACATTATAGGTACTAACTTCACAGAACTAAATCACAAAAAAAAAAAAAAAAAAACAATGGAAATCTGGGAAGCAAAAAACATTTCTCTAAATTTGTCCCTGTCACTGGCATAAATTATACCTGTAGCAAGTAGTTTCACTTGGCTTCTCATGACACTCTCTCATAATGGATTTACTACTAATTTCCTACTAATGCAACCAACATGGCTCACCTGAAATTCAATATCTGCTGTAATTACTTTAGCAGCACATATTACAAAAAGCCTCTGAACCAATTCATTAGTTGTAGCAAACATTCATTATATGGGCAGATGAATATTTGGGAAAAAAAAAAAAAGAAAAAGCATATAATAAATCTGAGCGCTTTCCTTTTTTTCATTGTTTGCATAGAAAACATGAAATAGTGAACAGAATAAGCTATGCTAGCCAGAAAAGACTGAAGTCTTGCTGTGATGAAAATCCCAGCAAGTGACTGTAGAATACTGAAAGAAAGGGGCATTAAACAGGGCAGTATATAGCCCTTATTTGAGTAAAAGATGTATTTCAGGTACTGAAATTCACGTATGATGGAGCATGGGAGATCCCTATTGCAGTTGTGTCCAACCTCTGAAAATGTGTTTGAAAAGCACACATTTAAAGCCTTAGAAAGGCCTAACAAAGGCATCCCAAATCCACATTAACACATGTAAACACAAGTGGCTTGAATTTTAGAGATAATCAACTACCTCCAAGCAATTTATCGTAAAAACTGGAAGATTTTTCACAACTACACTGCAGAAGTTTAAATTTAAACGAAATTAAGAAGTTCAGTGGCCTAATACAAAGAAATCTTGTTGATACCAGAGTGACCACATCAGCCAGTCAGTCTACATAACAATTTTATAAGGCAATCCCATAGTATTAATATTACACCAACTTGCAAAGAATTCTGAACAAACAACACATACAACATTAATACATCATGAGAACTATGACTACAACTTTCTTCTGCTACCGTTCTTTACCACTCTACCCATCATTGTGGCTACAAAATACAAGTTACAAGCCTGAGTAGTTTAGAAAATTTTAGGAAAAAAAAAAAATGACACTAGACAGAGATTTTGGAGTACAAAATATTAACTTTAAGAAGTTGCAGATTATGCATGAGAAGATCCTGAGATTTTTCTCATGTTCTCAGGAGGACAGAGGAAAGACCAACTCTTTTGCAACAGTGAGTACTTACTGCATTAAAATGTTCCAATTATTCTGGTTACACTTGCAATTTTTCGGTTTAATTAATGATATTTCAATAATTTAATGGACAGATGGAAAAATATGTTAAATGCATTAAAATTAAGTAACTTTCACAATACAACTTTGGTTACTTGCCATCAAAACACAGTAAAGATTTGTTCAGTATCAGAAAGCAATCCTTCACTATCTGAAGCAATATCAGAAGCAATACTTCACTGTACTATATATGATGCAGCATAGAGATGTTTAAAAATGCAGGGCAACAATACATGGCAAGATGAGAGAGAAGGAAATAGAAACATATTACCTAACTGCAAGTGCAGAGTTTACATATAGAGCACCAAGAACCACTTGCAGACAGCTATGATTGATAAAATTCCACTTACAGTTTTTATTATTGCCTTTGAGCAAAGGGGTCTGCTCATTTTGTTTTTTTTTAAGCCACTGGACATCTTTTTGATCACTATCACTTTTCTAACACAGTCATATTATTAAAAACAATATGGAAGTGTAATCTTTTAATAATTAGCCAGGCTAAACAAGCATACCACGATCTTGAAGGAACTTATCACTGTGATTGTCAAACCTAAGCTAGTGGATGACAACCCTGACTACAGTAGGAGGGCCGGAACTAGACAGTCTTTAAAGGTCCCTTTCAACCCCAGCCATTCTATGAACTATCAACAAAAAACCTTCACAATCCCTTTCACGTCTATTGCATGTTTTAATATTTGGAAATATTCACCAAAAACTCCTAAGTTGCACTTGTTTTTTACTTCATCTCTGATTTTGCCATTGTTAGTCACCAAGATATACACAGCTTTATTTTATTTTAAAACATAAAAAGAAAGATGCTATGCTACTTCTATTAATCTCGCAGAAACAAATATAAGTTGTATGTTATTTTGCTTCATCAAAACCACATTTGGAAACTATTGCCTATCTTCACAAAGTTTTGATGTTTCACTGAGCCTTCAACTTTATTTGAAGTTTTATTTGATAATTAAGAAGATAGGAAAAGATGCAGGAAGAATGGAAGACTGAAGCTCTTTAATGTTTGTTCAGTTTAGAGACTCAATTTATATTGGCACCATAACTTATTTTATGTCCTGAGTACAAAATCATTCTTCTAAATGTAACAGGAACAAAGGTCACAAGATATAAAATGAAACGTATACAACCCTAAGCAGAAAAAAAAAAAAAAAAAAAAAAAAAAAAAGATGTTGCTGCTCTGGTATTAAGCTTAGCAATAATAAACACACACAAAAAATTGCTTCATACCTTTGCAGTCAAGCTGAAAAATCCCTTTGGTTCAATCATTTTTTCTAACACATGGCACTTGATTCCAGCTGTGCTGTCATACTCGTAAACCACTCCATACTCCAAATGAACATTATCAACAGTCAGGCTTACATGATCTTTCTTCCCATCAATTATTGCCATAGTGTTAAACTTGTCAATTACCTCTAGAATAAGGAAACACAAATCAGTAGAGGAGCATTGGCCATTTAAAAATGAATAATAAAAACGACACAGGCAAACATTCTAGGAATAGGTGCAGTCTGTTTATTCTACTTGAAAATGTATTAATATCCCAACTAGGAGGTGAGTGATTTAAAAATCAGAATGCCAGGAGGTTTATAAATTTTAAAATACTACTCCTGCATGAACAGACACTTTACTACAGACTCTTTTTAGAAAAAGTCATTGTTTAAAGGAACTAATTCAATTTCATTTAAAATTTAGAGCTATGCAATGCAACAAAAATAAATTGGAAATCTGAATAATTCTAAATAAGCTAGAAGAAAATGCCTAGAAATGAAACCACTACGTCAGCATTTATTCAGATAATACAAAATTCTTATTAACCACCTCTTTAATTATAATCCTTATACATGCATATGAATCCAGACTTATCTAAATGTTAGTTGCCTGAAAATAATCTGAAGGATAGCTGATTTGTTATTTCTCGTGCAGTAGTCACTAACTCATCTAATTTAACCTTCAGTGATTACTAGTGGTGACAATTCAGATAATTCCCAGCATTAGAAATAAGAACTGAATAGTTTTTTTTCTTAAATTGTTCACAGAAACTTTTTTTTTTTAAACGAGACGTAACAATTTTCAAAGAACAGCATGTTATATTTACCTTTTTAGAACACAGAAAAAAGCAAACCCTTATGTAAAGCACATCCTACTGTCTGACTGCAGCTTCATCTACTAAAAAAAAAAACCCACTGCCTACTTTCCTTGCTACTTACACCAACTTCCTGAGCAAAAACAAAATCAAATCTGCTCTATATACCTTCCACTTTGCAGTCAAAGGCATCTCCTCCATCATCTCCTGGGGGCTTGGCATTTGTTTTCTGAAGATCTTCCTGTGCACTTTCAATGCTGTTGTAAATCCACTGTATAGAGTCTTGCTAAAAAAAGAAGAAAGAAAAAAGAAAAACAAAACAAACAAACAAAAAAAAACAAGAAAATTTTTACAAGTGCAATTGGCAGCAAATTATCTATCTGCTCTCAAAGATGGAATAGTTGATTTAATGCCCTGATTATTATAATCTCTATTACTTTCTGAACTCAGTCAAAAATAGTATTTTGAAAATACAGAGAATTTTGGCTTTGGCTAAAGCATTTCAATTTACTAATTTATTTCAAAATATATTGTCACGAAGCAGTAGCAAATCTGTGACAGTATGACATCCATCAGTTTCACGTCTCTGCCAAAAATAATCTAAGACATTTCAAATCCAACTGCAGACTGAGAAATACTTGAGATAAGAAATTTTGAAAAGAGAAATAATTTTTGCTTTGCAAAATCTGCAGTTCATCCACAACACTGACAAAGATTATAGAATGCCAACCAACCATACAGCATGTCCACCTAATCTATTACCCATTTATCGCTGGCAACAAGATTACACACTACACCCTTCATTTTGTTTTTGGGTTTTTTTTTCTCTTTTTTGACAGCTACTCTATTAGATGTTTTATTTTACCACCCACTTATCAAAACACAGTAAAAGGACAGAATCTCAGGCCCCACAAGCTCTTCATCTTACACGTTCAAGGTGCATGTGAATACAAGAACAGTGGCTTGGTCACATAGCCTATGGAAGCCATCTGTAAGCCTTGTATCTTGTATTTTCCCCTCACTTATTTAGACACATGCTCATCACATCCATATGGATGGGCCTATCAAACACGGCATCTTCAGAATGCTCTTCTCTTCCCTTTACACTTCAAAAAAGAAGTTTGACTGTCAGTTAATCATTCACTCTGTAACAGCTACGGCAGAATAAGTGCCACAATTATGACTAATCTGAATTCACAGAATTTAAAAAGAAGTCTGAGCTGAGAATTCAACATTAAGCAAGAATTGCAGAAGTTTAAGTTAAATGTTGAAATGTTCAGGCAAAATGCCAAATACATCAGATTATGCTTTAATAATATACAATATTCCACCACTGTCTTTAACCCATTAGTCCCAGATAACTACAGTTCCACACAATAAAGGTACCCTTTCTGTATAGTTTCTGTAGATTCATCCATGCCTTACTTCTCACTGAAAGGCACTGAAATATTTTAATAAGGGCCCTTGACTTTCAGAGCCCTCTGTTAGTTGCTGGAAGATACCTTTGCAAAAGTTGAACAACAAAAATGGTTTTGAAACCCGCTCATCTTTGTATGTACACCTGAAAGCCTGATGCTTATTTGTGGAGTCTTAAAGGTTTCCCTGACTCGAACACATGGGCATAGGACTGCCAGGCCAATATGTAACAAGTGATGTACGTTATGCCAAAGATTTCCTTTATTTCAGAATTTGATCTAATCATGGAATTGAAGAACAACCTACTCCAACTGGAGGTCAACCCTTTAAAAGCTACAAGATACAACGCTATTCAATTTGGAACCATGTTCTCTAAATGCAGCAGGGGTAATAAATTAGGCATAAATCTATCACAACATGATTAGTATCACTGCAAATAATTGTTTGGAATTTCAAAAAGCGAAGTCAGTATTCTTTTTCAAGGCAAGACCAAGAGTATAAACACTGTTAACAGAAGTTACACAGTTATTCACACTGCAACAGTCTGAAATGAAACTTCATAATTCAGGCAGCTTGGAAGACTCCTTACACTGAGAAGTGGAATACTCAGAACACAGAATAAGATTCATTTTCAATTATGAAATTGACAACCACAGGAGAGACTGCAATATTCATGTTAATTAAATGACAGAGTAATTACTTACAAAATAGGATAAATCCATAGTCATCTTCCAAATAATTAAAAATCCACATTTCTGATTAATAAATTATAGTTTAGCTGTCTTGTACCAGTAGGAAGATGGCCATCTACACAGTTATCTTATAGCACTTGATAACACTAAATTCTAAACAACGATTTTCTTATAGATTCTCATGAATCTGGGGGATGTCAGTTGCCAGTGATTTGCTAAAGATACACTTTTTAGATTGAAATGAATACTCTGCGTAGGAAAAATAGGTATGTATCACAACATGTTACACAAGTGGATGAAAAAATAAAACAACAGTAACGTTGCATATAAATTAATTCCAGACAACAGTAATTACTTCTAAATACTTCTAAATACTTCTAAATAATAAAGTAAATACTTCTATTCCAATGTCATTAACTTCTGGAGGAACTCCACACTTAGACAAGAGAGAAAACGCATCTGGTAAAAAAAAAATAAATCTTTTTCCCTAGCCAGCATTACTATTTGTGCACATGGGCTCTTTTCCGGAGCCCATATTCCCTTGAAAAATAGTTGAGCTCTGCATTGCTATGTATGTAACAACTTCAATTTTATACTGCAGGTAAAAAAGCACAAACATTCAGACATCTTCATGAAGACAGTATATGCACAACATAGTTCCAATTCTTGCTTAGAATTCTTATCTCATTTCTATGCATTAGGTTTGAGAGAAGGATTTCACTCCTGATTTTAATTGGATTTTTCTTCCCAATTAACATGCTCTGGAAGAGTTTGTGAAGTTAATTAATGATACCAGCTCACAGTTTATGAAAAATTTGCAGGAACTTGGATAGATTACATTATACAATCAGAGTGGTTTGATTTTCTTCTCTACAATTTGTATCTTGGAAAACATTAGATTTTCTCCTAAACTTACGTGAAAAAGATAACAAAACTTAATGTCTATATTTAAAAAAGGGAAATTTTGAGCCCTGAACTTCCAGTATTGGAATGCAGTGGGACCACAAATGGACCTTCATAGACAAAATTTGTGCACACTGCTCTCTATTTGCTGAAGCGTTTCAAAATTTTAAAAGATCAGCTTTTTGCATTACATACTCAGGCTGATGAACAGGCACCTAACTGCATAAATCCCTCTTCATAATGATAAAAGTATACCTCTTACTGCTTTCAAGAAAAAACCTGAATTAAGCTTTAAAAATACAGTATTAAAAGTTAGCTATAAGCTTGTATTTTTCAATGCAGAGATTAATCAGATCTTGAATATCTGTAACATACTGAGCAGTCTTCAGCTTTCGTAATTCATCAGGCTTCCTTCCATTTTTATTCACCACTCCTTTCCCACTCAAACACACTCAAACACAATAGGTGCATGGACAGAGAAACAGACCCACACTGTTTGGTTGCAGGGATTATTTCAGGAAAAAAGAAAAAAAGAAAATTTGCAAGATCACAGAATCACAGAATTGTAGGGGTTGGAAGGGACCTCCAGAGATCATCGAGTCCAACCCCCCTGCCAAAGCAGGTTCCCTACAGCAGGTCGCACAGGTAGGCATCCAGGCAGGTCTTGAACATCTCCAGAGAAGGAGACTCCACAACCCCCCTGGGCAGCCTGTTCCAGTGATTAACAAGTGCAGTGTACCTGCATTGGACGCCTATACTTCCTGCATGCTGTGACGTGAGCAATAACACTTGCATGAGTCTCCTTGCTGACATTAATTCCATTCACTTTGATTATGCACTGGCCTGGGTGGAGACCTGCTGCAGCTGCCACTGTTCCTATTAAAAAAGAAACAACACAAAAACATGTAGTTGACAGACTTCCTAAACATTTCCTTTAAAGCTTACATTTCAAAAGCCCCTGACTTCAGAGTGCTTCTGAAGTCAGCTGGACTTAAAGGAAACAGAGTTTCACTGACATTCCCAAGGATCCTGTCCGTGTTTTTGTCTTTTTTTACCAATTCACTTACAATAGTGTATTGTAGTGAATAAAGACAAAAGCCTTTACAATTTTAAGCAAAATACACAAAGCAGAGTAGAAGTTCTAAGAAACTTCAGTAATTTCCAACAAAGTCTATTTGTTTGAGCAATGCAAAATACATAATTCAGCAATTTATTTCCACAGTAGAACAGCCATCTTCGAGAAAATTCTCTATATCCACCTAAAGAGTACTACAAAAAAAAGCGGGTGTCTCCAGGTCTTTTCAGTATGACTCAAACCTAGTCCTGAAAGCCTGCTGGATTACGACCACCTACCCATTCAGTTCCTTACGTTTCTCTGGCTATTGCTAGAAAAGTGCAAGTAAAGTCAAAACCTATTGGCTAGAGAATGAAACATCGAAGTGAAGAAGCCAACTGTTATAAAAGGCTGAACTGAATTTGCAGGGCTGACAAGTACAAAACTACGTCACAACTTGTCAGTTTAGTATATCTGACACAAAATAATAGAAACAATACATATATATATTTCTATTATTTTTAGGTCTTGGTACTGTTTAGAAAAATAAAAACCACGGGAATAGACAACAGTTGCATTTTAAATCTAATATCAATTAAAGTCTTTGGAAATAATATTATTACTAGCTAATGTAATCTATAAAAGTCTGGATTTAAATAAATTATTAAACATCTCTCAAAAAGCAGAAATTTTTTTCTTCAAAGCAGAAAACAACAACAACAAAAACCTACGATTCCAATTCAGCAAAGTATTTAAACATATGCTCGAAGCCTTTCAGGTTAACAAACCACACAAGCAAGATTAAGGTACCACTGAGGCTAATTGGAATAATGTATGTGCTTAACGAATAAGGATAGGCAGCTGAATTGAGAACCAGGTGCAGAAATAATTACCACATCAGCTTAATAGTATGCAGTTTATTACTTTCTCTCAAAAATCTAATTTCTGGCACCACAGCTTAAGAAAAAAAAAAAAAAAGTCATCATAGAGCTCTGTTCAAATCTGCTTGGCAGATCAATTCATTTTAAATTCGTCAATTACAAAGGTAGGAGGAGGTGAAAAGACATAACTGCCCCTCAATAGCTGAAAATACAGAGGTAGATGGCTTTACCAGTAACAGCATTCAACAACAACAAAAATGCCTTCCTTCTTTTATTAACAAGGCATCAATCCAAAATTTATCAAGTTAGGGCCGGCAAGCATTTGACCATCACATCACAAAATAGAAAAAGCAGTATTTTAACTAGCACTATTGAAAAGATTTATAAAAAGTGGATTTTCTGTAAAATGTTTACAGAACATTGGGGAACCACATGGTCACATAACAAAGGAACTTTCAGGAAACAGTTCCCAACTTCCATTCACAGGATAATGAGCTTTTGGATTTGTCAGCTATTCCTCAATCTGTAAGAAAATCATAGCCTTACTATACCTCACCTTAATTACTCAGTGGATCTTATTTTGATTCATCTCAGCCAAGACAGTTACATGGAAAATGTATAATTACTTCATGCATTGACAGCTCTTATAACTTACCTCTCCCAACAGCATGGACAACTGAAGGGCCAAAGCCTCGGATTTGGAACCCAAGTCCATCTGCAGAGTCAGGAATCTTCACTGTCCTGATACATGCAAAAATCCAATATGAATACAGCAAAAGATAGCGTTTTGTTAACATAAAAGTAGACAGCAGTAAGTAGGACATTTTTTTACACAGGGTGTAAAATCCATGCTTTTAGTCAATTCACAGTTTCGGATTCACCGCCATTCATTTTCTTGATCATATGCACCACTAGCATCAGAATTAAGAGATACTGATATCAACCAGAGGAAGGCAATATTATTTCACACAAAATTTCAGTATGCCAATTAAGACCAAAGCAGCCTGCAGATCTAAAATTCCTCTCAAAGGACCGCGATTTGAGTATGTTGTCATACAACAGCAAGCCCTGGGAATGCAGGCAGTCTATCAGCTTGCAGCACAGAGCCTGGGGACCTCAGATCACAGCAGGTCTCATCAGATGAGCTGCAGAGGGCTGTGGAGACTGTGTTTGCGTTAGAATTTGTTAACTTTTATTGTTAAAAATAATATTTTCCAGAGCCTTTCTGAGCAACTAGGTAAAGTGCTGAGTTTTTTGAAATGAGTTGCCTGCTGCTGTTCATGTAATGTGTACACATGTTGCGTTACACTCCTGCTTAGTCTATGCGCAAAAGTAATAAAAAAAATCCTTAGAATCATCACCGACAAAACACTGTTCTGAGAATCAGAATTCATATCTAATCCTTAAAATGAAACCCTGAGTTCACCCAAAATAAGCTAATGTGGTATTAGCTCAGATTCCAGAAAAAGCAACACAGCTGCATTAGCCCTTATCCGAGCTCGTTAGGTCACACATAACACTGCACTGATCTAACTCTACAGTCTTTACTTCCAGAGCCAGCTCTGTTAATATTTAACAGGTCTTTGCCCTGGACTCCATTTGCCAGTGCAAAAGAAAACTGATAAGTGAATGCAAAATGCATTTGAACTATAAGAATTCTGACATTCAGATATATTTGAATAATATCGTTGCATTATATCTTGTGCTTTCCAGGTTGTTTTTTTTTGCGTGTGTGTGGTTTTTGTTTTTGTTTTTTTCTGGTAAATACAACATTTAGCATTTTGAGCCAATTACAAGCAGACATGAGATCCAAATCCCATTGGAGCACATAAATTTGTACAAAATATTTGTACAAAAATATACCTTGTGAACTTGTTAATGAATAAACTAAGAAAGAACGTCATTGGAGGTTTTAGCTAAGAATTTGTGAGAGAATCGTCTCTCCTGCCAACACAGTTGTGATAGAAGCAGCCTCTGACAAATGCAGACAGTAAAGGAAATAAATTCTTAAACTCACTCGAACTCCTCATTCACAAGATCATCTCTGTCAGCCCTGAAATTCACTCACATTTTCACTGTGTGAGAAACTGATCCAAGATCAGCATTAAAGAAACGCTAATACAAGCTTTTTATGTTTGCTACAGAACGTTCATCTCCAGTGCTTTTGTTGTTTTTGCTGCTTGATTGCTGTTGTTTTCTTATTATCAGTCCAGGTTATTGACTTCATGCCACTCTTATTTCTTTGCTCTTTCCCATTATGGTCACCACTGTACTTCTCAAGACATCTTCCTTATTAACAGAAGAAACATCTCCATTCTGCTGCTCAAATGGAGCTATTTCCAAGGCTCTCTACATGTTTTCTGACAATAGAGCATGACTTCCTACTTACTCTGCAAAACCTGATGAGAACTTCCTCCAGCTGCTGTTTCTTACCCTCCTATTTCACTATTATGTAGAAACCATTAACAACTACATTAACCTTACTAACAGATCTACACTTGTTTACATACCAAATGAACCCAGGCATTAGGCCTCACTTAGAATTTCTTCTACGTAACAAATTCCACTCAGGTAGGAGGGTTCAAAACTTTGTATAAAACCTCATCTGTTGCAGAAAGACTGGAATTTGTTTACTTGCAGGGTTGCTTACACATCCAGCACACATACCAAAGAGGCCCATCAGATCACAAAGTCCAGCTTCTGGTAAACTAGGAACTAATCGTCACACAGAGGAACTTGTTTAATAAATATAGTAAGAGATAGGAGATTGAAACTGCCCATGTATTCCAGTATTTCTTTATACACTTGTGGTTTCTGCATACACGTAGAGTGCCAGACCTGATGACCTAAGCTCATTCATCTTTTCTTTGCTGATGACAAATACAATAAAACAAAGTCAAAGCAGATCAAATTGCTTGGCTTTATGAAGACTACTAATAACTTTAGAGTGGTGCTTTTTGAAGTTCCACTTGACTTTGAAAATTTGCTTCATTTACAATTTCTAAAAATTTCCCCAAAGGAATGACAACTTACTCCCGTGGTTTAGTGCTCACAAGAACCCGCAGGGGCTTTCTGCTGTTTAAACACATTTTCAGGAAGCAATCCACTTCACTGAAGGGTCGCAGAAAAACCAGGTCACCATTAATGGCAAAGATTTTTTTCCCAACTTCCAAGCCTGCCATCTAGAAAACATAACGGTCGTGTATACATTTTGCTTTTATAACCAACAACACTGTACTTTCTTAATGCTTGCCAATACATGCAATGCCAATACGAATAATGACCACACATTTAAAGAAAATTATTTATGCCCCCTCAATAAGTACACAAGACATCAAAAGACACCAAAAGTGTTCTGGAACTGGTTACAGAGACCTATGAAGAGATCTAAATACAAGCCCTAGTTTCATCCAAGATGCTATGAAAGCATTACCATATTAGTTAATGTTGGAAAATTAACAAAACAGGAATTAGAAAGGAATTAAAAGATTCTTTGTAAAGATACATATACTAAAATTCAAAACAAAATGTATCCTTAAAACTTCTATGGCCATACCTTTGAGTAACAAATTTATGTACAAGCTTTAAATTATGGCCTACAAGGAAAGAAACCATTCCCAGCCAGCATGGTAGGGATACACAGAGTTGCTTAAGGCACACACGAAGCCTTAGATGATGCCAGCACCTGACTGCTGTAAAAGGCCACAAGGAAACACACAAAGCTAACAGAGGGAAAAAAAGAGAAACATAGCCCTGGACATATCTCTATGGTTATATTATATTAGTGATCTACTACATCTATTTTTATTAAAACTTGAGTCGCACAATGAGATGTAGAAGGGCTTGAAATCCAGGTCTAAATGTTTCTTCCCATTGAAGTATTGGTCTGTATATCTGTACATAAGACTCCCATGTTGTTCACCAGATAATATCAAATTACTCCAAGAGCAACTAAAGCAATACTAACAGATTGAAAGGCTGCAATTTATTCATTCAGATTTCTAAATTCTAGATTTTGCTTAATATATCCTTTGTTATGAAATACATCAAATACAATCTACAGGCTAGTATACTTTTCTATGTTCATTTAATATGCTATTGAAAGATGCTTACTCCACTCATGAGCAATGTCATAACTGGAATATTTTAATAAGCATAAAAATAAATTTATTATTTTTGTATTAAAAAAAATTTTGTATCACAAATTTCCTATGTAGAAAACAAGTGTTGGTAATGCTCACAGTTCTATTTTGTTTCAAACTAAACAAAGATTGATAACCACAGATTTCTCAGAACCTTCTGATATTATCATCTTATACACATTTTCTTAACTAGAATAAAACAGGGAAGTTAGTTTATAATATTTAATACCTCAGCATTCGATGCTTTCTCCACCACCTTAATAATTGGCACCTTATTTTTATCTTCTAAACCAAAACCATAGGTGCCTTCATTAGATTTAATCTGAAAAATAGAATTGTTCAAAATATTATTCAGAAAGTCCTTTAGGAAAGTATAGCTCAACTGATAAATGAACACACAGTGCTAATTTATTGTCAGTACAACCAATTTTTTGTTCTCATCCAAGCATATAATCATTTGGTTTAACTCACCAACACTGACTTAGCTATAACATTTTCCACTACTTTCAAATCATGTTTCATCAGTCTGTGTTTCATATTTGACCCTTCCATTTCTTCATCTGCATAAAAACGGAACAGCAGTGGCTCATCTTTAAATTCACTTTTCTCTAACACTGTAAGAAACAGAAACACAGACATGAGTACTTGTATTACTGAACATCAATACAAAGGTTAAGCACTAGCTGATTATCTTGTGCGTGAATCTAGTGATATCTTAATTTTTAATCTAAAACAAAAAAAAAAACAAGTTTTTTTCCAGATCCATTGTATATAGGTAACACTAAAATCCTTTTCAGCTACAGAATTTGATTTCACCAAGCTTAGGAATAAACATTAGCTTGAAAAGGTTTTATTGAAAATACAAAGCACAAGATTTCTTCTTAAAACAGATTTAAATATACAGTTTTCAAAAGTTCTGCTGGACAGCCACTGGAAATGTTCACAGCCAAGACCTGGCACTCTCCAAATGGTGAAGTATGCCAGGTTCAGTATTACAAATGGGTTTGCTGGGGCTATGGAAGCAACTGGAACAGTGGACAGATACAGTCTGCATATTCAAAGACTAAGGGGCAAAAGAATGAACAGTGTCCGAAAGGACATTAATCTTCCATCCTTATCTAAACCAGCTGATGAGAAAATCATTTTTTCTTCATTTTATTTCAGTAAATGACCCATTGCTTCAATTGTTTTACTTAAGTTTTCCCTCTGATGCTATTAAATGCAACCTTGTTCACTTCATTTTTGGCACACTCTTCTTTGTTCTCTGCTATCATTAGCATTTTCTTTTTTCTTTTTTTATCCCTACAGTCCTCTTTCTACAGCTGTCATTTCACACTTTTTGAAGTCATGATCCTGCACTCAATATCATTCCTCCAAAAATGCTTCCTTTTGTTCCTACAAATTACCTCCATTAGCATCTTCAATCTCATCTGAGTAAACATGTATTACTTGCTTAAGAATATTCTTTCAAAGAAACCCTCAGTATGCACTTTGACCGAAAATAATTTTTAGAGTATAAAATGGCTTGTTTTTCCTTCTTTAAGATTATAACAGTGGTATAATGAACCATCTTGCAATTCCTTGTTTAAATATTTAAGAGCCCCAACATTTCCCTTCTACTATGTGGACAGCATTAGAAAAAACATAGCTTGTACAGAATGCATTTACTTACCATGGTGCATAAAACCATTATCACAAAGAGCTACACCAAAGATCATAGCTTCTTCCCTGGTCCGGCAATCTCCCTGTTAAACCATAAGATGTATTTTTTACATACTTTAAAATATCAGCAAAATGCTTTCTATTTGCAATGGCATAATCTCACAGCACCAGCAATAGTCGTAGATTACATTTACCATCATCACCTTTGGATTTTTAACAGTGAGCATATGAAATATTATATAACATCAATATTATACTATATATTATACTATAATATACTATAATATATATATATTATATATATATATAGTTAAAATGAAAATATTTTAATTAGAGCGCATTCTCAATTAAAATTGGCATAATGAAATCCGAAAATATTGACATTTTTAACTTCTATTTATGAAGCTGGTACATGTTGACTGAGTGAACAGGTTATCCTGTTCCTGGTTTGCATAAGATAAAATGGAATCATGACAGCAAATTGATGCTCACTTTCATCCCTCTAGTTAGTAAGTAGTTAGTCTAGTTAGTAAGTAGGTAGTTTCCATAGCCTATCCATTTCATTTTAAGCCTCAAATAAGGTTACATGCTGAATCACAAAGCTAAGTCTCATTAAAGTTCAATTGCAAATAAGGATGATAAGTACAAAAGGAATTAATAGGATAGCTTCCGGCAGCTGATTTCTGTTACTTTGCTAGTTTAAGAGGATTACACTTAAACATACATTGTTCTAATAACCCTCACAGTATTTGCATGTTATTTCACTTATTCCATCACAACCTTTCAAATCAGAAATGAAATACAATTTTTAGACAAGTACATAAATCCAAAGGTACAAACTCGCCTGTGCAATCAACCAGTCTATGAGTTTGTTAGCCATGACAACAGATTTGTAGGTTCGCAGATGATAATCTTTATCCCTGTCCAAAATAAAATAAATAAATATACACATCAACCAAAACATCAAAAGTCTAAAATTAAAGATAAACAAAAAAACGCAAACAACAAAAAAACAACCCTTATTTTTTCTATATAAGGTAATACAATCATGAACTGAGCATTTTGTAATAATTCAGAAATAAAGCTTCTAAAGTTGCCTCTGAAGTAAAGCAAGTCAAACCTTTCAGTACAGACAGCAAGAAGGAACCTGAACATATCTTATACATATCATTGCCAATTACATCACTGAAGTGCAAAGACAGGTGCCTTGTTATAGCTGGGACTCTACAAATGAAGTAACGGAGAGTTAGTAAAGAAGAGACTATATTAATCAATACAGTAAGCACCTAAGCATATACATTAGGACCTACAAAGCGCTTAAAACCTGGAGGGAAAAAAAAGTCATCCTGAACTTTGTTTGTAGTCATTTTATGCAGTTACACTTTTTTGTCTTCATAGTTCTTCCATCTTTTTTACTTCTCACAAAAGAGCAATCTTAAGGTATGGGTTAGGTTTCCTATGTTCAAACACGAAATTTTCATCTTCAGAATATACATGCTTCTTTTGAATACGTCTCTAAGGATTTTGCAATTGGACTCACCTAATTACTGGGGTAAAGAGACTGTGAAGACGACAGTACAGTCGTACACCCTATTAAAAAGAAAGATGAGGTTAGATATGCATTCACATCCCACAGAGCATAAGGGGAATGGACATAAAAAGTTCCAATGCACTTCATGTAGCTAACACAACAAAACTATTCAGATGCCTATTTGTACCAAAAGTTAAAAATTCCAGACAACAATATTGGTGATTAAATGATGAGAAATAAAACATTTCAAACCAAGCTTCACTGACATACATGCAAAAGAGGATTATCTTTAAGGTAGCATTAACGTTTTTTTCAGGCATAGTATTTGGAAAAAAATACACAAAATCTGAATTACAAAGCAATTTTTCTGTGTACTAAGGTTTCTCCTATCAATGTTCATTCTTCTACACACAAAGCAAAGTTAAATATACATATATATATATACACACATATTTTTTTTTATATTGAAATCACAAATTAACTAGGAAACTTAAAAAAAAATGAATCATCTCGGATATGTGAAATGCTCTCAACTTAAATAAATAAATAAATAAACAAATAAAACATTTGGAGGAACTAAAATACTACCACCAAAAAATAGCACTGGAAAAAAAAAATCACATAAGTAATCCTTAGTAGATTATAAAATATGATTATAAAAAAATTGTTCTGAAGTAGATTTCATCCCACACTGTTGTGTCTGGTAGCTCAGTATTGAATATTACCCTAGATACACTTTGCATTAACAAATACCAGCAGTAAAGCTATAATGAAAAAAAGCAGAAATGGAAAACAAAATCCAATTCACATGAATACAGAAACAGGCAAGTGTGAGGGGATGCTGTATATTCTTGCATAATATTTATTTCATTTCTCAAGTAGAATCTCCATTTTGAATGCATTTTTCTTTATAATAGCAATTGCTTCACTTTTTACCTTAGAAATCACTTCCTGCATCTCACTCCTGGGGTAGTATGTTCCGTCATCGTATCGGAATCTGTACAGCATGTGTTCAGGTTTGAACTGGTGCTTATCAGTAACTAAATTAAAAAAAAAAAAAAGTACATTGTCAGCTTATTCTTCCTACAGGAGAGTAAGGAAGGACAAAGTCAATGATTCTAATAACAGTTCATTACAAAATAGATTTCTGACAAAGGGAAATGAGTAAATCATCTGCCACAAGTTGCTCTATGTCAGTGGTGATATTTTTCAAAACATTCAGGTAGTCCATAGGAAACTAATGAATTTTAAGTAACAGAATAAGATAAACAAACAGACTGGGAACAGTCTAGAAAACCAGGCACTTGCATGTGTTATAGTCGTCAGCACTTTTGCAAAGCTTATCAATCAAATAGCCAAGAAGAAAGCTTCTTTTCCAATTATCAATCTATTTTTCCACAGTACTCTACTCTAATTCTTGCTGAAACCAACCTCAGATGAGTCAATAAAGAATCCTCCAGATACCTGATCAGTCCTGCACGGGGGAGGGTAGAGGGCACGTCTTCCACTGTAGAGAGCCAGCTGAAGTTCTTGGTGCAAGAGACCCGCAATTCTTACAAGGCTCTTGAACAGCCTGGGTTGAAAGGGACCTCAAGGATCATGAAGCTCCAGCCCCCCTGCCACATGCAGGGCCACTAGCCTCCCCATTTAGTACTAGACCAGGCTGCCCAGAGCCCCATCCAACCCATCCTTGAACACCTCCAGGGACAGGGCATCTACAGCCTTTCTGGGCAGCCTGTTCCAGCACCTCACCACTCTCTCTGTGAAGAACTTCCCTCTGACATCCAACCTAAATCTCCCCTCCCTCAACTTAAAACCATTTCCCCTTGTCCTGCTGTTATCTACCCTTTCAAAGAGTTGATTCCCCTCCTGTTTGTAGGCTCCCTTTAGGTACTTAAAGGCTGCAATGAGGTCACCCCACAGCCTTCTTTTCTCTAGACTGAACAAGCCCAGCTCCCTCAGACTGCCTACATAGAGGAGGTGCTCCAGCCCTTTGATCATCTTTGTTGCTCTCCTCTGGACCCTCTCCAACAGCTCTCTGTTTTTCTTGTACTGGGGGCTCCAAACCTGGACACATTATTCCAGACAGGGCTTCACAAGAGTAGAGTAGAGGGGGACAATCACCTCCCTGTCCCTGCTGGCCCTCTCCTGATGGAGCTCAGTGCTTTCCAAGCTGCAGGAGCACACTGCTGGCTCATGTTAAGCTTTCCATCCATCAGGACCCCCAGGTGCTTCTCTGCAGGGCTGCTCTCAAGGACTGTGTCTCCCAGTCTGTATGGACACCTGGGATTCCTCTGGCCCAAGTGCAAAACCTCGCACTTTGCTGTGTTGAACCTCATCAGGCCCACCTTTCAAGTCTGTTGAGATCCCTCTAAATGGCATCCCTTCCTTACACTGTGGAAGTAAATATAAAGCAGACATTTTGCCAAAGATCCATAAAGAAGGACCTTATCAGGTAGATTTCCATTCAACAGAGTTTCACAAAATTTTGAGAACAAAACCTCACAACTTCATATGTTTTGTCAAAACATTTTCACAGTCTTCAAGCTCCTTGGTATCTCCACACATCCTCTGATTTGTGGATACAGAATTTGGACATGATGTATACAGTGGTTTCACCAGTGTCATATGCAAAGAAAAATAACTTCTCTATCTGCATTTGATATATCTACAGATAGTAAAGCCCAAGACATTATCCCAATTGTCTTGAACTGATGGTTTGTGCTGAGGTGATTATCCAAAATAAACCCTCTTTTACATACCATAAATTCAAAGTACATCAGACACAAAGTTCACACATGTAGTGCCTGGCACAAATGTTTAAATGAATTTTACTGTAGTACGATCATTTCAAGGAGGAATAGATATATTTTAAAAACTAATGTCCTACCCTTGCAGAAAATACATATTCCAGTAGATCAACACACATTAGGAGTTTTTTAAAATTGGAAACTACAGGAGGTAGAAAACACCACCACCAGGATCGTACCACAGAGGGAAAAAAAAATGCCTGCAAAACACCTTTCCATTCTTGCTTGCTCATGAACAGAGAAGTCTCCTTGCTCTGAAGAATGCTGTTTTGTCTTCACAGCCCCTACTAACACAAAGCACACCAAAAACTATGGTAGTAGGCCCACAAAGTTGCCACTTCCTGAACTCCAGAAGGCAAGGAAACCAGACAAAGGTGTTTCCAAGTCAAATATATTGTGCAAAATACTAAATATATCCAGGAAACACTGTGAGTGAAGCTCTGAATTGCTATTCATTCTAAGGTGGGTTTTTTTTTTTTTTATTCTTTTTTTCTATTATATAGATGTCATTTGGTTTGTTGTACTCAAGTGGAAGAATAGATGTATCAACCACTGATATCTACCAGTTTCAGGTGTACATTTGCAAGAGCATAGTTTCAAATGCTTAAAGATGATAAACTGCTTCCTTACCACTAAAATAAGGAACGCCAAGTTGTTTTGTATTTCACTACCAACCCTATACCCATACTCTCTTTTGGGACAGATTTTTATATGGCACACATCATGAACATGTTATTTTTACTTTTCTCCCTGGGTAATTTTGACTCAGATCAGTATACCAATCCCTTATTGTCTTGAGAGGAAGATTCCACCTCTATTCATCAGTACTAAGTGACTGGACAAAATATCTCACTATGACAATGAATAAACAGATTTTATCTTTTGCAAAACTGGAAAAAGAAAACAAGGAAAAAAAGCTTAGCTTCTAAGAGTTCACAGACAAGGAAGCAAAACAATGCCCATCACAACACGGGTCTGGCACAGCTGGAATGAGCCATGTGCTAGAATATGTTAGGTCTAACAAAGCCCCCTACAACATTCACAATGTGAATAACAGCCAAACTTTCTGCCTTGCTCCCTCTGTGAAAACAGATGGTTCATTCAACTTTATTTTAAGAGTTCTATTTTCACTGAACCACAGCTGGATCAACTATTCAAAGTAACATGTCTGGCTCAGATTTCAGTAGTCTAATATAATTACCCATTTATCGTACGAAATTACACAATATTCATTTAAATCTGTACTGAGAAAGTCCATCAGTGTATCTGGGATATAAATTAGAAGATCAAGTATCAGTATCTAAAGGAGAGCTGTAAGAAAGAAAGGAATAGACTCTTTAGCAGAGTCTGTTGTGATCAGACATGGGGAAAAGGTTCCAAACTAAAAGAGGGGAAATTTAGATTAGATGTAGGGAAAAACTTGTCTTACAATAAATGTGGTGAGGAACTGAAATAGGCTGCCCAGAGAGGTGATGGATGCCCCATTTCTGGTGACATTCAAGGTCAGGCTGAATAGAGCTCTGAGCAACCTGATCTAGCTGTAGGTGTCCCCGTTCATTGTAGGGGAGTCAGACTAGATGAATTTTAATTGTCCTTCCAACTCAAACTATTCCATGATTCTAAGAGAAGAATCTCTGGCAAAAGAACCATTCAGTTGGAAACAGTCATGCATGTGTAGGAAACACAATAGCATCTGCCACTTGAATGACAACGGAAGAAAATCACATAGACTGACATTAAGGCATTTAAGACTACATCATTGCTGATGAATAACTTCAGTGTTTTTCCTCCTACTCTGTGTATGTCTAACATGCATACAGCTAAGTGGCACTCTGTTGCTCCCACTTTACAGCCGAGGATGTGAAAACATGGTGGCAAAGTATTAAATTCATTACTGGCTAAAGTATTCGAGCATTACAATGAAAACTATCAATAATTCCATCTAAATTTATGCCTCGAAACCATGCTAGAACAGTAGCTAACTTCACAACTCTTTCACTAACTGCTTTTTATTTTTTTTCAAGTGACTGAACTTACTGTAAACCAAACATGCCTTCAAAAGCAGAAGTTTCTTGAGTTTGTTTATAAGATCCTGCTGGATCATACCTGCTAGAAGCAACAGAGACAAGGACCAGCTCTGACAAGAATGTCCGATAGATAAAATGTTACCAATGGAAATTACCGTGAAGAAATCAAACCTTATCAGCTCAAAAATGGTACCATTTCAGTGATACATCCCTCCAGAATGAACTTAATACAGACAGTTGACTAGTAGACCGAAAACTTCAATATAAAAATATGAATTTTATTGAATCTACAACCTAGTGAACAGGGCCTTAAAATTCAAAAGTTAAAACTTTTGGTTTCTAGGCCAGATTTAGTGATTAAACTTGTAATCCTCAACAGAGGATAAGGTACATTTACCAGCAGCCAGCTGTGAGTTTTTGCTCTTTCCTAACAACTCTTAGTCCTACATATGTTCCTAAAAGGCCTCACCTCACCTACATAAAAGGTTTAAATCCATAAATGCAGAATCAACTTCAGTCTTATTCCAAGAATTACTTTTGCTTAGAACGTAACAGCAATGTTTCTATAGGTCCTGTTTGCAATGCTGTGACTGCACAGGTCTAAATCTGATTAAATCAGCAGATCTCTAGTAAATTTTTTAGGTATGGGCAATGGCCTCATAGATCCCTAAAAAGACATAATGAAGATTCAACATATGACCATTTTTTTGTCAGACAAAATTAAATCCACTCTAATTACAATAAGTACCTTGAAAACAAGCAAGTTCAAACTAATTATATTTACCATGGTGGATAATGCCATTTTCTAATAAAGCTTGGCCAAGATGAACACCTTCTTCAGATCTGTGTATCTCTCCAATTTCTAACAACCAGGACACAAATTCACTGAAGGAAAACATATTAAAAAAAAAACAAACTTGAAATGTCATGCCACCTTATCTACTACATTTTCTTCTCAGTTACAAGTCTAGAAAGATGCCTTATTAACTTCGTAAGTGCTTCTTAAATTGAGTAACCATTAGAATGCTACTTCAACTTCAAAAAAAATAATTTCTGCTTTTTATTATTTAGACATAATATGCAGATCATTCCAAAAGTATGGCAGCATGATAGAACAGTAGGCCTGTTATTTCTGAGACATTCTGAGCACAGAAATAAAGTATGTGGTGCACAATGAGGAAATACTGTGTTTATGTCACTAAAGATCTGATGCAGTCCAGAGATATCAATCTTATGGCACATTAGATATTTGTACATCTGTTACAATATTGCATAGAAAGGCAGTGCAATATTCATAGGTTCTAACTGGTGACCCAGAGAACAGCATACTTCAAAAGGGTCCATTTCAAAGACACAAAAAAACACCTTTCATTTAAAGGTTTAAGTGTTTTACAAAATTCCATATGATGACTGTATTCTTCACCTTCTTCCAACAGTCCCTCTGAGAAAATGATTCAGTCACAGCTTAATAATTAATCTTAATCCCGGTTTCAACTCTCACTGGCTACAAGATATTGGATAGTACATGAAAATCTCCTGTTTCATTTCCTCTTTTGAACACGGTGGTAAGAATCTTCACCAAAACACACAATTGTGTAAAATACTGACTGTACTTTTATCAAAACATTTCCATACTCATCTGTCTTATCGTCAGATGAAATAAGCCTCCAAAAGAAAATCTGCCTCCAAAAGTGGGGTTTTTTTTGGTAATATACATAACATCTAACGTTACAGTACCTATTACTTTCTCTTCCTCTTGCATGCACAAAGAACATGGCATTCTAAAGATCTTCCACACAATAGGGGTAAATTTTTTAAGTATGTATGCTGCATTAAGTAATTCCATACCTGACATTCAGGCAAGAGGAAAAGGGAAACAGTTTTAGAGACAGGTTTGTTTTAGGGGGTTAAAGCAAATTTGACACTCTAAATTAGGCATTACAGAAACAAAAATGCATTGAACACATAGAAAATTATTTCTCTAAAGAAATTATTTTATTGGATGCATTTTCATAGTTTCAGCCTTTGCAGCCTTGATCCTTTAAAAGCTACACATCCAGTTTCAGGCAGACCATTTTGCACTTTGACTAAATTCTGAGACGGATAGTTCTAACAGACAATGTGTGGTTTTCATGAAATCCCAAAGAAGATTTAAAATGTGTTTTCAGAGAGTTAGAATTCCTGGTCTTGAATGCATGTAATACCTTCCAAGAAAGCATTTGGGGAACGTGGTTAATTTCCTCTTCCTGTCTTTGATGAGACTCCCTTGCTTGCACATCATTTTGTACAGTCTTTCTCCTTGCTCAGAGATCATCACCCAAGTGTCTTGTTCCATGCCCAATTTCAAACCTGTTAAAATTACAATAAAATTTTATGAAATGACACTGCCATTACATTTCAAAATCCTCATCCAAAATTGAGAAGCACTATCAATATTTTACATTTCAACAAGCAAAAGGAATTGGTTTTTACTATTTTACTCCGAATCAAGACTTATTTATGAACATCTAATCTTCATAAAGCATAATCAAATGAGAGTTACAAATTACAGTGAAGTCTAATCGTTACTGCAAACATAACACCTTTACCAACAATACCATTGATACTGCAGTGATACTAATCCTGTAATTTTCACAGACTTCAGTATATGAACATTTACAAGGGAGATTTAAAAACAACTTTGTTCATACTCCTACCTTGTTACGAGAATAGTTTTTATACACTTTTTCTTTTTTTTTCAGATTTCCAAGGAACTGTCCCTAATTATTTGTTATAAACCTGTTAATTTCATGAAAGATTAACCTACCCCTTTTCCACAAAACCACTTTCATAACTAGATTTTTATTTGTTTCAGAATTTTCCCAAAAGCTATCAAGGAGATTAATTCAACATTTATTATTTTCATCTATTTCACCTCTTGAGAAAGTCACTACATTTTCAGAATTACAGATGAGTACAATAACAACCAGTTCTTGCTGAATTATGCATCACATTGCCCACTGACAGAAGTTTGCTCTCTCAAGGAATACCACAGATCTTCATAAACCTTGTATTTTCTCTACAACAGTTCTTAATTCAGGATAAACCACACATTTCTGGAATGTCTTATTTATGTTTTCAGTTTTTCTCTCCAAATTTGCACGTTTTTAGAAATTATAACTGTATATTCGAGTAGCACTCTGCCTCTTCATTAATTCTGAAAAATAGCCAGACAAAAATTATAACAAAAAGCTAACAAAGGTACTGGTCAAGTGAAGTGTCTCTTACACACAAACCAGTTAGCAGTGGTGCCACACAACCATAAAACATGACATACTCCCAGAAAAAGAACATCTAACCAGTATACTGCTTATGGAGCTTAAGGGATTCTGATGTTTTTCTCTGTATTGATTATTTGAAACAGGTAACCACAGCACCATCAGCCTTAAAACTGATGACCATTTAAATAGATTCCTATCTTTCAGAATGTCTCAGATGTTTACATAGAAGTCTAAGTACTCATGGAAAGATTTCCTAACAAAAGTTTCCAATTCACCTTTATTTCTCATAGAAAGAAAATACATCTAAAAATGTAGCCCTAGCTGAGAGTGAATTCAATAACCACTGAAAAGTCTGCTGAACTATTTCACTTGGGACATTCTCTCCCTTTTTGTTCAGCCTCACCATACAGACTGCAAATAATGTAGGCTGACCTTCTCTCAGTACACTGAATCTCCAAGTCTCCCAAACTCAATGGTCCAGAAAGCCCCAAGACATGGCATACCAAGCTGCATTACCATGTTCCACATTCTGTATTCACCTAGTCTAGAGATCACTGCAATCTAAGGATCTACATGAGATGAGGGGGACACAGCATCACTAAGAAGGAATGCGTAGGCAAGCTCTACCACACAGCGTAGTAAAGGGGGCAGTTAATCATGTGAGCCTCACTTGCAGCTCAGGAGATTTGCCAAGTGTGTTTATTTAATTTAGTTGGTGCCTGACTCACAAAGGAGACAAAAACACTGTCCTCATATGTCCTCATATTTACACCTCAGGGTAAATAAACATAAATATATAATGCATTAACAGTTTCTATATATTATTAAGCAAATACACAATTAAAGCACATTTACGTTCAAAATGAATTCCTGAAAAAGTGTTTACAGCAGTGTTCAGACAATATCTGAATTCTAAAAACAGGCCCATTTTTGTTTCTGAGTGATCTGAGAACCTTTTAGCAATGAAGTTGATGTATCCTGCTTTTTAATAGGTATATATACAGATGTTTTGAAAAAATTGTGCTGGAGGGGATGGATACATTTATAAGAGGATGAAGTAATTGAGATATTCAAGAAATACTTGTGAAGATTCTGTTACAAACCGAGCATGTACCAAATCCTCTCGTGCTCTAGCCTCTTCTTATTTCTTCCCTGGATGCATCCTCAGTGGCAAAAGCTTTATGACCTCCAAGAGCTGAGTAATTCTTCAAATCAGAAGATGCTAAAATCTTTTCCTGACTTTAGAAAGCTACTTTCGACCTCAGGACTGGGAAGGTTTAGGTCAGACTCACCTCTGCTAGCAGTATAAAGTGAAATAACAAGAATACAACACAAAATACTCCTACTTACTCTTTGTATTCCTTACCTAAAGGTGCCAATCATCTAGAGAAACCAAAAAAACTTAGCAAAAGTGAAGTGGGATTTGTTACAAATCCTTTTTAGCCAATTCAGACAAGGTCCTCCATTGTCTGTTGCATTTGATGTCATCTTTTCCACACTGCTTTTCATTCAATGTTCTAAAATGTTGAAGCTTGGGAACTCTACAGAACCTTTTTAGCTTTTTCAATATTAGTTCTCATGAGCACCATTAATTTGTCAATTCTCAGACACTCTAGTGGAAACTCTAATCCGATGGCAGATGTTATACAAAAAACATTCAGTAGTCAGACTTAAAAGACCAAAGAAACACTGTTATACTCTCTTCAGAGTGAAGTCTCAAAACACTGGCTACTACAACAGTCCACAGGAAATCTAGGCAGACCAGAAACAGAAACACAGATCTCACCACAAGATCATACTTTCTTTCAGTACCAAGACCCCATACTTCCTTACTACTTAGGAATGTCAGCTTACAAATGAAATTAGCTTCAGAAGATGATGATGCATCATTTTTCCTTGTTTCTATTTTGTGCACGGTTTCACCTTTAATACACAATGTTATTTATAGTCACATTAAAAAAAAAAACAGGATCAATTTTAAGCCAAGTATTCTTCCATCTTGGTTCAGAAATTCAAAAAAGATAGCTGTTTGGTAATGGTGATTTTTTACCATCTTTGATTAAGGAGAATGCATGAAATATGGGGTAGTGGGTATATTCTGTACCATCTCATGTTGGATCATCTGCATGAAGAAACTTAGGAAACCTGCACGTTTCAGTGATTCAGATTTCCATTCAGAAAATGTGTACAGATCCCAAAAGGCATTCAGAATAGACCCTCCTATATCACAGATAATTCTCAGGCCTTAGTGAAATTATGACAACATACTGTGGTTAAGGATAAGCTGCAAAATCACACAAAGTCATCTTCCCATTTCCAAAATAACATTCACTACCAAAATATATGATACAAATCTTTACATCCTTCTCAGTACAATTTTATTTTTTTCCAAGCTGCTATTCATAAACCATCAGCGGAACCTGACACCGGAAATTTGCTTAGCAGCTGGTTTTGTTTTATATCTCAACATATAAATATAGTATGGCTTTCTGGCAAATCAACACAAAGAAGTTTATTAACCTACCTTTTCGTCTCTCTCGCTCTTTCAAAATAGCTTCCAACCATTCTTGCTTCTCTTCAGGAGTTTTTGCCATGCATACAAACCATTTGTTCTTAGCTGTGTTGTGGATCTTCCAGCCATTAATGACAGTGTGGCCACTACTGTGGTAGTCAGCTGAGAATAGATAAAATGGCTTGAAGACCAAGAACTCTTGCAAAATAAATACTCATAATTCTTAAGAACTCCTAGCATGACACGCAAAAATTATAAGATATGGAAAACAAAACAAAGTAAAGCAGAACAAATTAAAAAAAAAAAAAAAATGAAAGTTATTTGTGAACTACTATACCTTAGTGAGTGGTACTTTTAACTTTTAGTCAACTCAACATGTTTTTTATCATGTGACACAATTGCCTGGCATATGGAAGAAGACAGACTCGGTGCTAAAACAAGCAGAGTCTTCATGAAAGAACTGATCGCTGTACTTAGAATACTTCTGTTTGTGTTAAACTGTCATAAATAGTTCCATAAAAAGCAGCATTGTGGTTTCAGCCATTAAATGTCTCAGAGCTGTTCTGCCAGTTGAATGATTTACTATTAAGTTTATGAAAGTACTAAGGACACGGGGAGGAAAATACAATTTTGTTCTAAAGAAAAGCAAATCATATCAAATATATTTTTACTGATATTTGATGTAAAATACGTAAGTAAAAAAAATTTTTTACACAAACTACAATATAACAAAATATAACAAAAGTCCATTATAAGCAAATGCACTGTTTTTGAAATATGTTCCTAACCAGCCTATTTTCAGCATGCACGTAATGAGAGAGAAGTAACAACTGCTGCTAATGTTTGTAAATATCCTAAGTTTTGCCTGTTAACATGTAAAATGCTCTGCTACAAAAAATAGATAATTTACCTCATTGCCCCTTCTTTATTTACATGACATTTCATGTTAACATGCTAGTCCATAAATCTTATTCAGAAATTTGCTATACAGATCTTCTCTGAAACTAGCACCTCTGTACAGTCTGAATATCCTTGAATAGGATTAGGTACATCTCTTGAAGCAAAGTTTGTGAGGCATAAACAGCCTCTGATAGCAAACACATCTTTTTGAATAAAATATAGATTAAAACTTGAATTAGTAACTATTGTACAAATTATTACAAAAATCAAAGGTCAGCATTTTCTCACCATTAAACTTTCATTAATAAACAAGAAAGCCCTGGGGCCAGCCCTGAACTATTCTAACAAATACAGACCTCTTTACTTTGTAAATACTTTTTCATAATTCAGCCCTGTTTTATATAATGAGATGGGATTTTCTAAAACTGAAACTCCTGCTGAAATGCTTGCTACAATTTCTCATAAATCTCAGCAGACATGCTAGTATCCTTTCAGTAACTCTGCATTTTAATTAGATGGAAAGAAGCCAAGCTGTCTACAGTGGGCTGGGAAATGTCAGGAACTACTAGAAAATTATGAGACTGATGGCTGCTTTCTAACTCAACAAAATTTTCTATTAATCAAAAGAGTGGAAGAAAGTGCAAGCAAGTGTATGATGGAAAAGAAACTGAATTTATTTTTACTATACCACATTTCATACTGCTTACCTATGTACCACATTTTTATGCACATAACCTATGCTTAAAATCCTTTGCCTCTTTATAAACACTGATTCTTTAAAACTAATCATCATATCACTTGTGCAACTCCAGAAAACTACAGTCTAAAGCCAGAGAAAATAAAGTCTCAGACAGAAGCTATCAGTTGAGAGGCTGCAGTCTTCTGGAGATGAGAGGTTGAAGGGCTACCAGAGGAAGGAAACTTTACATCCGCCTGTATTATTTTTGCATGGGCTTAAAAATCTAGCAATTAAGCACTAGTTGCACCTTTTTGTTTATTTGCTTTTAAGTTGCAGGTTAACGTGTATAAAACTACAGGGTAATGTTTTTCCTGTGGTCTTTTTTCATCCTGCATCTGTGATCCCAACACCCTCATTTGGCAGGGAAATATGATCTCTAACACAGCAATTAAAATTGTGTGTAAAAAAAGCAGTCAAAATCACAGATTTAGGTACCTACATTTCACTGCGAACCAAATTTTGATGTTAATTTAAGAGTTTAATTCAGAAAATTTGGCTCATCCAGCTGCTTGAATATCTCAGTGTACAGAGTGGCATTTTAAATTTGCAGTTTTCACTGCCTCTGAATTTCTGTAACTGCAGGACCCTGAGTGCTGGCAATTTGATAACATATTTATCTCATGCCCTTAAAAATCACAGAACTCTCTGAAAAGCCCAAACATCTACTTGGGTGCTAAGACTGCCTAATGTTAGCTGGCAGACAGTTCAGGTGAATGAACACATGTAGCTGTCGCCAAATTCGGCAATAATAACCCACTACTATAAAGTCCAGCTTGACTTTGATCTCTACCTTTAACTGTGACATCCCTTTACTTTTTTGATCCATGTGCTACCCATGATTTTAAGCCCCCAAGCTGTATGGCCTCCCCAGTACACCTATCAAAGTCATCTTAATGGCATTTCAGCAGTCTGCTACTATTCCATACAAACTCCTGCCAATTTTGGACAGCCTGTTGAACGAAATCCTATGGAGAGCTTCACACCTGCTGCCTGGATGGACAGACAAGAGGTGTGCATGTTCTTATGGGCCAGCTGCACAGGAAACATGCACGCTTCACAGCAAAGTAACCATATCTGCCACTCAGGCTAAGCAAAGGATTTGCAAATCTGACATCCTGGTTAGAGCAGAGAGAATTTCATAAGACTTGAAGGTGATCTTCCCAAAGTCTAAAGAAGCACGCTGAACAATTTATTAAGTTTCTATCTTCACAAGAGAAGGAGATGAAAGATGACATTGTCTAATGATACACAGCAATACATTAAAAGCTTGCAATTTGAAAAATTGCGACAAATTTTTTACAAAATTCAACACTCAACCCTTTAAGAGATGCATATCAAGCAATTTGTTAGTGCCATATGCAATAGACTTCTTTTCCAAGCAAATAAATAAATGAATATGTTGAAGGACTTCTATGTGTCACACTGTTCAGACTCTCAAGAGCACCAGTGCTCAAAAACACCAATCACATAATTGCTGCAGAGCCTTGGTTCCCTGCCTCTTCCTTATACATTTTTCCAGCAATCTCTGGTTACTATTATCACACAGTGATTTTTCTGTTTCATGCTTTATTTCAAGACAGAACTAGCATAATAAACCATAAATCTGGAATTTCCTAAGCATCAAGTGCCTGCCTTCGTAAACTAAACAGCATTCATTTAATGACGGGTGAAAGCCTTTAAAAATGTACTTTCCTCTGAATTCTAAGAACTGAATAAACAAAACAGAGTGCTTCATGATGTTGAAAAGGAAGGAAAAAGCGGAAGAAGGAAGGAAAGGAGAGAAAGCTTCTACCAACTGTACTGCTCAGTCAAGAAAAACCTTTGTTAATTTTTGTAGGTATACTGTTCATTAACATGACAACAAACCACACCAGGACACTGTTTTCCTATTTCTATTCATCTGTTTATCAACAGTGAAGACTACACTCCTACGTTTATCAGTGCTGAAAGCAAACACACTCAGTTATCCAGTTCCCTAGAGCACTATGGTTCTTTATACCAAGAGAACAGATGATCCCAAAATCTGCAATAAAGATCTGTGGAAGTATCACCTAGATTCAAGTCTTTAATGCTTACAAAAGCCCCATGAAGAATACATGAGAAAGTCAGATACAGCTATGGAAATAAAATCACAATGCCCCTAAGAGCTTGTATTCTGAAATTAGAATTATGGAGAATGATGGATAATAGATTATTACGGAGAAGAAAATAATATAACAAACATTCACTAGCAAAGCTTATATGAACGAGGCTCAAAGAACAAATTGCTATGCTTGAGAATTACATAAGGCAAAAAGAATGCAATAAAATATTACAGGGTTAAAGTTCAAAGGCTGATGACTACAGGGGATGAGAAACAAGACATCTGAGTGCAACAAATGAGAACAGTACAAAAAATAAGACAGTGGAAGGTTAAAGAAGAGCATCGTGATAAGACTTACAGATGCACAAGGAGAGGGACTTCTGACCACAAGGAAGAAAACAAGTTTATTTAAAAAAAAAAAAAAAAAAAATAAGAAAGAAAAAAGTGATAGAAATTTAAAAAAAAGGAAGGAAAGCTTCCACAGGCCAGGGAAATGGCAAATATTTTGATATTTCAAAGAGAACCATACAACATCAAAAAAGAATAATTACAAGAAAACTGTTCTAGGATGCTGGACTAATAGAAATGGAGAAGGCAGGAAACTTGGGGATGTGGAGGAAAAAAGGTGAGAATTACACACAAAATAAAATAATCAAACCATTAACTCATGTTTCTGAAGTGAGGAAAGGAACCTCTCCAGGTTTTAGAAATGTTCCATATAACAAAGCAACAAGATTTGAAATGGCACAGGAGAGGAAGTGGGAAGGAAGGAAGATGGCCTTCACTATTGTATGCAAGGCTATAGGAAATGGGTAAGGTAGCAAGACTTCCTATTGATGGAGGAAATTAGACTACTGGTGTCTGGAGCAGAGAGGGGGATAACCTGCGCTTGAAAATTCACTAAGAAAATCACAGAATCATAGAATCACAAGGTTGGAAACCATCTAGTCCAACCGTCTCCTCATCTCCATTGCCACCACTAGCACTAAACCATATCACGCAGCACGTTGTCCAGACGCCTGTTGAACACCGCCAGGGACGGCGACTCCACCACCTCCCTGGGCAGCCATTCCAGTGCCTGACCACTCTCTGACAGAAAAAGCTTTTCCTTATGTCTAAAAATGAATGCACAGGAAATAGAAGGACAGTGTAAACAAGATCAAGTACAGAATAGCAAGAACAAGCTAATGAAGAAAGTAATGACAGCCTTGAGAAATACAGATGATGAATGTGGAGAAAGAAAGAAATCTTCACTAAAGACAACAGAAGAAATATTTGCTTAAAGCACGGTAATACATGGAATTGGAAACAGTGAAATGTTGTATTACAAAGTTCTTAGAATATTCATGGTGGATATAATCTTCTGTGGTCCCAGCAATGTCAAGAGTTATAATTAAAGTGATGTCAACTAATAGAGGGAGAGTTAATTAGTTTTCTCTGGAAAAGAACTTTCAAAGTACAGAAAACTGCAAAGGAAAGTAGAAAACTAGAAATCCAGTACGAGTCATAGAATCATTGGAAATATAAAGTAATGCCTCCTATTTTATTATGTCCTAAGAGTATTATGAAAAACTTTTTTCTTTTCCTCAAACACCTTACAAATTCAGCATTTGCTACTACAAATACATCACCTGCCTAGGGATACTATTTAGTAGAGCTGTAATGTTGTAAAGTTAAAACACATGACTCCAGTTGAGCAATAAATGTTACTCTGCTTTATTACTCTGTTCAGGCTAGTATAAAAGTCATCTATGACTGTTGAGCTAATAAAGTATGAAAGCAATGATGTGTCAGAAGTAGAGTTTTGATAAGAGCAGATCGCTCTTTTGAAGTGGCTTCTTATTCTCTTTATTTTCAAAGAAATCATGAAGCTGCATTTGATTTCAGCACCATTTACTCTGTAAATCCGCAGCACAAATATACTCACCTGTTCCATCATCTACATTCTCTACCTCCATCACTTCTGTGTTTATTCTGCCCCGAAAGAGGTAACGATGGCCATCTGTAGATGCTTTGCTGTTCTTCAATCGCCTGATCAAAGAGGAGCAGATAAGCAGTCACGCACAATCTTGTGATTTGTTTCTACAATGCTACTTGTACAAGTAGCATTTAATGACAACTAAAAGTGTCATAGCCCACTTATACCTGTGCAATTGAACTGTGGAAATCATTCCTGAATAAGACACTCCTGACATTAAAGCAAAATGCTACCTCTGACAAGACTTATATACAAACTGCTAGATGACAAGAGATTTTGTAAACAAAGTCTCATACTAAATGTCCTGTTCCAGTACCTTGATACTTACATGTCACTCTGTCATTAAAGACAAAATACAGCATGGGAGAATGTTTCCTCCTGGCTTAACCTTCTTACACTTGTCAAGAAATTCAAAACAAGGATAGTATGACTGAGAAAATGAAATAACATCTTTAGATATAAATTGTGTCCTATAAACATTAACCTCATTTGTGGTGTTTATGCCTGGAAGAACAATAAAGACATTTTTTCTTACATAAGAGTTAATCAGAAATTATAATTAAGAACTGCTGAAATTTTGTGTAGGCATTGGCATAACTGCAAACCTACTGAAAGTTTTTTGAGACTCCTAGTCCCATGCAGCTTCTCTTATGTAAGATAAACCAGAGGTAGTAAGCATAAAAGGTTCAGTATATTTTTTCTCCGAAGCAAACTAAACCCAGTAACCCAAGAGACATTTGTATCTGTGAAACTAAAGCTTATTTACCCATGTTTACACAACTGTGCTGAAAAGAATGTTCAAAAACTATATAAAATATCTTGCTCTATAAAAAAAAAAAAAAAAAAGGACTTAAAAATTGTCAAAATACAAGCTTCCTGTGAAGAACACCCTCTTTGCCTACTTGCCAATCACAGAATCACCAAGGGAGGAAAAGACCTACAAGATCATCCAGTCCAACCACCTACTGATCACCAATAGTGCTCACTAAACCATATTCCTCAACACAAAATCCAAACATTCCTTGAACACCTCCAGGGTCGGTGACTTCACCACTTCCCTGGCAGCTCATTCCAGTGCCTGACCACTCTTTCAGAAAAGTAGTATTTCCTAACGCCCAGTCTAAATCTCCCTTGGTGCAGCTTGAAGCCATTCCCTCTAGTTCTATCGCCGTTACACGAGAGAAGAGGCCAACCTCCAGCTCATTACAGCCTCTCTTCAGGTAGTTATAGAGAGCAATAAGGTCTCCCTTGAGCCTCCTCTTTTCCAGACTGAACAATCCCAGCTCCTTCAGCCACTTGTCACAAGGCCTGCGCTCCAGACTCCTCACCAGCGTTGTTGCCCTTGTTTGAACACATATCAGGGCCTCAGTTACACAAATTACCAAGTATCTCCTTCAGTTATAAGTCACAGCAAGAACCAGCATTTCCAGTACAGTCTGAAAAATGCCCTTGCAGAACAAGCTCAGCAACTTTACAATTTAGAGAACTCCTCATATGATATTCCTGATCAAAAGGGCCCAGGGATGCTTTGCACTACTATGATTTTCTGCTTTGCCAACTGTGTACTGATGAGAACATCTTCTCCTCATGTAAATTCAACAAGAAGTTGTACAGGTACTACATCTAACCAAAAGACTATAATTAGCACGTAAGGAGAGAAAAGGGATATCCTTCCTTTAGCCACATGCCCTTGTGTTATATGAATATAAAATATTTGGTAAAGAAGTATAATGACTATGATTGGAAAATTATTGCCACGATAAGTAATATGCAAAAATTAATGTGAAGAATACAAATATAAACTATACACCACATAAGACAACAAAAGTTGTTAACGAAATTTTAAAGTATCGCTTAAGGATTGGTTTTAGATTCATACACTTTAAGGACAAATTTCCACTGACTAGTTGTATATATATATATACATCATATTATGTTTTGAAGCATTCTCAGGTCATTGCTGTACTACACAATACATGAAGATTGTGGTGCCCACACTGGAGTTCTGGTCTCCATTATCAGTGGCAAAGAATTGTATTTGGCTGCGGTATTAGAGAGAATTTCCAAGGTCTATTTTGTATCTAAGGACCCACAAAGGATCTATTTAGAAGTACGTGTACTTACTGGCTACTCAAAGCTGTTTTGCATCAACAGACAAACTCAAACAGGAATACCTGTACTCAGAACTCCTATTTTGCAGAAGTGTAAGAATACTTAGTGAACACTAACTGTAGAACATTGCTGCTGAATTACAGAATTGTTCCTTGTGATATACCAAGAAATAGTGTCCTCTCTTCCCTGCTTAGATGTACAAAGGCTTGAAATACTTGAATCCATTGAGACAAATTTTATAGCATAAGCTACAATACTACGTGTTTCAACTATAAATTCAAATTGTTTACCCTTCCTACAAGAGAGTGGGACTATCACATAGAACTCATTGTGGAAGTCTGATGAAGTAGATTCCTTCTCTCTGTACATCACCATTTGGTTTCTGCACTACTGCACAACATTTTCAGTGTTTGAATTAAATACATCTCTCCCTGATGATAGGTCTTCTCCAAAAACACTGAAGTATATACTGAATCATAGAATCATAGAATTGCAAGGTTGGAAACGACCTGCAAGATCATCTAGTCCAACCACCCTCCCATTCCCAGTACCACAAGCTACTAAACTATATCTCGTAGCTCCTCATCACTGCCAGGGATGGCAACTCCACCACCTCCCTGGGCAGCCATTCCAGTGCCTGACCACCCTCTTGAGAGAAAAAGTTTGCCCTAATGTTCAACCTAAACCTCCTCTGGTACAACTTCTGGCCATTTCCTCGGGTCCTACTATTTGCCTGGGAGAAGAGGCCAGACCCTTTTTCATCACAACCTCCCTTCAGGAAGTTGTAGAGTGCAATGAGGTCTCCCCTGAGCCTCCTCTTCTCCAGACTAAACAATCCCAGCTCCCTCAGCCGCTCCTCATAAGACTTGTGCTCCAGACCCCTCACCAGTTTCGTTGCCCTTCTCTGGACACGTTCCAGGGCCTCAATGTCAATGCAATTAATCACAGTAAGTATTTTGGAGTTGTTCAAATATTCAGAAAAAGCATACAAAGGACCAGCTCTACCGTGAGAAAAACACAAATGATTTTTCCAAGTATAAGTGAATTCTTTACCTGTGCTTTTTTTTGCAGTATACCAAAAGGTTATCAAAGAGAAAGAATATCCGCTCTTGGATATTTCCCGCTGAAATCTTCAGAAGTAATCCGCTTCGCAGCATTTCTGTGCATGTATCAGTGATGTTAGACCCCTACAGACAATAGTAAAGAGATCATTTTTTTGTGTGAATTCTACAGCAAGAAAGGACAGCATCTCTCACACAGACAGTGTGACAATTCTCCAAAACATCAAGGTTAATACACATGGTAATATATTACTTTGTAACTAATATTTTTAAAAATTTACTTAATGATGTTTAACATTAGCTTTGTGTTCATGTAGTAACTGGAGTAATGGTTTGTTCCTTTTTGGAATGCTTACATTTAAAACCAGGCAAACACGTCTCAGTAATTTTAATATTTATTAGGAAATGCGTGAAAGTGGGGCTTTGAAACACATAATGTATGCCAAGATGAACTGGAAATCTAAGGTATCTTAGAACTTAAACATCACTAAAATTATACATATAATTCCACACTAAATTGAGCTACAGATAGATTCAAAACAAAAATCAGTAACGTTTAAAATTCATGCAAAGTTAACAACAGCATATACAATTAAGACTGCCTAGCATACTACTTAACATACTCTGAAGACATCAGAATTTTGCTAATCTTTGTACACTTGGGATAAAATTTCCCATGCCGCATTTTTCTTCAGGCAGATCATTCTCCTATTAGAAAAGAAGGTGGGCATTTTCAAAAAGGTTAATGAAAAAGAAGCAACTTTAACACGGAATAACATTTTTCCACAAATATTTCTATGAAAAATTCCTACCATTTCAATGCCTTACAAAGGCAAACTAACCTCCTGAGAAAGCCTGCCTTGAATTCAAGTTGCTCTTTGTTGTTCTGAATATCATAGACTCACACAAACATTTAGGTTGGAAAAGACCATTAAAGTCACCAAATCCTGGCACTAATGAGTTCACCACATCTCTAAAGTGCCACATCCACACATCTCAAAATATCTCAAGAAACAGAGACTTCACCACTTCCCTGGGCAGTCAGTTCCAAATCACTGTTCCAAGGGTTTTTTCACTTTTTCCATGAAGTTCTAACAACCCCCCTGGCAAATCACAGAATCACAGAATGGCCAGGGTTGGAAGGGACCTCAAGGATCATGAAGCTCCAGACCCCCTGCCACATGCAGGGCCACCAACCTCCCCATTTAATACCAGACCAGGCTGCCCAGGGCCCCATCCAACCCATCCTTGAACACCTCCAGGGACGGGGCATCCACAGCCTCTCTGGACAGCCTGTTCCAGCACCTCACCATTCTCGCTGTAAAGAACATCCCCCTGACATCCAATCTAAATCTTCCCTCCTTCAACTTAAAACCATTTCCTCTTGTCCTCCTGTTATCTACCCTTTCAAAGAGTTGACCCTCATCCTGTTTATAAAAACTTGAGGCCATTTTCTCAGGTCCTAACACTTGTCAGTAGAGAAAAAAGACAGAACTCCTTTCAAGTTCCTGTAGAGAGCATAGGTGTCTCCACTCAGCCTCCTGTCCTTCAGACTAAATAAGCCCAGTTCCTTCAGTCAGTCTTCAGTATGTCTTCTTCTCTATTCCCTCCACCAGCTCCACTGCTCTTCTCTGAGCATATGCCAGCAACTCAATATTTTTCTTGTAGTGAGGGGCCCAAAACTGAACAGAGTATTTGAAGTGTGGTCTTTCCTGTGCCAAGTTCAGCAGGAGAGCCACTTCCTTAGTTCTGCTGGCCACACTGTTTCTGACACAAACTAGGATGTCATTGGCCTCCTTGGCCACACCGCTGGCTCATGTTCCATACCACTGCCTGATGTTCAGCCGGCTGTCAACAAGCATCCCTAGGTTTTTCTCTGTTGAGAAATTTTCCTGCCACTCTTCCCCATATCTGTCCTGCTTCACGGTGGTGGTGCGGCTCGAGTGGAGGACACAGCATACTGTCTTATTGACTGCCATACAAATCCATGCTCCTGAGAGACAGATCTCCCATCCCTGTGCTACATTAATTCGTACCATCCTATCAACAATTACACATCTGACTGCACCTAAACATACAGCCCTGGCCCAAGGAGTTTCCTAATTTTAAGCAGTCAACATTCAACTTGGAAAATCTGCCATAGCCAGGATTTTCCTTTTGTCTGCATATGTTCTGAATGATTTCTACTTGCAATAGCTGCATTACTTCCTCTTCTTGATCTGATCACAGCAGACCACCAAAAGAAAAAAAAATAAAAAAAAAAGCACTCAATTAAGAACCAAGCAGCAATCATGAGTTCACTCTCAGCTCCTCATCTTACCACTCATCCTTTGTACATCACAGCTCTGAATGTTGAGCAATAGCTCAGACTCTGCTCTAAGGGGCAAACAGGCTGTTTACAGAGATAAGAGAGATTGCACAACCATAACCACGATTCAGCTCTACAGATCAAGAAACTTCAATATCAATGCTAACTAACTACTTTTGATTCTAACTGGGATAAAATGAGGCAAAATGAATGTCATTTGTAGCTGCTAGGCCATACTTCCTTTCCTAAGAGAGAATAAGCACCAGAAGCTAGCAAATTAATCTTACAGTCTTATTAGAAACCAAACATCAAAGCATTTTAAAAGCACATTCAATAATATGAATTAAGCATAAATTAGGACTGTATTTAATTCTTGCTAACAACAACAGAAAAGTGGGTTATTACCTTCCATTCTATTTCACTTCATTTGTACATTAATAAGAGTAACTAATTCCTTATGCTACTTTTAAACTTTGTTGGAATTCAATTTTAAAAGTCTGGGTTTTGTGTTGCCTTGTTTTTACAGAAAATTCCATCTTTGCTGGAAAATTATCATTTCTACCTGGGAACCAAAAAAAATTAATTTTAAGGTTTTAAAACTATATCAGCAGTTTCAGTTTTCTACAAAAGGGTGTATTTTTCACAGAGAAGACATTTAATGAAATCATTTAATCTCTTTATATTGAAATACTCATTTTCGCTGCAGGAAAATTTAACCTTCTCCCAACAGCCCAAGCAAGTTCTGTCTCTACGTCAGAATCATGACTTCAAATACCATATTTTTTACATATGCTAAATCTATATGTTTCAGGTTACCTCAATTCCCAAGATTCACCTCATTTATGATTCAAGTTTAACGCTGCAGCATGACATTTTATCTGTATCACGTTACTATACTTTGCTATTATTTTCCTCTTCATTTTCCTCTTCTTCTAATACAAATTACTAGATGATGAAAACATTATAATGGTACTTTTTTCCCTTAGAGACCTCCCTTCCAAATACTGAACAATTTTAACTTCACTTATCCTATACCTTTTGACAAGATCATAACCCATGCTGGTGTGGCTGTAGGTCAATGAATTTTGTTATTACTGTTGCATTTTCTGAAGTCCAAGGGAATAAGATAACAGGATCAGAAGTCATGTCTGGCTCTCCTACATAACACTGTCAGTGCAGAAATATCCCTCCTTGTGCTCCCTCCACCACACCATATGCGTTCAACACTGTGAGGGTCAGCCTGCTCCTAGAATTTGGTTGGGAAAGGAGCTGAAAGGGACAGAAGAGGAAGGATATATTATGTGAAAGTAATGACAATTCTACATCTGACGTAAGCACTCCTCTCCAGAGCATCCCAAAAAACATCCCAAAGAAGGACATGATGGGCTGCACAAAGGACAAGCATATCTATCACAAAATTCAAAGGAGGAATGAAAACTATAGAAACCTTTTCATGAAGGATGCATCTGCACTTTAAACAAGGGTTTACAGCAGGAATACTCAAACTAGTTTATATCTAGTCCATTAGGATAACTCATTTATCCAGCTCTTAGCAGTCCTTCTTGTGGAGCAAGTTCAAGGTTACAAGTGAGAGGACACCCTTGTCCTATAAGCAGGAGAGGCAACTGACTCCACAGCTAAAACTGAACAAACCTTTGGAACAAATATTACCAAGTTTTTCTGAGACAAACACGCTTTCATTAAATATTTGAACTCAAACTACCAAGGAAATCTTAAATGTGAGCAATTAGAACGTAAAAAGTAATTTGCTTTAATAAAATTTTCATGAAAACATTTATCATATATACTCGCTGCTTGCAAGTGAAGATCATACTGTTGCTCACTGTAGCACTGCTCCTATGCTACAACTCATGTATTGATATGAAGTACCAGCAATTAAAGCTGATGAAGTATTTTTAGTGAAACCAGAATTCTTACAACATAGTTTGTCCTTCATCTTTCTTACAGAGTCATTGAAGACCCAAATATCTTTCTTTAGAATAGTACTTAATACAAAATAAAAACACTAAAATACATTGGAAGGAGAAAGTCTATATGAAAGAAATTTAAAATATTCCCCTTTTATCCTTAAGTCATTAAATACACATCTTTGATAGTAAAAAACGTCCTTTACTACTATGAAATCAAAAGCAGTATTTGTTGGTTTCAGTTTTTTCAGGTGTTACTTATCCACATACTCTGAGCAAATTTCATTCAAATATGAAGATCTGGCTGTACTGAATCAGTATCCATCACTCTATCACTGATAAAGGAGAAAAACTGTACTTAGTACCTTACATTTCAGTACTTGCACGTATGCATAGGAAATAGAAATAAACCAGGAAAACGGGCTAAAACTTCTGGAGTTTAAAACAGAGATCTCTATTAAAATGCTATTTGAGACAGAATATCCCATGCTATTGTTAATAAGTCAGCCTGTGAGTCACACTGGGTTGTTCTGGTTCCAGCTTAGAACAAACAACAATTTTATTTCTTCTTCCGTCACTGAAACATCCACGCAAATTTTACTGGCGGGCTCCTTCAGCTGCTGAGCCATTCTCCAGCTGAGACAGCCACCTACACAAGTTCTGGATTCAGGCAAATAAATTTAACCACTTAGAAAATTTTGAGTATAATGACTTTCTCATTTAATTTCCTTTCTTGAAGCAGATGTTCCATTTTTCCATGAATCTGTATTTTTGTTATAACAAACACAAGCTTCATTTTATGACACTTATGTATAGGAATTCAAGCCATGCTTTGATCAGATTCTTAAAATAGTCTTTTTCTCCCCCCCTTTCCCTTCTAGTTGGGGCCAGGCAATGTGCTAAGCATTTCCTTCTGGAAGGAAATCTCCAACAAGTTTCCTCTTTATTTTTAGGCTATGCAGAAAACCAGATGTTTATTTAATTAAATCCACTCTCATACATCGCATTCATAGAGTTTTCGTAGTTGTTGTTTGGATTCATTCAAAACATTGCTAGTTTTTATGTATGCTCTGGAATTCTGACCATTTCAAGGATTAAACATATTTCATGCTTGCAAAGGATGTGCCTATTAAGACCAGTTTTGCCAGATTGGGCACCCTGTGGCTGCCATATGATAACATCGAACCTGATCAGCTCAACTACAGTAAATATCACATAACTGTTCTGAAAACAGATCTTAAGACAATGGCATTCTTTCAGAGTTCAAACACAAGTGAAATTCTAAAATTAAATCTAGGGAAGAAAATCAATGCTGGAAGGAAATTACTATGTTACAGTTCACAGAACACATTCTGAGATGAGAAAGAATAAGTCTGTGTTTCGCATGCTTCTGTCCATATCACTACCTTTGCTCATTAATGTATATCTAACAGAAAACATATTTACTACTGTAAGTCTTCTTAACGAGCGAGAAAATGCTTAATGCAGGAAAGTGAATTTGCTTTTCAGGGTTAGAGGTTTGAGAATAGTTCTTAATCAATTTACATAACTAATAATGCCCTGAATTGATCATATTTATAATATAAAACTTTACAACGGGTGTGCTTATTAGGATGTATTTGACATAAACATAACACTCAAGGCACCAAAAGCAAGTAGAACTTAATTGTTACAGTAGAAGACCTAACTGAAAATCTGACAACAGAAGGAAGAAAATCAGTGATAGGCAATACAGACTTAACAAGCTTGCCTCATCTTAGAATATTAGTAACATAAGCACTTAACCTGCCAGTTAGCTTGCTGTTGCCTCCTCCATGATGTTATCATAAAAGTGACATGCATTTTAATGTTTACATGTAATCTTTTTAAGATATAGCTGATGGCAGCATGGTCAAGCTAATTGCAAAGGAGAAACTTATTTTTACGATGTCTAAACAAGCAGCTGTTAAGATATTTACTACTTTCACATAAGATGTCTCTCTCAATCATAATAACACTTAAAGCTTTATTTTATTTACATCCGTCTTAAAAATCCTGTGAACAATATCCTGGCATGAGTGCATATTCCATGTCATTTATTGTTCATCTTTAATGGATTGTTTTGTTCTGAGACTGAGTGCTATAAACTAAACGCAGTTACACAGAAAGGCTTGACTGAATAGAGACCAACAATTACAGAGCTGTTGTACTTGCTAGGATCCCTCTTCTCATAGCACAGTGAATTTTCATGGAATGTGTTACAGTGCCAGTCTCAAGCAAGACTATCATACTCTAAGGTCTGGGATGAGAAGATTTTTCTGCCCCAAATTATACCTACCCTAATTACAGCAATGGAAGAGCTACCTTTGAAAACATTGCCACACATGAAAAGGAAAAATAGGAAATTTTTAGATAAATAGGAAATTTCAAAGCAGAGATGAGCTCAAAGGTACTATACAAACTTTGTTGCCACTGCAAAAACACTGTAACGCATCATAGACCCAGTCTTAGCCACAGCCAACAGCCGGGAGATAACAATGCTATGTATAGACTGTTTTTCCTCTCTTCCATTTTACTTATTAGTATGAATGTTTACTTGAAAGCTGCCTATTCTTGTCAACATTTTTGTTGTCACACTTCCTGTGGAACTCTCTCAGCTAAAGTTCAAGCAGATCCACCTCAAAGCTTTCTCTGATTCAAGGTCCCATGTGAGCCTCTAAGCCTTTCTTTTCTCTGTACTGTATGAAGGCCATTTCCCACTTCATAGCTAAAAGATTAGATTTCAGTCTACCAGTCTAGCATTCAAAAAATACATTTTTCTTTCTATCTTTTCCAGACACTAAATATTACAGAGAGCAAAGAATCATTGCCTATATGTATCAAGATTAGCACAAGATTTGAGGGGACAGCTTTTGAGATAGCACTCATGTCTACTTCTACAGTGAGAAGCACATGAACCTCTCACTATTAAGGACTGTCAGCTTTCAAACTGGTCATCAATCTTGCCAGCAGTTAAGATGTTGGATCTTGGCAGGTAGCCAACGTGGGTGATTAACTGAATCACAGTCTATTATCAGACTGGATAGAGGTACAGAGGTATTAAGATGAGAAGTTAACTCACTGGACTAAATGTGGATGCCAATCAGTGAAGTTCTACACAGCAATGCTCAATCACGGACAAAACAATTTGCAGTGTAGAGCCAAAAATAAAAGCTGTCATTTAATAGAAGTGAGGAACTCACCATATCCTTAGGATGATAAAACTTGTGCAATACATGCCTGTTGAAAACTGATATGTCTCCCTCAATGCAAAGCAACACATTTTGTGACATTACCTCCCATCCTTCAACATGAGACTGCCATTCTTCCAAAAACTCTAATTTCTCCATTTGTCTCTTGGCTTCATTTATGTTGGAACAGACAGCTTTCATAGCCTGGAGGGCTTCCATTAATGCTGCATAGTCACTGTGCTTCCTTGGAGTCCGCTTCAGTAACTCCTATTATGACATTAGAAGAAAAAAAGAACTTGTCTTTGATCTCTAAGTGAACATTACAGGAGGCTTAAATTGACCAGGATACAAAATCAAATCATAGACAGACTTCTTTCACTATTTGCAAAAGTAATAAGCCCTCCTGCATTTTGTCCTGGTAGGAAACTAAAACACAGAGAAATAAATTACTAGTAATAAAACTAAATCACTACTTAGGAAAAAGCTTCTATTTCTGCTACTTTTCTCACCTCAAAGTTTCTGCATGTGGACATTTGTTGTTGTTTTTAAATAGCGTGGGATGGCATTGTTCAACAACAAAGATAACAATTCTGCATTAAAATGCTAGTTTACCGAGTTGAAATTAACACCTGCTTTTCCTGCAACTCAGAACAAAAAAAAACCAAACAGCTTCTTTATCTCCACTCCATTGTTTAATCTACTGTAACACAAGGGAGCAGTGAACAATAGTTTAGGTGACTCACCAATTTTGTATGGCTACTGGCAATAGCAGCCATTCTGAAAAACAAAAGTGGAGTTGCCTGTATTCATTGAAGATTTCCTATCTCAAACTACCAACTCCCCTTTTACAGCTCTGCAAAGGGCTGCCTTCAGTGCACATTCTGACAGAGGGTTGGGTACGTTCTTTCAGAAGTTTTAGCAAGTAGCTTAACAGTGCCACCAGCACACTCTAAATTTATTTTACATAAATATATTCATTTCAGTGTGCCTCTAGTGCGATTCATTAGCCAATTTCCCTGTTTTGTCTGTAGAACCTCCACTGAAAAAAATATATATATAATTTTAAAATAAGCCAAGGGAACTGTAAAACCACAGTTTTACAGTTATCTGAGTTAACTATCAAACTATCTGAGATGACTTAAACTTCCCTGTAATTGTATTAACTTGTTTTAAAAAAAAATCTTTATTTTACCGTATTTACTTTTAATCTTTTATGTTAGAGCAATGAAATGCATATGCCTTCTATGTGGCAATGTTTGAGATCTAAACTAATATGGACTGAAAAAATATAGCCTAATAATCACAACTAACACAGAATCCACTCTTGTTTCTCTCATAGTTTGAAATAATAAACAACGTTAATCTCAAATTTGTTAAGCATAAATGTGTTTAAATACTTACTTTCCTAAAGATCATACTATCTTATTTCCTAGCATTAGAAAACTGCAGTAGCTCAGAGACTTGAATATTTAATGCCTATCAGCACATTTAACAGTTTTCTTTACATTTTAAGCCATAACAGTAAGGTAAGCATGCAAACACATTAAAAATATATCACACAACATCTTATTGCTATTCTGAAGTGTTTCTTTAATATCATTTTCATATATATTTTTAATTTACAATTTTAAGATGGTAAATTAGATTTAGCAAAGTATGTTGGTAACAAACTCTATTACCCCAAGCATTTCTAGCAAAGATTTGGTCAAACCCAGCTGAAATCAGTCTCATTAAACTCACTTGAATGCCTCACTTCCATTCAACAATGAAGAGCCAACTTCACTGCTACATTTACAGGAAAGCTAATAATCTTCATTGAGCCAAACTCCATCCTTTTAATACTAATATCAGAAGTCTTGGCATTAGCTTTAATTAACACAAGTCTGGGTACAATATCTAATGGAGATTATTCACTCTGAAGGGAGATAGTTTCCACTGTTTCACTGAAATACACTTGGCAACCAGCTTCAAATGGAGAGTATGAAATTGAGGATAAAAAAAAACTCAGAAGTACCTTCAAAAGAAGAGGATACTTGCATATTCTCTGTATTGGTGTTACAAGATATCCCTCCAATGGTACATCTGTGTTCTTACGTCCTCCAAGGAGCATGCAATTCTAGAGTGCAAACAGTTTCACAAATTAAAAAATCCTGATAACATTACAGTTTCTCAAAGGATCAGTTACACTAAAGTTCAAGAGATGAATCTGCAATAGGTTTTAATCTCCATTAAACATCAAGTTTCTATAACATAGGCAGTTGCTGTTAAAATTTACAAAAACGAAGATAAGAGCATGTGCACACAGGAATAGCTAACCTACATATAAATCAAGTATGTGATGAAAGAGATTTGCAAGACTATCACAAGAACAGAATTGAACACATGTACAGACAGGTACATAGACTTCCATGGCAAGGAAGCTGCAGTGGTGTCATGCAGTAATCATTATGCAGGGAACCCTCATTATCTTCATCTAATCCAATTAAGAGTGGCAATTTATGTAAACACAATAAGAGGCAATAAATAAAATGCTAATATCCTTTCACATGTCAATAACAACAACATAGAATTCAAAGTGATCATTATAGATGCTATTTGAGGTAGAAAGCAGTATGAAAAATGGTTTGATGGATTTCAATACGGTATCCTGATACAATAAAGGTCTACTGTTTCAATGTTTTTTTTTACTTAAACATGATGGGCACTGAATAAAATATCCGTAGTCATGGGCTAAGAAATCTGTGACTTTTGACAACTTCCAACACAGGAGCAAAGAATACTTGAAATACTGCATGGAAGCGCCCATGAAAACGCAGCTGAGAGAGAGAAAAAAGAATTAGGGCAATCTGAGACAACCAAGTCTACAGGGGACATCACAACAAATAGTTGAAATTGCTGTAATCAAACTGCAAGCATAAAGATCTACAGTAAAAATGAAAATTATTTTATCAAGATACCAGAAGGAATTGACATGAGATCAACTATGGCTTCAAAGAGCAAGGTGTCTAACATGAAAGCACTAAACAAATACACAAATACACTTAAAACACAGATGATATTTTGATACAAACCACAAATCTGGATGCAGATCCATTGTTGGAACAGAGGTTACACAACTGGGTGACTGCTCCACTCAGTGTCTAACTCACAATGCGACTGCCCAACAACCAGTACTGCTATGGGGATCTGTACATCCATGCCTAAGGCTCTGCTTTGTATCCCTGGTCAATCATTTTCTGCCTTATCCTAAAGGCTGCTTTATCCTAAGGTACATGACTTAATCTACCAATCAAAAAAGACTGACCAACATGTTCAAAATAATGTGAACTACAGGTTTATATAATGTCTGTCTTTATATTTAAAGGCACAGAAGTCTGGTTTTAACTCCAAGTTATTTGTAGATAATCACACCTCTTAAGACCTGTACTGTTCTGTCTGGCTAGAAGGACTCAATTTTACTTTCAAACTGAATAGTCAGAGATTCTGTTCTTTGGGTTAGATTGTTGTTGCCTATTCTACAGGTGCATCCCAAATCTAGGAGGAATGATAAACTGCTGTAAAAGCCTTAAGCATGCCCCCAGGAATACATTACACTAACACATGAACTGCCACAATTGCACACTTGGCTTTCTTTATTTCAAAACAAGCTCTTTGCAATCTTTCTCCAAGTCATTTTGGTTTTTGTCTCTTTAGTCAGCATTCATACCTTCTTAAGTTCAGTCATGCTGCTGCCAAAAAAAAGAATTATATGTGCGCAGCTCCTCAAGTTGAGGAATATTGTGTCATTCTCTGAGGAAATATAATAACTCTGAAGCTGTTTGTTTGTTGTTGCTGGTTTTTACTCTGAATGGAACACTATAGAATAAGAGACAGCAAAAAAGGCAGCTGGTGCTTCAAGATACCCTGTGCATTCTTACAATAACAAAATTCCCTGGCTGTAAGTTAATGCAGATAGGAGAGGAGTCAGACCCAGTACCTTTCCCAAATTTACTAAGTTGCTCTAGGACAATTTCACCAAGAACTGTGACAAGAAACAGCAGCAGTGAAAGCCTACAGTGTACTAAAAATTAATAAATAAATATTGTGATGTTTTAAACCACATCTGTGAAGCTTTGTTGACAGTGACATTTGCTCAAGTTCACTCATAGTCCCAAAACACAGTAATTGGATTTGATCACTCTGAATTTCAGTATCTTATCCGCAGGCACCTCTCCAAGTGCATAAGTTCCAACACAGAAGGCCATGCACTTCAAAGCTGACCTTGTTATCACAGGATGCAACAAAGGATAATGCAAAGTCATCCCACACTGAAATCTTATTTTAACAAATAATGTCAACAACTAGGAAATTCAGTATTTATATGGAAACTGTTTTTGCTGTGGAAAAATAATGAGGTCTGTCATACTCAACATTTTAAAATTCATCTTTTATTGTTTTGTAAAGTCGAAGACTAAATGTGTAGCAGGTTTCTGGTTTTGTTTGTTTGTCTTTTAACATTTGATTAAGCCTGTGTCTACAATCAGGATGACTACTCTATGAACCATAAGAAAACATTTTGCTGTTCAGCATAGCCTTGGTTACAGTACCAGAATGTATTCATCAAAAGTTCTGCATAGAGGTTCAGCTTCTTTCTCTAATTTCATTTATTTATCCTCTCTACCCTTCCTCACACAACTTGATCTATTCTTTTTCCTTTTTACAGCTGGATTTACACCCTGTTCCTTCTTGGCCAGCAAAATCAAGGCTTAAAGCCTAATGCTGTGTTATGCATGGATCCAAGGGCAGCTGATGTACACAGTCCCCTTTTCTGAAAACATCACCCCCAGTTGAAACTACCCGCTGACCACTTGAAGGTACTACATAGTTTTTACATGGTGGAGACAATAAAACTAGAAATTCACTGCCAAATTAAAAAAAAAAAAAAACCTGTTAGAACATCAATTGAAAGTTTATTTACCAGAAGAAATGTCCGCACTGTTCTTATTTTGTTGAGGTCAAGCAGAACTTTCTGTGCCTTCTCATGGTTACTGCAGTATTCATCATAGATACGAAATTTCTCTTTCTACAGAAACAAAGAAATTTTTCTTCAGTTACCGTTTTGATCATTTTATTAATAAATAAAACACGGAAATCACAGTTTTGAAAGCTGGTTAACTAACGCAATCTTTGTTTTGGAAGGTTATCAATTTCTCCTACATTTACTATTTGAGTTCTAGCCTTTCTTGTCCTTTTAATTTCTGCTTTTAATTAGAATAGTGAACAATTTGGAAGCAGCTCTTGGGAATTGCCTGAAAAATTTCAGAATTTGGATAATCTGCAAAACACAGGATAGAAAAGAAACAACACACTACAACCACCAACGAAGAAGCACCAAAGAAAATGCACAATCAGTATCTTAATTGTTGGCATTGTTACCTATTTTGATTGCAAACATCTATTTGAAAATGTCAGCCATGCTGCCATCGAGTCAAAAACTGATGTTACTCAATTTCCATGAACCAGTAATAATTTTCTCCTCTCACAGTGAATAAACAAAGATTTAGCAAATAAATGGGACTCTAAGCAAAGATAACAATGACATCTACACTTCTCATTAGGTCTGGGACAGAAAGTAAACTAACTTGCTTTAATTTTACATAGCTTTGCAACATTGACATCCTTGTTTTAAACCAACAAGAAAAATAATATGCAAAGAAAACTACTACTGAAGAACTTACAAACATTGTGGAGGTACCAGAGTTATAAGAAATAAAATATCTTCACAGCTAAGAACTATGGAAATATCTACCCAGCAGAAGCAATTCTTCACTAATTATTCATATTTTTTTCCCTAGAATCTAAGGGCAACGTAAGTAAAGTCTATCACACTTTATCTTTTTCATATTCCCCTTTTCCTAGTACCTCCATTGCACATGCTGGCAGCAGCAAGCTACCCCCACACCACAGGGCTTGGTATGTCAGTTTGGGCTGAGATCCCTTCCAAAAAAACCCATCACCCCATGTGAATTTATACCAAACGGAGCTCTGGTGAAAGAGACAGCCCTTGGGATCCACAGGTGCCATTGGCTCCTCACTCTATAACCAGTTACAGTGCCAAGGGACACAGCAGTGCTCCTGCAGCCCACCAGAAGACACCACTGCTGCAGCACAGCGCTCTGTCTTTTCCCACAGCCTCATGTGCCAGTGCCCCAGCCACCACTCTGCTCTTGGGTAGTCTCTCATCCAGCAGGCCACAGGCAAGTACTAGACCTCTGACATTACATTTACTACTAAAAAGCAGTTGTATGTTTCTGTTAGGCAAAAAACTTAAAGCCCTGCTCTGTTTTCAACTACACTTTTGACTCTTCAAACTTAAGATGAGGGTCCTGAAGATGAGTTCATGTGAAAACTCTGGCAGCAGATATAAACGTAGACATTTGCTTGGTACGGGTTTAACATTTACCTCTCTCAACTGATTTTTCCTCTTCATTAAAAAAAAAAATAAAAATAAAAAAAAAATAAAAAAATAAAAAGTATTTTACAAAAATAAAAAATTCATAGCTGCAAAAGACATCACTGCTACTTTGCTGAATATAAAAAATGAACAACAAACTGCCCATTTTATGTTCCTCTTTCATTTCTCCACCCCCCTCCTTTTCTGAGGGATGACAGTAACCAAGAGATGACCTCAAAGTACTCAACATTATGCAACCAGGTCATATTTTTTCCTCATCATTACATTAATTAATAAAAATGGTCAGAAAAGGAAAAAAAGTGAAAGAAAGTTATAGTAGAAGACAGCATACGTAATGAAGAAAGCAAGTTCCAACTTCATGGTGTGCGCTGGGTTCTGGCTGCAAACACTCCTCTACGAGGGACAGGAAGTTCTTGTGAACTGCAAGAATATCTTCAATATTTGAAAACAACATCTGCAAAAGAATAAAACACAGATAAATAAAACAACTGATACAAAATAAAACACACATGCAATTAGGAGACTAACCTTAACTGTCTCTTCCGTGACATTTTTATCCACTTTGGCTGCAGCACATTGGATCATTCGGTGAAGGAATGCCTGCATGAAGTAAGACAAAGAAGGAAGCAGTTATTTCAAGAACACTCAAATATCGGTTGGCATTTTATGCTTACAAATTATTTCCTAAATTTCTTACATTTTGGATATAGAGTTACATTAGAGTATTATTCTGAATCTGAAATAAGTATTTTATTTCTAAAACATTCAGGAACTCTGTTATCCTAAACATGATTAAAAGACTAGCTCAGTAGAGTATAAGAAGAGTTAAGCAGTGAAATACTAATGAAGCTGAGAAACAGAACATGAAGTACATGTTCTCTGAAGTACAATTTCCACCCTGCATTCATGTAACAATCAAGCAAGAGCAAAATGAGTCATTTTCAAAATCTAGTTCTAGCACTTCACAGATATACCACAGGAAAAGCCAAAATAAGCCTTTAGTTTCTAAATTAAAATTAATCTGGAGACACTATTGTGAAGTGCAGCATTTACCATAGTAACCACAAGTAAGATTTCTGCTGTATTAATAATCAAACCTATTGTAAAGTCGATTGGTTTTAACAATTCATTAAGCAAAACCAGGTGCAGCTGACTGTAAGCATACATTTCCTCCTTCCCAAGAATATCATCTTTGGGGATCAAGTAAGTAGTAAATAATATCACTAGCAAAATAACAAGAGTGTTTTCTATTTCACATTCAGGAACTGGAAACAAGAAGAGATGTACAGTCATTCCAAAATAAATAAATCGTATTTCAGATACAAAGGCTATCATTTTTTACAAACTCATTCTATTGCAAAGAGTTCAGTACATTCTGAAAGTATCTATACACTGTGGATGAGGTCTTAACACTGATAATCCTTCAGAGACATGCATATTCTTTGCCCATTAAAAACTGGCACCACAAAAGCACAAATGTCATGTCTTTCATAACCGTTTAGCTCCGAGCCACTGTGCATTGTACACTGTATGAGAACTCATCTAAATTCTGGCGTGGTGCAAATTCCATAAAAGAAGCAATAAATAACCTCTGTGTGGAAGGGTAGGAGTCACAGCATCCCTATCTGCTGAAACTTAAACATTTTCATGTGCAGTGACCCTTTCTCTGGTGAGGACTGTGCAACTCTGAACATTTTTATTACTGATGAGACAAAACTAGTTATCCAGGACATAAACAAAATTAAGTTTGGACTATTGCCAGTATATTATGTTTCATACCACTTTCTACACCAATGTAGATTTTCAGCTTTTAAAAATCTTTTTCCTAACTATTAGCCCTTTCTTCCCAGTGTTTCACTGATATTTTGAAAAGCCATTAATTCATTTGCAACACTGTTGGTGGACAACAGCCTTTTATATCCTTCCATGCTATGAATATCTGCAGGGGTTACGGCACATTTGTGTGTATTGACTGTACAGTGCAGAACCATTCCCACGCGTACTGAAAGCCCGCTAAGCTGTACGACTTGAAATTCACTTATAAAAGCTTTCACAAAACCAGTCAACAGTATTAAGTACACTTTCAAATTGAAAGGAAAAAAAAATCACAATCATGAGAACTACTTCTAAAACTGAAATCTTTCTCTGTTCACATTATTTCCCTATAGACCAAGCATACTGCTTATCAGCATTTATTTTATCCCAGAAGATCTTCATTTCCCGTGACTATGAAGGAAGGTGAGTATTCAGCTGGATAAGGGTGAAACTGAGAAACTGATCTGGGAGCTGGGGCATTAGTTTTTCCTGAGTGATTCAAGATACCAGCTAAGAGTCATGAGGTCAACAAGAGTATATATCAACTGCAATAAACAGATTCCCCACTTATCCAAGCAAAACTGTCCCAGACCTCTCATCTGCTGAGGTTATCAGAAAATGGCATCCAGGAAAATCCCAGCTCTCAGGAGCCCAGTCGGAGGTCACTGAGGAAGGGAAGCCTGAGGTGACTTTTGCCTTTTCCAGCAACTTGGCACAAATTCATGTTACGTTGCTTTTCTCATACAGCAGGAGCAGTGCAGCCACAAGGCTAGTTTTTCCTAAAGATTCGCCAGCGCTTGTTCCCATCAGTGCAGATCTACTTCCTAAAAAATGTTTAATACTACGTCCCACAAAGCACTGAATCCTTCCACCCATGAAGTACTGCAAAACCACACATGTTGCAAAGCAATTTGAACAACTGCACTTCTTCTAGAACTATGGTGAGAAAGAATTCAGGGCACAGTGGGCAGGGAGACCTCCACTGGTCTTCACCCACAGCGCCAAGCAATGTTGAAACCTCTGGGTTTTCACCACATTTCCCTGATGCCCAATGCCCTTATCAACACCCCTACTGCATGTGGAAACATCACTGGTTCCATGCACACATCATCTCCGTCCTGGGTCTTTGCTAGGAGAACAGACAGCTGTCATCAGACTGGAGGATGGATAAGTTACTGTTTTTGTTACAGTGTTAAATAACCTTACGCCCTCACAGTGACTGTGGAAAAATGTCTCTGAACACATATGAACATGCAGTGGGTCTGAGAGAGGGATGACTATTCAAAAGACCGGCATTATTTGAACATCAAGTAAGAACAGCCAAGAAGAGCTCTTCAAAAAACAGACAATGAAAAGGAAAATATACAATGATGCCCATAAACTACTAAGGAGTTGACAGCTGCTGAGCTGGCAGAAAAAAAGTTTAGAGAAAGTTTTGAAGATTTTTATGCATTAACAACCACTGAAAAGAGCACACCTAGGGAAAAAAAAAAAAAAGTATAAAGTAGAAATACCCAATTTATGACTCGCTAAAGAATCAATTAAAGTCAGAAACTCCAGTGAAATAGCACAAAACATTCTGCCATAACTCCAAGTCTGCTGCTCAACATCCAGACTCAGTACTGAACACCGCATTAAATGAAGGAGTAGAAAATAACATGAGTCACATGGACACAGTTAAGTTGTCTTAACTGGACAACTTAACTGACTGCAACTTAACTGACTGGAGCTGGAGCAATTGGAACATGCTCACCAAATAATAAAATAAAAACAGCAAAAAATCAGCTCAAACAATGTAATTTCATTTGCCATGCACACATGTCAGTAAATCATGACTCATCTGGGTTTCCTGAAACATATTACACATCTTGCTGAGGTCAATTCACGACACATCAACACATCTGTGTAGGTCTAGGCCCAACAGCAAGCATAGAAAATAAATCCCTGTGGGTTCCAGGACTCCAGACCTTTGTTAGCTCACCCTTCCTAAAACTTTCCAAGTGGATTCCAGAGTTTCCGTTAATTTACCTTCAATTTCTAGCTTTCTCAAGGAGCAGTAAAGCAGTATAGTTGACATAACACCATTTTCCAAAGTTTCATCTTTTGCTACCAGCATGCCACATAACAGCTTGCTGATATCTGCTATAGTATCTGGATTCACCCTTGCAGCACTGCAAATTGAGACTGCTGACCCATGCTCTCTTCACCAGCCAGACTCTTGCTGATTTTCTGAATTTAGAGATGGAAAAAAAAAAAAGATCCCTGTGATCTCATAAGTATTCCAAATTTTAGAGCTGTCTATGGAAAACTATTATCTTGAAAATTATTTTGATGTATTTCTGGATTAGTTACTGTACTTTTACCGTTCACACAACACTGCTGTAAGACACTAAAGGAAATACCATGATTGAAAATTCCTACAGAGACTGAAAATTCAAATCCAAAAAATTAAAAAAGAATCTGTTAATTATGCCAAAGAAGCACTAATTGGTTCGCTTGTCTGTTGATCTGCTGCCCCTTTGTGAAGCAGCGTGTCTCACACAGAACGCACAATGAGTTCCTGTTATGGGGTTCTTACTTCTCATCCTATCAAAATAAGAGTAGGGTTGTTGGGCATTTTTTGTTTTCTCTTCCCCTCCATAGCTGCTTTGTGCGCTGTTGAAAAAATGAAAAACACCACTGCTACAGTTTGTGCAAGAATCTGCCAACAGCACAGATGACTTCCCTGACATCTGGAATGAAATCAGGGAAGACAAAGACGTCTGCCTGCAGAAGATTCCCAGGGCATGAAGAGTTTTTGTCTTTTTTGACAGATAAGAAATTAAGTCCTGCAATTATGTCACAGCACCTGGATCACATAATATATACCCATTTTTCTAAGAGCAATCATCTTTTTGTCAGACTGGAAAGAAATATTCTTTTTCACTTGGAGGAAAAATTAAAGAACAAGTCACTTATTCTTTTCCCCTTTCAAATTATTAATATTGTTACAACTCTTAAATTCACACTGCCATAAAAAGCAAAACAGACTACAAAACGTATTTTTCTAATAAGGTCATTTCCTGTATACTTTGCCTTCAGGACAATGGAAGCACCCAATCTACCATCTTAAAGCCTGCTGAATAAAGCTTGCAAAATCTTTTGTACACTGAAGATGAATAAAATTTTATTTTCTATAATGTCAAAGAAACTCTAAAAGAAACCCACAAAAAGGAAAGTGCTCATATGTTATAATTTATCACAGACAAGGCTAGTTGGCTTCCACATTCTTAACGTAGCTACAGGCATGCAGGATGGTAGACAATATTTTGCTCTTTTCACAATATTCAGAATGATCCTAGGCAAAGGATGGAGCTCTACATTTGTGAAGAGAAGTGCTCAGGATTATAGCTGACTAGCCAAATGCATTTTGTTATCATGGCTAATTTAGTTCACAAACATTAAGGTAGTATCTTCCCCACCAGTTCAAGGTTTTGCACACGATAATTAATTTATGTCCCATTGCTGGTCCCATAAGCTCACCATACTGTTTTTGTTGAAGTATTTTCGTGCAATTTTAACACAAACAAACAAATAAATAAAAATAAAATAAATCAATAGAGAAGACTCCAGCAGCAGTAGCAGCTGTGGTAAATGCATTTCCCCTCCTCTTCTCATCAACCTGTGCCAGCAGCAGTGGCAACAGCTAATCAGGCTGGCTTCTGCTGCCAAACAAAAGACTCTTCTCTCTCAGTAATTCACCAGCTGAGGCACCACCTGTTTCTCCCAACTTGCCTGCAAGACTG